TTATCAGAATACTTAAAGAATGGTATGTTGTTGCAGGGCTTGGAGAATCTTATTACCATTTAAAAACAAGAAACACAAAATTTAAAATCTATTAAATTTGCCGCAGCATACACTAGGGCTGTTACACTGCTTAGCAAACGCGTTCGCTTCGGAGTTTAGAATCAAAATAGTATAAATTGAAAATAGCAGAAAATTATGATAAGTTATTGGTTTCAAAGTCTTAGATCCCTGGCAAGAGAATAATCATTAAGGTGATGTGATAGTCTTTTTTTGGTTGTACATTGACTAAAGGCTGTACATTGAGGTCTATGTTAGGTCATTGATGAAAGCGTTTTTGTTCCATATTAAGATCACCTTTAAAAACTATTAAAAGGATAGTCGCCAAATTGATTGGTAAACTTTTTCTGCTTTCCTCTCCTCTCCTTCTTTTAACTAAGCGCATTAAGTTCGTCCGGAGATGCCCAAAGCTTAGGCCTATATAAAAGAGCGAGATATATCCTATTAATTAATCTGTTTCGAAATTGCTTGAGTCAGAGTAATTTATTTATGACTTGCTCCTATATAGGTTGTTCTTCTGTTATGTTTACAATTATGCTTAAGTTCAAAAATATTTGAAGCATGTGAAAGTGCTTTAATTCTTGCACTGATTTCTGAGCATTGCAACATTTTAATTACTTGCTACCTATTTAAAAAAATAACCATTGTGTTGCTTGATTTTTTAGACAGAATGTTTGACCTCTTTGAAAGGTCAAATTAATTTACTTTTATTAAGCAACTTATAACTTTATTTACTCCACTTTAGCTTGGGCGAATAATATATTAAGCGAGTGTGTTCCCGAACTGGAATTATTGTGAAAAACCTACAAAACTTACTTACGCCCCTTGGCTTACTTTACATTTAATTAATATAAACTATAAAAATATAAAAAAAAAATTGTTTTTTATAAATCTGCATTCAGCCACGCCTTTTTTAATCCAATTCTGACCCCTCCCACACGTTGGGTATGTGCCAAATACAATTGAAATGAAAATGCTAAAATATTGTTTATTATGATATAAAAAAAATATAGACTTACCGTCTTTCATTCCAACAATTGATTTTAGAAAACAGAAGATAAATAGAAACTGGAAAGACTTTCTCATGTTTTTGTTGCAGTTTATTTATTTTCTTGAACAAATTTCAGTTATTTTCCACATTCACTAATTAAGTCGTCGAAGAGAGTTTAAAGATAATTTTAAAGAGGTGTTTGTAAATATGTATATGTGTATGTATATGTATATGTGTGTGTGTGTTTGCTTGTGTGTGTTTATTTATTGATAAGAAGATATGTTGTTAGTCCTGCTAAGAGCATGGCCAATCTTAGATTAGACTAGCTTAATTGAGAGCACGAGAGGATATGACTGAAGAGTACCTGGCTTCAATTTATTTTTCTGAGATCGACCCTTTCCTAAGGACTTGTGAATCTATAGACAGACGGATAATCATCGACCGATTTGGCATTTGAAATTGCACAAGATAGATTATCTAAGTAAATTGATAACTAAAGAAAGAATTAATGTATTTAAGTGTTGGCAAAATGAGCTCTGCTTGAAAAAGGTCCACAGCTTCAATTGGCATTTACAGTATAATGGTATTTTTCTTTTTCTTCTTCTTTCTTTTGGAAATTAATAGGTTGAAAGGCGACAACTTAACTATATCTCAAAAGTTTCACACACTTTTATTGAATTGAACTTACAAGAATAAAATATAAGCAATAAAACATCCTATTAGACAATAAGCTTAGAGAGATTCTAGATAGATAAGAACAAACTTTAAGCAAACACAGTTGCAGGATAATTTACAAAGTAGTCGGCTTCATTACAGGAGGACATTCTAAAGTAAATCAAGAAACTTTGAGTGTCGAATATTGTATTCACCCATATACATACATAGACATATATATATATATATATATATATATATATATATGTATACAAGTATGTCTACTAAGTAGCACCTGCCGGTTCTTAAAAAAGCTATTCAGAAAACATGCCAACTCTTTGGATGATTAAACTTTGTTTTATTGCTGATTAGTAATAATAATCACTATTAAAATACATGACCTGACATGACCTTACTCAATAAGAGTCGTAAAAGGCACTGTGTAATATATTTGAAATTTGTATGTACATGTGAATGTGTATATTTTCATAAATATGTATGCATATAGAAGTGCAAATACATACGTACATATATCTCGATTCATAGGTTTTCATACAAGTATACATACTTACATACATGTATGTATGTTTGTGTACATGTTGGTGTTAGGTGTATGTGTATAGGTATGCGTATAGGTATGTGTATAGGTATGCGGATGAGCATGTAGGTAGCTATTCATTATATACGTCTGTGTATGTATGTATTTATGAACACGTATTTGATAGCTATAATATTTGATTCATGAAGCATACATGTGGTATTGCCATTGGGTGGAAAGTCAGCTATATGAGTTTTTAACATTGATTATACCGGTAAATACGCACACATGATTTGGCACAGCATCTCAAAGTATGCATTCTAAATTATGATTCGAGTTATAATTGATGATATACGAATATTTGTATTTATTAATATATGTTGAAACACTTTGATTATATGCTAACACTAATTTACTTTTGGATTGTTATCAATACTATGGAATTTTTTACTAGTTTATAATATTTGCTTTGCGTATTATTTCAGAATCGCAAATTTTTATTTGCGCACAATATATGAATACGGTTAAGCATTTGACTACGTGGTTAATGTGCAAAAGAAGATAGTTTTTGATTGCAACGTCTATGAATTTTATATTTTTTGTTCAATCTGAAACTGTGCAAATAACTTTCCGAGAACTACTTCAGTCGAACTTGGTGAAAATCCTGTTAAACTGGCGCATGCGCTATTCCAGGCGTTCTTATGGAAACATGAGAATGAGCAAATGAGCAATGCGTATACATACAAATGCGCGAACTATGCTGGGTGCATACCTCTTAGATTTCAGATTTCAGGTCTTTAACTCCAATTTTTTTTTACTTTAATATGGAAATGAAATGAATGCATGAAACATTTCAATTACTTATGCTAACCCTAAACTTTACCGTTTTCTATTTAAGAGAACAATATTTCAACTTCATATATTAATTTTTAAAATATGTATGCAATTAAAATTATGAAAATTATGAGCCGATAACTAAAATATATATGCACATATATCTGAGTCTGTTATTATCAAAGCCGAGCGCATTTGAGCCCATGAAATTATTTAAAAACTATATAACACTAGATTGCAGTTTAAACAAAAAACTGAAAAAAAAAAACGAAAATTTCTGGAAAAATCTCAATTTTGGTAGCCGTTACACTACATTACCTGTATTGTTTCGGCACACTTAACGTCTACATGTGAGTTTTGCGCATGAGAGAGCTATGCAGACAATTGTCGGTAACAATTATTCACATACAATGAATGCCTGGGTTTGATGTGATCCCCTTGCTTTAGTTAGCTCGATTAAATGAGGACCACCGTTTAACATGATGTGAGCATATTTTTAGATGCTCGGAAGGTCTTTAAGGCTAGCTTTGTTGCAGATTATCAAAAGCCAGACGATCATATTGGATGGTGTTATAAAGAAGTGTTCTTCAACAGCCAATGATTCAAAGATAAATTAAATTAACTAGCTTTGCATAGCAACAACGTTAAACATAACGAATATATGTACAAACTATGTGTGCTTGTGCGTTTCAAAATAATTTAAATTCCACTAAATAGAGGGGCTTTCAGTAAAATCAATTATTAATTAAGAATTATAAAGCTAAATTAGTGTTTTTTACTAGCAATTTGACTGGTGGCCCACTCAAAATCGAATTTCTTCTTTAATACATATTTGACAACTTCAAAATTCAAACAGACTATTTTTCAAAAATATTAACTCAAATCTCTTTGTAACCAAGAATCAAATCTTCATCCAAAACAGCGTTCGGAACACCGTAGCATGTGGCCAAGTAGCCACGCCTACTATCCATTCGTATATTCCATGCACCATTTCCCATACATTTTTTCAAATAGATACGAAATGAAGAAGTGAACGAACCATTAGTTTTGCCAACGCAAAATAATACATGAAATAATATTTGCATCACATCAATGAATTGGGGAATTTGAAAGTACTGCACCCCCATCAATGAAATGCCAATTTTATACTCATTCTACAATCTGTTTACTTATTATGTCCACTTCACATCTACTTATATTAAGAAGTGATTGTTCTAAAAGAACGATCTATTTTTAAATAACTCTTGGTTCGGAATCTTATATATTTGAAGCCTTATATATTATTGAATGATTTTGCAATACGTGAGGTGGTTAAAACTGTGTGGTCTCAACTAAGGTATATTAAATTTTTCCTTTTCATTTAAACATGCAAACCTATCCGCAAGTTGGGATAAGCGCAATTCATAAAATACATGAAACTATCTATTTAAGATCTTATTTTTTAGTACATAAACTATTTGACCACAAGGCTATGAGCACACGCACGTCGCAGACGCATATTACAGAAAAAGAGAAAGAGAAAAATAATACGGAGACAGAATAAAGATAATTTTTCAAGCATTAACATTATATCAATACTACATCGATAGCAGTACAAATGACAATGTTGTCATTAAAAGAAGAAGCAAGAACCCCGTTAGAGCATAGTCAGAAATTTAATCATTTAGTGAGGTAAATTAGACTATGATCTTAAGTTCTTTCATTATTAATAAATCAGTTCAGTTCAGTTCATCGAGATAATTCCATAGATCTCTAACTATGATCATCTATACGATGATCGAATCCGGACATTTGAAAATAAAGTAAGATGAGAGCTTGCAATAATATTCTAATTTAATAATAATTAGAAGTAAATTACACTTTTTTTATTCATCATACTCTTAAAAGTAATTTTTCAATTCTACTGTATCAAGTTTTTACTGTTCATGACATCAAATATATGTGTGTCTTAAATAGAACTTAAACAAAAGGCATTACAATGAAAGAATATTGTACATTTAAGTATCAAAATGAATTTGTAAAAAGAAAACCTATATTGATCAAATATATTCGGTTTAATTTGCAGTTTCACATGCATCCACCCAATCGTTGTATACATCGATAGGTTCTGACAAAAAGTTAATTCCAGTTTGAAAGTCCTCTAGACAAACGCGACAAGTTATTTTAGCGGTATTCCGGCCTTTGTCCCTGTAAGGATGATAAAAGATCATTATTACTCTGAACTAATTTTAAAAAAATACGTACAAATTACATTTTTACTTCACATGATTTCTCATGATTACAAAACGGACAATTAAACTGTTGATCCAAGGGTTCGATGTTTTTTCTTTTAGGTGGAGGTTTTCTCTTAGATTTTCTTCTTCCCATATTTGATCAGGTAAAACTATTTTGTTTCAATTGATATCACTACAAACTATTTACTGAGTGTTATACAAATAGACGAAAGACTCGCATTGTTGCCATTCAAATAGAGATGTGTAAAATGTCAAAACAACCGGCAATGAATGTTTTCAACCGAAATGATATATCGGTAATTGCTTATCGATATGTGCCTAATGTTAACCCTCATGTTTCACTTAAATTATTTATTTTCTATCTTTTTAATTTAATAATAAATATAATTTAAGTTTCGAGCTATTAGTCAGTTAATCATGAATTAAGTTAATATTAATTAGTCTTCGGTTGTTCAATTAAAAAAATAATAAGATCATAAGGCCAGGTTTATATATATATAAATACATAAATCTCCCACTGTTGAAAATTTTCCTATGTAAGATATAGCTTATAGTCCTGGCGCATCAACTTAATACCCGCCCACAAAGGAAAAATCCTTTCTCGTATCAGGTGAAATATATTATTTAGGCATGAAATGCAGCAGCAAACATCCTACAACTACGTTATCAAGAATATAAGCAGTTTGCACCTGTGATCAAATAATCCGTTAACTTGTATATTCAAAGAATATTGTCTTAAGAGAATACCATTTGACCCAAGAAAATCTCGCCCATATGATAACACATATATATGTATTTTACAAATGAAATAAATACAAAATTTTCTTAGGATATCTTGCATGTTTCATAAAATATTGTTTGGCTGATACAACCAATAAAACTGCTCCAATTCACACAAGCATATGAATAACGGACTAGTATTTTAGAAATCAAATTTAAATTAGCTCAGTACTTCTCTAATATTAGGAAATTATTTCTTAATATTAGACAAGAGTGATCTATATTTAAATGAATGCGCCGCAAAATGAATATAACTCTTTGGAATTTTTTCTTAGTTATTTGCGGCGCTATAGTGAAACTCGCCATTTTTAAGAATGATACAAAAATATTACTGTATACACCATTATTAACATGTATTTCAAATGTTTTTTGGCTGAAACATAAGTGCTTAACGCTTTCTATGCATATGCTCGCGATTCTTGCGTTTCCAGGCAGCACGTCTTGATCCGCCAATGGTTTGCGAATATCTGTAGCCCTTGCCGATACCGCGAGAGCTTTTGCCTGCGGAAGTCAGACCACGAAGTTCACGATGCTTGTGCACGTGCTTGCAGATCCAGTTAACCTTAGGGTCACGGCAAATTGCATTGTGGTGGATGTCCACCAAAATAACTTCGAAGTATTTGTAGGAAGCGTCCTGGGCCACCCAGTAAGAATTCAAAACACGCAGACCACCAAGTCTTCGACCAACACGTTCCTGGAAAACAAATATACGCATAAATGTTAGAAAATTGTTCAAATTTAAAGTAAATTTGTATTTAAGTCATAAATTCAGACATCTAAGGAAGTTAGAAATCATTATTTTATCACAAAACAAAGAATTATCATCATTCAAGAATATTTGCACATTATATATGCATATATACTTACTTCAGCAATAGATTGCAGTCCACGGTAAGGCTTAAGTTGGTTAACACCATGGCTCTTAGGCTTTCCATATGTGCATCCCTTAGGCACTGGGCGCTTGCGACCACCACGGCGAACACGAATTCTATAAATGACATAACCTTGCTTTGCACGGTATCCCAGACGACGAGCCTTATCTGGACGAGTTGGTCTGGGCGAGCGATGCAATTTCGTCAATTGACGATACTGCCAAACGCGGATACGAAGCAGGTAACGCATAACATCACTCTGCTTCTTTCTATACAACTCTTGCATATACCGGTAGGCCCCCATGTCCAAAGTTTGATAGACCTAGTAACAAATGGAATTTGTTATTAGTATACATAATAACGTGTCACATCATCGGTCTATTAAAATTATTGTTACGTTCTATGAACCTAAAACAGAAACGTCTATTTCAATTAACCAGAATGCGATAAATATTCGCTATTAAGATCTACAAAATTTGTCAGCATCTCCATAATCTTCATTTTGCCCAAGGGCATAAGAGTGGTGCATGGAAAATATCATCATTTTAAAATGGACCGTAAATCTATTCTTTAACCAATAGCTGCATTTACCTGTTAAACAAAAAAACATTTTGATTAATTAAATGTTCCATGATTGTATCTAAAAACAAGTAATATTATTTGCCACACTGCAGAATAGCACCCACCTTCAAAGCCGACCAAAATCCAAAAGACGGAAGTTTGACAAGTTGTCATTTAGACTCTCTGTCAGAGTTGCTTTGAAAATGGGAATTGAATTTTACATTTTCAGGTTAGCAACACTAGAATGATTTATAACTATTTTGAAACAGTGGAATTGAAGAACAAACTATAGTTCGTATAACCAATAGTGCACCTGGTTTTCTGACTAACTTATATGATTAATTAATTATAATTACAGAGCTTAGCTAATTGAAAATATACAAAGTTGTACCTTGAGACTTTATTGAAATTTTTATGAAATTTGAGGTTCGAGCATAAAAATTGCAAATAATGGTCAAGGTATCAGTATATTTTTGAAAAGAGAAAACTAGAATATTTGGGCTCAAAACACATGCTGCACATATGATTGCAATCATACTGTTATAGTAGAATAAGCTGAAAATTGTTGATCTGATGTTTTAGTCGTTAAACATATAGTCGAAAACATATATATATTTAATATTTTTATTGTTATAATTGTAATTGGTTCGAATAAGTTATTTAATCTTAGTTGTAAATATAAATAAATAAAGAATCAAAGCAAAATTTATTGTCAGTTAAACTACCGTTAAGTTTTGCAAACAGCTTGTCGTCGTTATGGCGCTATACATGCTTAGTTTTCTTGTTTTCGCTTAGCGATGTTTTCCAAATGTTAAGTTGATTGTTTAAATGTAAAATAAACATATGCATAACGAAAATATGAGATGGCAAAACAATTTAAAATAGCTCCATCAACAATCACAAAAAATAGATTCTGCAAATATCCACACCTAGTAAACTGGAAAGCCAGAAACACGCTAAATACTATAATCTTTTTAATTTGATGGTTTTGTGGTTTTATTTGGATTCCACTGTACTTAAAATTGTAGTCGGCTCTTGTGGCATTTTCTCATTTAGCTTAATACATAATAAATGAACAAATAAAAAATATATATTCTATTATTAAATATGAAAATCCATTAGGATACAATACAATACACTTTTAATTGAGTGCAAATCTGAGATAAACCATTTTCAATATGTTCGATTTTTATTCATATTAAATAAATATACAAGCTTATTTTTTAAACTGGGAAACTGATTGGCACAGACGAATCATTCGCTATTATTGTGTGTGCAGTATTAGATATGAAACAAAATGCGGAAGAGTACTCAAGATTTCTGTTTCGTTCGCATGAACTATTATTATGCTTGTAATAAATTGAAAACACAACAGATATTTAGACATTAAAGGTTTTTTCTGACATATTTATTGAAAACTAATATGCAAATCCTTTATTTTAAATTATATTATAAGTCTTGCAAAATTTTAATTCTACATAAATATTATAAAGTGCTTGCATCCACCCGGCAAGCCACTTCAATTCGGACCACGTTCATACTTATTATGAGATATTAATTACAATTCATCATGGCCATTATCATCTGATTCAGACTTCGCGTCGGCATTTTCTTCGTCATCGTCGTCATCGTCCTCATCTTGATTATCTGCGTTCTTTTTCGATTCCTCTTCATCTTTCTTCCTCTGAACTTCATCCTGCAATTCTTTCATTTTCTTCTCGCCAGCTTGCGTATCCTTAACGCCAGCCGCTGTTTTGGCTGCCAGTTCGATGTCATCAGTGATGAGGACATTGTCAAATATCGTGCCAGATTTCACTTGCCACAAATCGAAGCCTAACGTGCAAATTTCATTACGCAGATAGATTTTATCATCTGGACTATATTCAGGGTTATCGATTTCTGGATGCTCCCAAGCGCCCTTATAGTTGGGATTGTCCAACTGCTTAGGCTGCCATTCCCCTTTGTATTCAGGATTGTCGACCATTGGTGGTTCCCATTCGCCATCCATTTCATCATCCCAATCCTCAGGCTTGGTGGCATCAGGATCTGGAATGTGCTGTGGCTTGTCCCAATCTTCGGGTTTCTTATCGTCTGGGTCGGGAATAGTTGCCTGTTGAGCAATTTGAAATAAATAATAAATACATTTGAAATAACTGTAAAGTCAAGTCAATTTAACATATTATATAGAGTAAGGCAACTATCCAATACTTTTATAAACTTCTGTGAATAAATTTCCATAACGTAGCAATACAACTTTTAACTACATTTGATTTGCCATTTTATCACTACCTGAACCAACGGAAACTTGTTATTCTACGCTTTGACTCGAAATATATATATGTGTATAACATATATAATGTATGAATGAGTAAAAGTTGATTTCACTAGTAAACGATTCATACGACTATTAATAGCACTTAACGTAAATGAAAAGTTTATTTTATCAACTCGTACCTTATCGTCCCAGTTTTCTGGTTTGCTTGCATTTGGGTCCTTTATCTTTTTGGGCGCCAAGAAGTCCCAATCATCTTCAAGATTTCCAGACTCCACCTTCTCATTGTCAATCAGAACCTCATAAGTATTGTCGGGCTTAACAATTAGAGTGTAGAAATGGGTGTAGACGTCATCCTTGCATCTGATATCCTTGTTGATCAGATGATTTTTGCCCTTATAACTTAGAATGACGTGAACTTTCTTGGTACCGGGTCCACAAATATCGGGTCCAAACATAATCTCATAGGGTGATTCGCCATGCATGTCAGTTTGGTCCAGAGAGCAATCAAACAGCTTCACATAACCACCCCCACAATCAATATTTTGCTCGTGTTTCACTGAGAACTGAACTACCAATGGTTTATCTTCATTTGAGAATCCATCGAACTTTCTAGACAACGCATAGAAGCGCGCGTCTTGTGATGTTTGGATGCCTAAAAAAAGTACATTTTATTAATGGTTGTTGCTATTATGTTTAGATACACATCATGTCCCAGAAGTACAGCCACATACATACATACGGACACATGCATACATACAGACGTATGTGACGACATACATATATGTGAATGAATAAAGAGTGTACGTACCTTTATCTGCTTGAGCATCGTTGAAGAATGAGCCTGAGGAGTGAATAAACTTGCCGAATTCTTTTCCAGGATGTTTACTGTAGACCCATTCATCCTTCCAGTTTTCTATAAAATATATACAAATAAGAAACTCACGTTAGGCTTATTTATTTAATTTCCATTATTAATACACGTTTACCATTTTCGAATTTTTCCTCGAAAAATACTTCGGCACTTACAAGTGCTATTGTAAATAGTGCGACAATCGCCTTACAATACATGATGCACGCGTGTTACTTCAACAAACTCCCGAAACAAACTTGTTCTACTGACTGAAGCAATCTGTATATTTGTTCACAAACGCCGGCTATGTGGAAGGTTATTTAGATAGCAATTGAAAAACGTCAAAAAGGGACAAGTATAGTTTATCTGTAAAATCGGTGGAACGTTTTCATTGGATACATGTGGACCAATCACATTTGTCTACGTATCAAGAGTGTTGTAAAATAGCTCAAAATTATTCGATACATAATATAATTTATCGGCGTTCAATTTATGTGCCAGGTATGCGGTGAAAAGTGAAGAATGTATATATTCGATAAGCAGACTTTCTATTTATATTTGTTATTGATATTTAATAAAATTCTTCAAAAATGAAGAATAAATTCTCTTAATCGAATAAATAATATTTTTGCTCTGTGCCCTTTTATCAATTTAGCAACTTGAAGGAATAATTTTCCTACCAGTTAACGTATATATTAAGGTTAAGTCTGCAAGTGTATTATGATAAAATGAGTGTTTCTAGTATTGAGAACTTAAACGCTATTATTTAACTTATTCAAGTCAAGTTGAACAAGAGCTTTTATTAACTTCACCTTAATACAGCCCATATGATATACTTTTAGACTTTAATAGCAGAACCAACCAACATATAGTACTTATAATTTTGAGGATTTCACCTGTGAAGAACATTATCTCATTAAAATGTATTTCTCGAATAGCAATATCAATCGATTTTAGTCTCAGAACCCATTGCAAGTCGAATTGTTCACGTTTTCATCAAATCATTGATCTATGCGTTATTTAGAATATCATACGTGTGAAACTGTAAATGTTAATTAAATGTTATCTCAATCATTTGATTGGAATCGATAACAAATTTCAGTTATTTAAACATATTTTACACATTTTACACAATCTTTAAAACTAATAATACTCTAAAAATGAAAGCTTTAAGTATTTTTGGATGCAAAATCAAAAGCTATTATTGTCACTGAAAAAAATGTAATTTTCAAATAAAATGTCCAGATTCGAACCTACCAACGACTAACTTGTTGTGCCGCAAGTAGAGAACTGAAGTAGCATCGGTCAGTTCACACAATATTTAATAGCAATTGCGAAAATTGTTAATGGAATTTTAAAAATGCACTTAATTCCTTTCCACATGGTTTCTCTAATAACTGCTTCAAATGAAATGCTTACCAAATAATCATCAATCTACATAGTCTATTGAAAATATGGCATATCAAAATTCCTCCAACTTTGAAATTTTTAATCGGTATCCCACATTTAAAATAAAGTATCCCACAATTTAAAAAAAGCTGTAGTCGGGGTGCCCGACTAGGAGATACCCTGATCACAGCCCTATCTGCGTTTTGTAATATTTTCCGTAGTTTGTATAAACGAAATAAAAATCGACATTACGACACCAAGATTCGAACCCCCAGTTTATAACACTCATCAACTCTTTTAACACCGCCATAATCAAAAAATTATAAACAATAAAAAATGTTGCTTCGCTGCCAGGTTTGAACCCAGGATACCAACACTGCCACTGCACCTTTTACCCTATTTTCCCATTTTCAAAGGGATCAGGATATAAAAAACACCGAAACTACCTGAAAACTGGTGAGACTCTAGCTTAAAAGACGTGGCTGATATTTTGTAGAAATTGAAGTTCGATAACAATCTTAAACAATTTATTGAAAACTAAAAAAGGTAACGTTTATATGAAAATAAATTTCTGGAACAACAGTTCGGCAAAGAGTTGGAGATGTCTCCAACAATTTTTCAATTCTTATGGACAGTTTGGAAAATAGTGTTTGATACCATGATATCAATAACCATCAATTAATAACCACAAACTTTGAAAAATCTTTTCATATTGGCCTACGCAATTGGTTGCCAAATTAAATAATTCAATATAAAGAAGTTTTCATTTATTTGATTATATTTATATTTTCGATTATATTAAGGGAAGGTGCTCTGCGCAATAGGAGGACTTACATACGTTACTATTATTTTACTATTTATGTTCTGAGATCCATATATCCATGCATACACAGACACATACATACATGACTCGATAATCTTAACTGTTGATCCTGGTCGAGAATATATATGTTTTAAGGGAACTCCCAGAAGCAGAAGCCTGTTCAAACGTTTAAAAAAAACATACCCTAAATTCGTATTTTCTAAATACAGACGAAGAGACCCATATGCGTATAATATATACACACAATATATTTTTTATAATGTCATTATCATTACTCTGAAATTTTAGAATAATTCTTGTATTCGTTTCAAATAATCTGTTGTCATATTTTTAAATACTTTAAGGATAAAACAATAAACTTTCTATATTAAATAGAACAGACTATTTTATCCTAAAATATGTATACATATTATCATATATTAACAAAATTACTTGCTAAATTTTTGGTGATGATAATAAATTACTCTACTTAATTCAAATGCACATAGTGGAAACAGCTTTTGATGCATTTCATTACCATGTGAGAGACGATTATTTGAAATCGATAACCACACAAAACATTGATATGTGTCTGTAGATAGCTACACATAACTTCTCTTCAAAATTTAAATTTGTTTGGATTTTTCATCAAGATGGCTACTGCAGGTTCGATTTAAATTAAGATTTAATTTATATTATAATAATTTAATATAATTAATATATTTAAATAAACGTGCGTAAAAACAAGGAACCATATTCAATTAAAATTTCTCCCCTCGTGGCTTTACGTTTGACACGTAATGTACACTTCATATGAATGCGTGTATATTGGTTCGGTATATGCATACATATATACATAAGCTATTCAATGTAGTAGTGTATGTATGGCTGTTAAATATGTATTTACTCATGCATCTTCATGAAAAGCAAAAAAAAATATATACTTTTATTTTATAAAATTGTACACTTCTCATAATATTAAGCATGTGAAACTATTTGAAGAAATGTGTGCACATAATTTATAATTTTTTTTTACTTGTTTATCTGCAGGCAAGAAAGGGAAAAAGAATAAAGGCACTGTTATTTCGTTGCAATCGTTCCTCTCCAATGGTGATACACCCGTAGGAACAACACAAGTTTCAAAAAAAGTTAGAAATTTGGATGGTGATGAAAGTGATGATGGAAGCCATGCGTTACCTTTAGTTTATCAGTTACCAACCGCGCCTAGAGCAAATAGAATATTCGATGATGATTCTATCCCTCATAAGCCACCCTTTATAGCTTATATTAACAACTTACCATTTGATGCCAATGAAGAGGATATATACGATTTCTTTGGGAGCATCAATCTCGCTTCATTAAGGCTGCCACGGGAAGATGGTGACACTGGTCGATCTAGAGGATTTGGCTATGTAGAATTGGAAAGTAGGGAGGACTTAATAAACGTGCTAAGTTTGCCGGACCCCTCGATTAAAGGTCGCCGCATTCGAATTGAATTATCTAATGAAAATGATCAACAAAATCGCCAGAAAGGCAATCGTCGTTTTGAAGGTTTTGGAAATACAAGTGAAAATCGTGATTCTGGAAATTGGAGACGAGATAGTCAAAATAATGGAAGTAGCTTTGGGGGATATTCTGGAAATTTCGATCGCAGTTTTAATCGTGAACGAAAACCAATTGCAGAAAGAGAAGAAAATAATACTCCAGGTTCATGGCGTACAAATACCCGGCAGCCGTCCACAGATTTTTCGCCTCCGCGTAGGGACCGTGACACACGTGAAACATCTGATAAATATCGCGTTCGAAATGATGCTAATGTGAGAGAAGATTCTGCTACTTCTGAAGAAAGGCCAAAACTAAATTTAAAACCTCGAACTCTACCAATGCCGGAGATAGTAACTAAACCAGATGATGATGATCAAGTCAACGAAATTGATAAAAAAGTCAACAATAAACCAAGTGGTTTACCTTCGGTAAATGTGTTTGGGTCGGCGAAACCGGTAGATACCGCTACAAGAGAACTAGAAATTGAAGAACGTTTAGCAGAAGCTCGACGACAAGAAAAGGTACGTTTTGACGAAGAAGTTATAAGTGAAAAGCTGTCGGAAGTTCAGCTCGACAAAAATGATAGTGAAAATGCTAATGCGGGAACTATAAGTTGGCGCCGTACCCAAGAAATTAGTGATGATACCAAAGTTAGTCAAGGTAAGTTTTCAATGGAGAAATCTGTAAATATTATATTACAAAACCATAATCATTTACTATTAAAGGTGAACGACGACGCGAAGATCAAGATTACAATAGATTGAACAAACCGCGGGAGCGAAATGACAGGTAACATTTAGTGAATTTACAAATTAAGATAAATATTATATAATATTAACAAATAATAGAACAGCCCTGAACTCGCACTAACACACTGTTGTAAACTTTCTACTAATGGCTATACATATTCACCAAACCACTTGCACAGACTTGTTTTAATTATACAATAGTTAAACGTGCAAATTTCAAAATTTAAACTCGCTCATACCAGTTTAAGAAATTAGTCAGCCGGTCTGAAAAACATCAGTCGAATCCGTCCAGATGTTCGGAATTAGCAACAACCACTCTTACACTTTTTAAATGTTATATATATTTTTGGATTTGGATTTTGGATACTCTACAGGTACAAGTTCATCTAGTAGAGTAAGCTCCTGTATACATTATATATAGGTAATGAATATATTTATTACTTTGCGTACCTCCCTCACACCATCCATTCTCCTAGTTGGCCACTCCCTGCTGGAGAACTATTGATTTTTTATTTGGTATTCAGGCCAACTTTATAACTCGCACTGGTTCATCCGTGGTCTATATTTTCGCCAGGTTCGTCCTGTGAACGCGTCGATGCTAGCAATTAGACAAGTCACAAATTTGAAATAAAGAATTTATATTATATATTCGTATATACACTTATATATTTTTCTTTGTATTTTTTCTTTTATAACGCTAAAAATCAATAGGCTGATAGGTACATTGATTTTTTAAAGATAACTTAAAGATTTTTAAAATTCCAGGTTACATTATTTCGAAATGTTTATATCCACTTTTTAATCAATTTGAACAATATTTTAGAGCAATATTATTAAGAAACAAGCTTTGACATAAGATTAGCTCGTACATTTTTAGACAGCTCTCATCTACAAATTAGAATCCACAAAGAAAATAACTTATTGAAAGGTATTTTAACTTACCGATTCTATATATTTATGAAACGGGTGATGTGAAATATGTCTAATATATAAATTTAACATAACTGCTGTAGGAACGGGTCTGCAGAACATACTGATAATCCATCTACTAGAAATTTTAATTTGGGTTTCTTCATGTTTCTTCGAAGTGATCAATTTAAATGTAAAAAAACAATAACGGCATTTTAACGTTTGTTTTTAAAATTATATTGCAAAAAAAAACACTTAATTTTTATATGAATTTTGAAATAAGAAAAAATGTTCATATCGTTGTGAAATGTTTCTTGTTAGAAAAACATAAATACAATTTTAAAATATTATTGATAATTTGTACTTTTAGATTGGAGAACACAAAGGCAAAACATAATCAGAACAATGAAGGAAAAATTAAGGAGGAAAACAAAAATAAACGGGATCCTCGAAATGAACGTCTTCAGGCCAAGAATACACCTCAGCAGTGTGAACCTGTAAGTAGAAAAATTATAGTATATAAAATTTTAAATACTAATCCATAAAATGTTGATATTGAAAAATATAAAAATCGTCAGAAAAAATCCATAAATAAATAAAAATTAAACATAAGTATATATTGTATTATTCAAAATATTTTAATACTGTTATTTTATATATGCTTTCAGATTTTGCAGTCTTCCAACAAATATTCTGGACTTGACGATGAATCATCCGAATAAAAACTATTTCTATATTTGTAATAAATGATTAAAATAAAAAAATTAACGAACACATTTTACAAGTTAAAAATAAAATCACAATTTTGAAACAAATCAATAATTAAATAAAATCAAAATTAAACAAATTTTAATCTGTTCATTCCTATCAAGCTACGCCTCTGACGATAGATCAAACGGCTGAAGATGTTTTAGAACGTAATGGAAAGTTAGCGTTGGTTTAAAGATCTTTTGATATCGACGCTGGTAATGCCTATATTGCTAATGCTTCCATACCTTTAACCTAAATAGTCAAATCATAATCTAAAGTCTAAGCTTTCTAGCATAGTGATAACAGCAGTTATGATATGCCGACTGCTTTTTGTGAATAAAACTATTGCATTTGAAATCATTGTATTGCATGAGAGTTCTATTTCTTATTGTTCTTGTTTGCTGCAATGGGTCATTAGCATAAGCCCGATGTGTAGTCCAAATAGACATTTTTGCTAGTCATATGTAAAATTTGTACATGCATTGTGACAATTTTCTTTGTTTCTGTTTAATAAAATCTATTTTGCTACAAATTTTGTGAATTGTTGAAAGCAGAAATACCGAAACACCCATAGAAAAGCAGTAGATGTCCTCTTCGTCTTCAATAAAATTGCTACGATTTGAAATCGAACTTTGATTTCTTCTCTGTATTTGCTCTATTTTCGTCACGCACAAATGGTTCTCTTGGTTTCGATTTCTTAAACTTTCTCCGAGCGGTTTAGTTTCAGACCAACCTCATTTAACCATGCAGCAATATCTGCGCTTGAACTATGTGGCTGCGCTGCACTCGGATTACCTATGCAGAATTACATGAAAGCTTCCCTAGTTCAATATTCTCACTTGCTCAGAATAGTAATGAAAAGTAGAATGAAAAGTCAGAAATAATTTACCAAAATGAGTATGATTTAAAAATATATTTATTGGAATGTAATATTTACATCAAATTTGGTCTACACAATATAACAGCTGTTTAAGCATTCACTCGTAAAAGTGTTTCTCAACCCATCGAGGTAATGTAAAAGCAGCCTCATGAATATCACTTGAATAGTACTTTAAATTTAGAGCATCAGTTTCAGATTTTTCAAATCTTTTTGCTGGTTTTTCGAGTTGGCGGCTTTCATCTAAGGAGCCTATAATGAATCCAATGTGACCACATGGATAAGATGGAACTGAGGTAATGGCATAGCCCACTTTTGGGAAATGCAAGGCACATCCGTTCATTGTTTTCTTTACGTAATCAAAGTCCAGCCAAAAGCTTCCCGCTTGAGAGCATACAACACCTCCTTCTTTTAGAGCTTGTTTTAGCAATCCAAAATAGCTTTCTTGGAACAAGCTCACGGCAGGTCCAACTGGATCCGAGCTATCAGTTATAATGACATCAAATTCATTTTTATGGTTTTTCATATAGTCAAATCCATCGCCAATAGTTAGAATTAGCTTTTCGCTATCAAATCCGCATGCCATAGAAGGTAAGTACTTTTTAGAAACTTCAACGACACGATCGTCAATTTCCACTTGGTGGACTTCCTTAACCAATGGATGCTTTACAACTTCACGTGCTACGCCACCATCACCGCCGCCAACAATCAAAACCTTTTGTGGATTCGGATGACAGCAAAGTGGCAAGAAGGATATCATTTCCTGGTAGGAAAACTCGTCTCTGGTAGTACACTGAATGATTCCATCCAGTATCAGGCATCTTCCGTACGTCTCTCTGTGAATAAAGAGTTTAGAACTTATAAACATATTTTCATGGAACACTTATAGATAATACAACTTAGATATTAAATTTAGTATTAACCTTCGACCATACTATATTCCATAACTATATTGCTTTTCTATGTTTTCTTTTTAATCAAACGAACAATTAACCGAAAGAAGACCAATATTTTAAATCGTGAGGTCAACGAGCGTGCTTTGATAGAGTTCAAATCGTCAGATAACAAATAAGTTGTGCAAGTTACACTGCTTAGATGCAAAGCCATGTGCCTTTAGCTGTTGATAACATGTATGGAGGATTTCGCAATCAACCGTTGCCCTTCTTCTACCCAAGAATTCCTGGCTCTACTGTGTAAAATGAGCTTAAAGTAAATGGATGATGATAATCAAAAACCATTTGATCCACTGATAACATAAATAAGGCTTGTGATAGTCAAGCTTGAATTGTGAATATGTCTTCTTCACAAAATTAATTTATTGACTTTTCTTATTATTAATAATTCATTTCAATGAGATAAGTTTAGTTTTCACATAATGGCTATAGAAAACATTTCTGAGAGTTGAGCTAGTCTTTAACCACAGCTTAATTTTTGTCTATTTTTGAAACAATTTCAGTACATGTGTACGTACGTATATACATTTATACAGGTTTGGGATATTTATGACGTAACAAAATTCCCTTTTAGTATAAATCAAGCTCAACTGATAGTAATCAGTAACCCTTTGTGACATACTATGGGTACAGTTATACAGTTACATACTTAAATAATTAATTAAAATTTAATTAAACAGCATTAAAGAAACAACGTTTCACTTGTCATACATATAATTTAAAAACTTAAAAAATTTTAAAAGTTCTAACTCACGTTTCAACGACTTGGATATCTTGGAATTCCGACTTCTCCTTGTGAAGAATATCTTTAACTTTTAAAGAAAATGATTGTCCAGGCCATAAGTCGTCTTGGACTTCACTGAACCAGCCTTTTAAAATTGTATCCATTAATAAATATCGTGAAGGAGAAGTGTTAGTACAAATTTTGATTTGGATTAATATCAATCCACACACATGTGTGTTCAATCTATGTTTGATGTGAAACAATGCAACACGTGGGCATGGGCAAAGTAACCGTATTTTAAAAATACTAAAGTATTAAATTATTGAAAATACTAGCAATAAATACAGTTCTTTTATACCCTGAATCCATTGAAAGTGGGTAAGGTATACTGCTTTTTAAAATATATGTTCATGTCATAAACTTTATAGAAGTTTAATTTTGTTTTAAGTCTTGTCGTATACCATATTAAAAACAATATTCTTCTTTATTTCTAGTACAAATTGAAGTGTATAAAAGGTTGAGACTCCAAATTTACTAAATGATAAATATTAACGATCTAAGATACATTCCTTCACAAGTAATTATAAAACGTACGGCCGCAGGAGCTCCTGACGTCATTCCCATTTGTAATGTTTATTAAATTGCTGTTCTACAGTGTAAAAACGGATTTATGATAAATCTGCTTACAAATGATTTTATTTAATTTTTTTAGAACCCTTTTTGTGGCCTTTGTAAGATTTACGTCTTCATTAAATTCCTACGTCCCAATTAAATGTAGTCAGTGTGAATGGACAAAAAAATTCGATTACATCCGTTATTTTACTAATTCGATATTTTACAGATATCTGAAATACATCGATAAACTGTACAAATAAATATCGAGCATCTCTAGTAAATTGTTATATGAACTCGGTGTTGCGGTGTGTTAAATAACATGTGCATAGTTTGAAATATTCTTATTTGCTAACATATAGTTGGTTATTGTGTATTTGTAGCCCACTAACATAATTATGGAAGAATATGCACGTGAGCCATGTCCATATCGAATTGTGGATGATTGCGGAGGTGCTTTTGCCATGGGTTGTATAGGAGGTGGTGTTTTCCAAGCAATTAAAGGTTTTAGAAACGCACCATCTGGAATGAACAGACGAATGGTATGCATGTATTTAATTTACTGTATATAAACAAATATTACATTTGTGTGTACGCGTACATCGTCCAGAAACTCTTTAAGTAGAAGTACGAATTATATAGTTACGGGTCACTTGCTACAGCGAAATTTTAAATATAGCGGCTTCTTTAGCAATATCGTTATTTGAGTATTATTTTCCACATGTTTCTTATGACTTGTTGATGGTTCCAGGGTTTGGCTTAAATATTGGAATGACTTAGTCATAATATTTCCCCACAGACAGGACACAATATCAATTATATATATACATCACCGGATAGAGATCCACAAGCGCATTTCATCATTAAGCCATTGGATGGCGCATTCTATTTTTGCTAATTTTGTTATATTGTTTTGTTTATTCTGTTTCTATGCATTCAGAAGAGGAGCTCTTTATCCTACAAGAGCCACACATACGAAAGTAATTGGCTCGTGCGAAAATTATGGCAGATAAGAGATATATAGATAGTGTAAAGATAGTGTACTATACTTACCATGGATAATTTCTATGTATTATAATTGATTCTTGAATGATTTCTATAATCGGGTATATAAGTATATATTCAAGTTGTATAGACTGAAGTATGATTTGGCTTACAACTATTCAATAATAGAGAGCTGGGATAAAGGTTACTCAATAGATAACAAATTATATCAAACTTTCTACTTATGAATTCTATAATTAGTCATTCCTTCATAAATTTGTCTCAAATTCTGCAAAAAAAAATTCTGCGACACTTTCGTTTATAAGTACGGCTGTGTATAAATGCCCTCTTGAGAACCTAATGTTTCCATGAATAGATGTCTCTAAAAATATAGATGCACTAAGGGTGTGGGTATATTTTCAGTACAATTCCATTTCAAGCAGAAGACATATATAGAATACATATAGACTAGCGACATATACGGGATAATTGAGATTTGGATTTATAAAAGACTTTTAGATTTTAGATGATACTAATAGAAATTTTCTATCTTTTAGCTCGGAAGTATAGCTGCTATTAAAACACGATCACCCGTAATAGCTGGAAATTTTGCAGTTTGGGGAGGAATGTTTAGTACAATCGACTGCACACTGGTTCATTTTCGAAAAAAGGAAGATCCATGGAATTCAATTATAAGTGGGGCTGCAACGGGAGGAATTTTGGCGGCACGAAATGGTAAGCTATATTTCAAAATTCCTGATTGCAGTCACTTTTCTGGAAAAGTAGTTTTATCATGAGCAGCACTGCTAATAATAATAAACAATTTATTTTATTATAGGTATTCCCGCGATGGCTGGAAGTGCAATCATAGGAGGAGTACTATTGGCTCTTATTGAAGGTGTTGGAATATTATTTACGAGAATATCCGCTGAACAATTCAAAAATCCTACCCCGCCAACTGAAGATCCAGCTGTTTTGGGAGAATCTGTAAATAATTTCGGGCTCAGTCCCTCTAATAATAAACAATATCAATAAATAATGTTCTTCCTTATTTAAGAATAAATTAATTTGTATGCACAATAAAACCTAAATAAGATTTAAGATTTTTTTGTTATGTCCTGAATAGGTAGAAAGTAAATGTATTACATATTTATATAATGTATATGTTTTTGATAAATCACGCAAAACACTTATGTAGAAATTACACTCTGTTGCAATCGGTAAGAATCGATTTCAATCTAGTAAATGTTGCTTACTGGTATAAAGTTTCTTGGACATCTATTTTCATTTCCACAAAATCAATAGGTTTTGCATTTTTTACTTAAAAAAATTATTCAAGGAACGTTGTAAAAAGTGGGCATTTTGAAAGCGAAATTTATCTCATTCAAGTTTAAATAGTATGTGTGATATATATAACACTTGGCATCTAAGAAAAAGTGTTGACTGTGATCTTTCCTGGTTACATCTAAAGTATGGAGTCAAGCAATTAGTCCCTGTATTTTCCAACATGCATTCCGGATTTGTTCCTGCAATGTTGCAATGTTTCACATTGACCTTTATGTGTTCTGCATATATGGGAATGCCTTGCTGTCTGCTGGATATTGTGCGTTACCTAATTATCTCACCCACAGATCATCCTTTAACGTTTGCCCTTTACAAAATTGCATCGCATGCAGCTTGCCGGCCGCTACACTGGAACCCTTCATATGCAACGTTGTCCAAACGTCCAAATGCGCAAGGGTAAGCCAGCAATGTGTGGGAGCTACCGTTCTACGGATGCCACCTGAGGATGACCTAGCAAAAAGCTGTCTGTCCATTCTGTTTCGGATTGTGGTGAGAATGCTTTGAGTAGTCGTAAAAAATTGACTGTTAAATAAAATAATTCTTTAAGAATACTATTTAATTTATAAACTTTCATTTAACTGTTGTCTTCAACAAGCTGTTCGATTTTTCTTCTAAATTTGAATAAATAGTAAAAAATACAGACTTCAAATTATAAAATAAAAAATTGTTTAATAAATAATTTATTTAATATTTTACTATGAACACAAGCAAGTATTTTCTAAATTGGACTTTATCCAAGGAATGAATTTACTTATACGCGTATAGACCCCAGGATATCCTTCGCGTCCGCATCCAACACCCCACGATACAACACCCACTATAAAATATTTGACCCCATTGGATAACAAAAGCGGTCCACCGCTATCACCTTGACATGAGTCCATCTGAGGCCTTCCAGCACATAACATTGTTGACGTTATTCGCGTGCTTTTATATTTTTGAGTTCGGCATTCCGCAAGAGACATTATTGGAACCTTAACTTGATTCACAATAGAGGGCAGCTCTCCTCCTTCGGAAGTTCGACCCCAACCAACGACAGTTCCTATGCGACCTGCAAAGAAAAATGTGTAGTATTTGTAAATTTCTGACATAAGCTTTAGGAATTCAGTTAGCCTAGATATTCTCCACAAATAAAATGTTAAGATGTGAAATGAGGAAAAATGTGTTCAAAATGAATAATTAAATTAATCTTTTCTATATATGGTAAAAAATAAATACCTGCGGGATCATAGTTGTATCGCGGTAGACAAACTGGTTTTATTATTTTTGAAAATAAAATAGGTTTCCGGAGTCTAAGCAATGCAATGTCGTTGTTATAGGTATCTGGATCAAAGTTTTTGTGCTTTATGACAGCAGTAACAGCTCTTTGGATTGCCTGAGACTCCGACGTTATCTGTTGATCATGATCACCAAATATTATTCGGATTTTGGATCGTCTCAACTTTTTTATACAATGAGCAGCCGAAATAACGTAATCCTTGGTTAGCAAAGATCCTCCGCAGTGAAATTTGCCATCATAAATGATTCGTGCCATCCATGGGTATTGGTTTATGCCCGTTGGCTTTCCGCCGACAATTCTATTTTCTTCATTTGAAAATCCACAATCTATAAATAAAATTCGATTGTTTTATAATTAAGCACAGGTATTTGTAAATGTAATGGGAATATTGCTCATAAATAAATGAAACCACGAAAATACTCATACACACATGTAAATGAGATTTCTGACGCATTCAATTTTAGAGCCCGCGAATACTGCTTAAAGTGGGCTTTTATACGAGGTGAAAGGAGTGTTCGATTAGACATAAAGTTTGGAAAATTATTTATTTGTGGCAACGTGGCAAATCAAGAATTACTCTATTTGCATGCAAAAACATCAACAATGGAAGTGCATTATTTCAGAAAAATATGCTATTAATCGACCTAGAATTAATATCAGCGACAGCGACCAAAGGGCTGTAGTTAACTGGATGGCCTATATTTCGATTTAATCAAGGCAAATATAGAAAGTTTACACCACGCCAGTAGAACTAATGCTGGTGCTAAAATTTCGAAAGGTTACTCAATGTGAATAATAATACAGAGGATCGCGCAGTCAAAAACCCGTATATGTACACTTTCATCAGTGTACGTTTTGGTGATGCTAGTTCACATTGATTCTCATTACATTCGATGGGAATACCAGAAACAAGTGAGAAAGCTGTAGTCGGCAGTGCCCAACTAGCAACATGCAAATGCTCAATTATCGAATATATTGCAGAAACGAATTGGCAAAAGCCTGCTTTTCCCATGGCTATATATACATGTCTGTATAGTACATTGATAGGAAAAACTAATATATTGAGTTCATTGCAAATGTCTTACCACAGTCACAGGTTGACAGGCTGTTGTTCTCGCTGTATTCCACATCGTCTTCTGTTTCAAGACCGAAAGCGTTTGAAACCCCGGAACTAATGCGAAAGATAGTGTCAAAGAGAAATTTACTGGTTCTCTGTGTGTTATTTAGAGATATATTATGTCTGGTAAACTGATCGAAACATGTGACACTTTTATCAAAAGTCACCATTAATATTACTACGCAACATAATATATTCATTTTTATAATTGAGTAAACATATTTCCTAATTATATATTAGGATTATTTCTTAGACTTTAAACTTTGATTTTAATTATATTTAGTTACAATTTACAAATGTAAATATTGTCACTCGTAAACGACTCGCCTAATATAGGAACGTAGAGTACAAACTGGCTAAAATAATACTTACAACCAGGGATCTTAGTGTTTGTTTTAAGACATATTTTAGTTTTTCATATCTAGCTTCGCGTAAATCATTAATAATAATCAAAATTGTAATGATAATATTTATTTGTAATCATTTATTTCCTAATTAGGGTATTCCATAATTCTTATTATCAATGTGTCGACGCGTTTCAATCTTTGGTTCAACAAACTGAAATGAATTTCAGAAGACTTACTAATATATATTACTCCATATTTGAAGCTTTTAAACCATTATAATAAAGAAAAAAAAAATGTTAAATGGGTAGATAGGGCTGATCGGGAATGCCAGATTAACGAATACCCTGACCAATAGAAAATGGCAAATGGCAGGGTATCGTGGCTGTGTAACCGGCAGAAGGCTTGGCAAACCTATCCGGAGTAACGTTGAAGACTACAACATTTAAAACATATATAACTTATATATGATCATTTTATTCGAAAGTTCATTTCATTTCATTATTATCGATAAGATTCGATAATTTTTTTTTCTTTTGTTTAGGCGCTGTTTAAAGCCGCAAATCAGTAAGTTTAATGAATACACGGACTTTGAATACTTTGCATTTTGGATATCTTCTCCCCATCACGCAAAATGAGAAAAAAACGTATTTAATCTAGATGTTATAACTTGGGAAATTCCTTGAGAAAAGTTAATCTAAAATAAAACTTGTTCAACAATTAGTTTTCCATAGTAAATCATGCTTGAGTTGTCTAAGCGAAGTTGCAGTGTTAAGTGAGTGCGCTTATATGCGTTTGTGATTTCACATAATATTAGAATAGTAGCTATGCGCACGGTTCCGGGTATCTCGACTTAAAATATTTTAGTGCATTTCTACAAATATAGTCACGTTCCTGCTTTTTATTTTCATAAAGGCGAATGAATAAAAAATGTCCGATTTCGTTTGAATAGTAAAATTCACCATTTAAAGCGGTGGGAAAACGCAAAACGGGGAAAGATGGAATTGAATAACTGGAATACTAGCAATTTGTACATTTTTTTTAAATACCCAACTGAGCAATTTGAAGCTTATAACCTTAGAAAATACGATATAACGAAACAAGTGAAGCATAGTGTATAATCGAGCCGAACAAGTTATCGATTACTTGAAACAAACATGATCTGTAGATGATGTAGATGTGATGGATTATTGGCGTATGATAACCACCTATGCTGCTGACACTTACGAAATTCGATTTGGTGATTAACGACATATGGAAATACAACTAAATTAATTATTAGACAAATTAATGTGAATTTCAAAATACACGGAAGGCAAAGTCCATCGCTCGTAAAATCCGTAATCTGTAAATCCGTATCTGCTTACGGACAACCCGTATCTATTCTACAACGTTTCCTATTGACACTGACATGATTCAACTTTCAGAACTTAACTTCCGTAGATATCAAAGGCTACTTCGGAGGTACAAAAGTCGACATGCAAAGTCATTCGCAATGTCTGGCTAGTCCAGACGTCCATTCACTCCTTGACGTAGCATAAGGCAAAAGGTTATAAGTTCTTAGTAATTAATTATGACTGGAAGATACTGAAAATTTACTGACTCACCGAATCTTAAGACTTATAATGAGACACGTTTACTCCCCAGACTGCTGAAAATTAGACTAGACTGTGGTAACTAAGGGCATACCAAAAAACTGAACAATTGTGCTTTGTGGGGTAAAGCCAGCTGAATGAGTTTCTTTTATCTATTAGAATGATAAAATAAAAAGCCGTGCGATCCGAAAGTTCTTATCAACCAGTTAATAAGCCTTAGTCGTACCTAGGTTCATTGACGTTTCCGCGTGCCAAATATTAACCCGAAATCCCGAAGCAGACTCACATTAACTAGGAAAAACTTCCTTTAACAACTGACTTATTCGGCTTTCAGGCCTGTTGCCTGCGCTGACAACCAAGTTACTGTTGACCGCTTTAATTGACTTACAAAAAATAATGTGAGAAAAAGAGGCGAATATCCTTTGAAGCGTGGTAGTAACTGTTGACCGGCATCTTAAGAGGACGCAGACACAGAGCAGTATATCCTATCTTAGGGCTAAGATCGCTAAATTTTACCATGCTGATCCGCGATAACCTGCACCTCAGATAAATCATTAATTTTTAATTGAATTTGAGGGGAACGTCCAACATGCAGTCGTTCGCTTTTCATTGCCTTTCTGATTCTTACTTGTTAAGCATTGTGTTGCGTTAACATATATGATGATAATGACAACGAAATCGTTTGTTCGCAGGTTTTGTACAACTATTTTTTCAACTTCGATTCGCAATAATAAAAATGAGTTGCTGTTTTTATTTTTAAATTTATATTTTGGTTAGTTTGAGTTTACAAGTATTTCAGGTTCTATGCTTTCGTAAGAGAGTTCGTTCTAGATCGCGCTTTTTTTGTTTTTTTGAAGGACAGAAAGATGAAGCTGGCGTACCAATTTCAGCTTCGTGAGTATCTTTTGGGTCGAAATTAAATTCATCATTGGAATTTGCCAATTGTTTTCGGAATATGGCTGCACTGTTGGTAACACGTGCATTGGGATGCGTTGGTGGTAACCAGGAAACCTTTCGAGTGGTGGAATTATAAAAATAGTAATAGCCACAGCCGCTATCATAAACATCAACCCAATCTGCAGGAAGCGGATATTTTCGAATTAATCTTTTATAGCGACGAAGATACTTTTCCTTTGGCTTTGGCCTCACGTTCGCCCATTTGTTAACACAGTATAATGTACAGGTGTGCCAAATATTATAGGTGTTGGGACAAAATTTAAATCCATGATGTGATTCTGTAACCCCTATACGTTCTTTTATCCTGTCTGGCCACAGATTTTCACTAACAGCAGGGTGCTTAGTAACAGATGTGTTGTGGGCTTTATAGTCAGATGGAGGGTTTTTGTCATCCTCATCATAATTTTCTGCGATAATTTCTTCTATTGCTTCGGGTAAGTGTTTTTGTTCTGAAAAAGAGGTATAATACAAATTATTAAAAAACGAATAAATATTTTGGTACAATGCACTTAACATATATTAAGATGATGATATCTGTTCTGAAAATGAATGAATTCTGTCGAGGGTTCTCTTAGCTTTTTTTTCTTAAATCTTGTTTAAAACAGTAAAAGGTATTTCTGCACATGTGCATTTCTCATACAACATTTAGCTTTTGGAAAAATATCAAAATAATAAATTTGTTTATTTTTGTCAAAAATGAAACAATTTTCACAAACAATTTGTTAATCTTAAGCACGGAATACCAGTTTTTCAGATTGGCCCCCTTAATAAAGACAAGAGTGATCTGGTTTTAAATGTCCGATATATAGCACGTCCGTCTATTACCTTTTGCACCGGCCACTCATCCATGGTCAGACATATCAAAAATCTGTATATTCATAATAACCTACGCAGTAAGCTGCCTAGTTTTTGTGGAATTCAAGATACACGTAAAAAAAAAACAAACAGCCGGTTATCGATGAGGAACGAGTTATCGAATAAAAGGCTTAACTCATGTGCGCGGTGTCCACATTTCAAGTATGGCTTTTATAGGGTACGAGGTTAGTGTGTTCATACGGATGTAGTGATAGATATCGCTAAATTGACTGAGCCGCTTGACACGCCTCCATATGTCTGTTACATACATTTCCACTAAGCCCTGAATTCCTATTTTCAATGTATTCAGTTTTAAATACAAAGGAAAGTAACCAATATATTACATCAGTACATAAGCACTGCTGAAGAATTAGAATTAGAGCAATTACTGATTGTGTAATAAATTCAAATCATTCGAAAATCATCATATCACTATGTAAAAATATTATGAATTTTGTATAGCTATTAAACAAAACACTTTTTTTTAACAATCTCAATAGTCTATCAATATGTCTATAATATGAAATACGACAATCAATTTTAAGCATATTCGCAGTAGCAGGTAATCGGCTATTCTAATGTCATGCTCAACGTTAAAATTATTATTGTTCATAAAAACATGTAATTTTGTATCTTATTTATTATTTCTTTAATTAATATTCTTTTTGATTACATTTATACATCGAATATATAAGGTAAATATATAACTATTAGCTTACCATTTTTTGCATTAACCAATCCTCGTGACTTTAGTCGTTGCAATAACATAGGTGGTAAGCTCATTTCGAAAATATTTTATATTGTCTAAAAATGTAAACATATGAAAATACTTTTTATAAAATTTTAGGGATGATACCGGCGAATGTGGAACGATTCTAAAAATATCGATATTAGCACAATGTTCTCACCACAAGTGTTTAAAATCCGATGGGCATATGTGTAGGGAGTGTGCTTTGTGTAATTTTTCTTTCCTTTTTATAGTTAATAAAAAATTGTTTTTTAATAATTGTCAGTCAATTTAAAATAAGAATCCTTTGAGTTTTATTTTAGAATATGCCTTTTTTACAATTACATCTGGATTTTCCATAATAGGGAATATAAAAGAAAACGGAAAGCTTGCTTCGGTAAATTATACATTCAATTGGATAGTACACAATGTTTGAATAGTGATATTGATATCATCCATGAATTGTGTTTGTTATCTTGACATTTAACCGGACCAAAACTAAACCGTGATGGCATTGTACAACAATCGATATAAGTAAATAATCGAATTCTAAAAAATACATTCGTTGAAAAGACAGCGCCAAAAACCAGTTCAAACTGAAAAAATTTGAAGTCAAGAATATGACGAATATGAAATGAGCTACTGATAATGCTATTTGAACAAAAAGGCATTCATTAATTGATTGATTAATTGATTTTTCATCTGGTAAAGTCATGCTGAAAACACACTATTAAACGTCAAGATAACAGAGAAGGCCTTGATCACATAATCTCTTGATTTAATTTGTATTGTTATCAACCGCTTTTTTGTAATACACGACAACAATGGGCAAGCTTTTGGTATAATTTATTTAGGTAGCAGGAAACAATATATATGTTTACCGTTTTGATGCAAAAGTCGCCAATAAAATGATGATGACCAGATGGACTTCAATAAATAGACTTCAAAATTTCTGTTACTCCCGTTATAGGAATGAAGCTGTTTTTGAATTATAAACTAATACTCGTTGTCGCAGTCGGTTGCTTCGGACGTCAACGTTCTCACTTATTTTTACTGCTATTTTTGGATTTATTCGAAAGGTAGCAAGTAAGAGTCACGGTATTTGCGAAGGCGGTTTTACGTCCTAAGCCTGAAACTAAATAGACAATAACCTTATCAAATTAGGGTTTTTTTTTGTATTGTTAATAACAGTTTTTTTTTGTAAATCTTGTTTACAAAAACTTAAAACGGTGTCGAAAGGTTTGATTATTTCCGAAATATCATTTCGCAGTATAGAGGCAGTATGTAGACGTGGAGGAAGTGTATTGGTAAACTCAACATGCGATTTCGCAGATGTTTCAAAAATATAAAAACCTTTTTAAAGGGAAAACTATCACTATTTTCATATTCATAAAGTGGAATATTTCAGTGACTGGCTTTTCCTTACGTCCCATACATTCAGGTTACGAAAATATCACAGTAATCCTCTAAGCGTCTGTCAGTGATGTTTAGTTATTGTCAATATACATAAGAGTAAATAATTGTGTTCGCGAACGCCTTAAGATGGGGGATCTATGTTTATTTGTTTTGGTGCGTTTAATACTACCAATAACATTAGTATTCGGTAAGAAATACACGAGTATATTTTGCATATAGTTAAAGCTAATAATATGGATTCATACAGCTTCGTTGTCGCGGCCTATCGGCATATCAATGATCTATCTTTTTATGTTCTTCGCATCACCATGGTTATTGCAAACTAAAAGTGATTCTCAACGAAAAGTATTAAAACGATTTCTTATATTTTCTTCCGTATTGAGTGCTATCATTGCTATTGGCCATCCCCTTATAAACATTGTCAATTTATTGGTCCCATATTTAGAGAAAAGAAGTCAGTTAACATTAATCTTACGCCAAATTGGATTTGCGGATTTTGCCGGACTGGGGTAAGCTATATTGGATTGGAATCTTGAAGAAACATTAAGAGACTTTACTTTATAGATCTCTTGCAATATTTCATTGGTTAGTACCAGAAATACTGGTCCTAATTGTTTCTTTGATCCTACTGTTTTTTGTTTTACTATCTGGAAAGAAATCGGAGATGGCGGACAAAACTGATAATGGGTCTGAAACAAACTTGGAATATTCAGATATGAATCGGCTACTAATAATTGCTTATGTGCGATCTGTATTGAAAACATGTAAGCGTCATTTGTATTTATACTTCAATGTAGTTTTAACCGCAACGAATTTCCTTTTCACAGCACCAATATTTGCATTAATCGTTCTCTATGCAGCTGCAATCTTAAGACCATCATTACCTGGCAGCATATATTTCATGTTATTTCTTGTGGCTGGCACATATTGGGCTCTATATAAGCAATTAACTTGGTATTTATAAACATATATAAGCGAACTGATATTGATATTTGTTCAACATATGTCAGATATTTGGCTATTTTTTATGATCAGGAAAAGGAGGAAAAAAGGTTAGATTTGGCAGAGTGCAATGTCCGTGATATTTGGCAAGTTAAGTTTGACAAGTTAAGATTTAGAAAGAGCTCTTATAACGCTGTTGCTTTTGTTGCTAATGAAAATAGACTCTTGGAATACATACTCGAGTGTTACCGATTTGGAGTTTACACATTGAAAAGAATTGTCTTCCACCAAGGCCCACTTGATGTCAATATTAATATCATTATCATTGTTGAGTCCTCTACAGATAGTGCAATATTTATTCTATTGATAGTTTTGAGGAGTTACAAATGTTTTAGAAGTAGGCAACTGGTCGTCTCTATAAAAGGGGGGCTCTAACGATTCTCGTGGCGACATTTAAAGAATTGCCACATAGGAAACATTGAAATTGTCAATACTTTTGGTTGTTTGTGAAGGGGTTTTGATAAGTATGTTGCTAAAAGCCCCATATTTTACAGCGGTTTGAATAATATATTGATGGTCGTTGCCATTGCTTTAGTGCTGCAAATAATTTGTTTTGCTTTATACCAACTGCCAATAATACAGAACTATTTGGATAGCGAATCAATATGGGCGCGGTGAGTTGAATATTACTCTTCAAAGAGGTTTCCATTCGTAATATGATGTTTGTAGAATTATGGGCTTTGAAGCTCTACTCTTATTGCTTGACTATAATGAGGATAGCAAGATAGTGAAACTAAATAATAAACTAAATATCGATTCATATATGTGTATTCTTGCATTCATGTGGGCATATTTTGTTATTGTCATCAATATTTTACACCATGATCGGTACAAATTAATTTTTACCACAATGCGAATGAAAATGGCTTCCAAAGATGAACTTTCCACAAATTCAGTAGCTCGATTCTCCGAGCATATTGAAGTTAGAGCCTCCATCAGTTTGAAGCCTTCTACCCTGGAACAGTTCTTTTATTTGATTTGCGATCTCACGACTTTCATATACAAAAATAGCTACATATTGCTCAACATAATTATGATGGTAAGTATAAGTATATTATTTCATTAAAAGTTGTTGCTGCAGACTATTTAATATAGCTAATACATACTTTGATGTCCATGTCGCACCTCACTATTATAATGCAAATATTTTGTGCTTTTCAGATTTGGTCAATTATTTATCACAGCTGGCTAACTTTCGTGCTACTTATTTGGGCAAATATCTTGTGGATGATACCCAACCAGCGTCGATCTATGATGCGTTCCAGTTTCTTTGTGGTCCTCTATGCTGAGTTCCTTATTATTTCGCAATATATATACGGCATGAATATATATGAAACAGAGCTACCCACTAAGGTGATGTATAGATATTTTAATTATTAATTTCTTTAACCTGTCCTCTTGTTGCGTATATCCTGAATACATTTGTATACATTTTCCTTCTATTCATATACTCTCTGTCTTTCAGTATTCGTTTTCCACATATATATATGAAACAGAGCTACCCACTAAGGTGATCTATGAGTCACGATATTTAGATATTGTAATTATTAAGGACCTTATCCTGTCCTCTCGTTGCGTATAGCCTGAATCCATGTAAATACACTTTTCTTTTATACATATATCCTTCTATCTCACAGTATTCGTTGTCATCATGTAGCTTGAATCCATTTGTATACATTTTGCTTCTATTCATATACCCCTCTGTCTTTTAGTATTCGTTGTTCATACATTCTAGCTTATTATTAATAAAATTTATAGAATAAGAATTAGTAAATAGTTTGTAGTAAAGTCCAGTCGCTGAGGAGTTTTACCACAACCTTAAGAAAATTAAATTTAAGAAATAATTTAGGTTTTTTCTAATGTACTCTCCATAGGTTTACGGATTGAATCTTGTGCAGATTGGATTTGTTCATCCACGGGATAGTGGAATTCGGCCAAGTGTTCCGTTAAGCGTGAAAACAGTTTTTCTCTTTATATTCTGGATAACATCGCACCAATATTTTAAAGAGAAAGCAGAGCATAAAGTTGAAAGTGATATCTTACTTCATGTTTTTGGACCGCGACATTCGCGATCGGAACACACATTATTCGAAAAGTCAAGGGCACCTCGGACAGTCATATTTATTTTTGAAAGCGTGTCAAATTTTGTAACTCGCATTTGGATGTGGATGCTCATATTTTTAATATTTCTTTGTGCCATGATCGATCAAGTTATGACAGGATTTCGAATATGCTACATGTCACTGTTCCTTCTTTTTCTAATGGTCTTTCAGATGTCGTTGCAGCTGTGGATAAAGTTTTTATACGGCTATTGGATGTTTGTGATATTCTATGCTATGACTATATTAACTATTATATATACCTATCAATTCGACTATTTTGACCACTATTGGGAGACATATCTAAATGTTCAGCTTGACTTGTAAGTCCCATCAAAGATAGCTTTATTATACCAACGTCTTATATAATGTATACACTTAGACAAAATGATATTGGCTTACGTCGATATCGTACAAAGGACCTTTTTCTGCATTTGCTCGTGCCAACGTTAACAGTAATATTTACGGTCGTTCAACTTCATTATTTTCATCGGCGTTTTATAGAATCGGTACGCCAGCCAAAACCAATCGATGACAAAAAACAAAGCTCTCGAGCACGACTTAATGTGGGTAATAGTCAATATCAGAATACCAAAGCATTACGTAAGAGATCCTGGAAATCATTCTTGAAGGACACGTATGTAGAGTTACGTGCTCAGATTCGGCGCTGGTTCCGTCCATGCAAATTAATTGCATGGCGTTTTCTTGAAATTCATATGATTAAAGCCGTTGTATTTATAACTTTTATATGTGCCATTTCTGAGATATGCTGCTTTAACCTAGTATTAGTTGTACTGGCACTTATGAGCGTTGGCGTCAATTCGTTCTTTCGGCGTGTTATCTTTCGCATAGTGACATTTTGGATTTCGGTTTTAATACTGATAAAGATGATCTATCAGATTAAGTATTTGAACCACAAGCAATATGAATATTTTTGTGTAAGAATTTATATATTTTGCCACTTCGATTTTATTAACTCATACGATTTGTTTTTAGCAAAACCAAACAATTAACTTTGCTGATTGGATAGGCGTGCGAAAAACTGAACCGGCTTGGGGCTCACTGTTGCGCTATATAGCACCGTACATAGTCTACATGATCATAACTACATTGCATGCTGTAGTCAAATTACGTGATCATTTAATACGATTTTCTATGGGTGAAATTCGGGAGCGCTTAGTTCTTTTTCCTGAAACGTCTCGTCAAGATGCTGAACACAATTTCCCTGGCCTTATAAAGTATCTATGTAACTATGGGTATTTCAAGTTTGGTTTGGAACTCACTTTAATTGGTCTGGTCTCGACTATAGTTCATAGATGTGATGTACTTGCGGTGACATACATCATATGGCTTATAATTCTACTGTGCCTGAACCGTGTGCAGTGCGCTCGCATTTGGTATATTTTTCAGCTCTATTTTGTACTATCGATATTTGTACAATACTTGTATTTAATACACTATATTCCGAATCTGTGCAGCAGTAAGCTTGAAAAAATCACAATATTTCCAAAAACTCGACTAATACGAATCATTTCAGATTCAGCCGAAAAAATGAGTACTCGCCATAACTGGAGTGCGCCAAGTTTTAATGAGCTTTTGGAATCTCCAATCAAATCGAAACTTTTATTAGATTTTATTGTTCTTTTATTGATAGCTCGCCAGAGAAAGGTATTTAAAGCAGAAATGAGTCAAGAAAATTCATCACAGTTCAGCGGAGATAACAAAAATATTGTTCACAATATTGCAAAGCTGGGCCACGTGTACTTCAGAAATCCCACGCACGATTTTTGCTCATTCATTCGCAACTATTCAGATGTATTTAAGACCTTCGTATTCTGTAGCTTTCTCTGGGTCACGCTTGCCATCGTATTTATGGGTGGCGTGTGTAGCCTGGATATGCTATCATTAGGTTATTTGATATTTGCATTGGTATTTATGCTCCAAGGATCGGAAGTTTATTTGCAAAATATATACTATATCATCTGTCGCTGGAACTTTCTTATCGCATTTAATGTATTCAACATAACCACCAAAGTCTGCGTAATTGTAATTGGAAATTTGCTGAATATAAAAGATAAACAAGATTACCAGAGTTTGTTTGCTGTAATGCAATATGATCCCGTAGTGCCGCAACTAGAAAAGTACAAGCAAAGCGAAGAAGTTGACAACTACTATTATGGTCCAAGCAGCTTCATCTTCAGAAACTCCCTTATTTGGCATGCGATTATTTTCGCTTTTCTTATCTTTCAGCATCGTATATTTCGATCATACTATTTTTGTCACATAATTATGGATACTCAAGCCAATTCAGTTTTAGCGTCTCGGTAAGTTATATCTAACAAAAACGAACAACTACAATGAAACCAATTGGAAGGTACCGACTGCATAATTCTCATTTCCCGCTCCCCAATGAGTAGCTAATGTAATTTTGTAGGGAAGATCAACAGAGATTTATCTGAAAATTATTAATCCTAGCTCTAAAACTATGAAAGATTTATTTTTGTGTTAAATCTGCGTTAACATTTATTAAACGTGGATATATAAAGAAAAATACTTCTCTCGATTAGCCAAATGTCTTCAGATTACCTGATGAGTGTTGCTCTATATTCTTGTTCTAATTGTTATAGCATATTTCTGGCTTATACAGAATTATTATAATAAACTATTATATAAATCTTTTATATAATATATTCGTAGTGGTGCTGTAATTATTGAAAATTTGCATTATAAGCAAATTTTTGATCGAAGGGAGTACGAAAAGAATGTGCTTGAGAGAGTAAAGGCGAAGATGGAACTAATCAAGGCTAGCAATAAAAAAAACTACAAAAGTAAGTCCGATGCCTATGGAATAATTAGTTGAAACGCTAAATTGACTTTTCGTATTTATAGAGATTCATGCGGTAACTCAGTATCCGGAAATCCATACGCGGGAGCAGTTAAGTTCTAATAACAACAATTTTTGCTTACCTTCTTCACTAAATCCACATTCCAGGTCAAATCCGGTGAAGAAGCGAGACTTGCGTCTTCATCCCCATGCTGTGAGAACCGGAGACTACTATATGTTCGAGAAACATACTGAAACTGATGAGCCTATTCTATACGAAGAGTATGATTTCCTGGAAAGGGAGGATAGGCGCGCGCGTGAACTTCTTATATCTGTATCATCGCTCACATTTCAAATGAACCTTACTGAAAGTATTCTATTTACAGTGTAAGAAGAAAAAAGAACGCACAACACCACAAGGCAACAATTATAGCTCGGATTCTGAAATTGACTTTAATACAAATCCTGTAGTAAAACTTATGTCCGACCTAATTATACTGGTGACGTTTCGCCTAAATCGGTTATCCTGTAACTATCGGTTTGTACATAAAGTTCTGTCGGCCGAGAAGAAGACCTTACAGGACATAAGTACAATGAATCGACTTGGACTAGTCAATACTGCAGCAATGTTTAGTTTTTTAAATCAATCACTCTATGAGTAAGTATTTTCATACCCTGAACCCAGGGAAAATCGGAATCGGAATCGGAATTTAGGCTGTAATGTTTTGTGAAAATCTGCATCGACTAGAGCACTCTTGTTTAAATTTGATAATAATATCTGAAAAAACTTTTTATTTAAATTTAGAAAACAGTTGAACGCTATTAACTCTTCAGCAAAAGGATCGACATTTCTTCTCAAAGGAAAGGGCTCATCTTTCACTTCAATAGATCACAATTGTTGTGTGCAAATGTTGATTTCTTTATGGAACACGATTATTGCCAATACGGAAGCGGTTTGCTATTTGGCTGTATGCGTAAATCAAGCTGCAAATTCCTCTATAATTTCATTGCCAATGCCATTTCTCGTCCTGTACTGGGGTGCCCTTACATTACCTCGTCCAACAAAGACTTTCTGGGTTACGCTTATAACTTACACATTGGCAATGATTTTCTTGAAATGCATAATGCATCAAAAAATTGTTCTTGACCCCAATCTTATAAAACTAGCCAAGACAACTGACTTTGAGCTGTTCACAAAGCATGGCAAGGCTGTCTATGATCTTTTGCTATTGGTTGTACTATTTTGGCATCGATACATGCTTAAGAAACAGGGAATTTGGAATATGCCACGATCGGAGCTGGTTTCATTAAACACAATAAGTATAATATATCTTTAATTTAAGTAAATACAATTAAATATATTTAAATTCGCAAGGTAGCAAAACCTTAGTCAAGGAACGACCAGCGGATATATTGAGGAAACTGAGGTATTTTCCTTTATCCTATCTGATAATTGGCTCTGATTGATTTATAAGTACTTAGGGAAGAGTCTGGTAGTGAACAGAGGAATGACGTTACCTCTAATACAGCTGATTTGGAACGGGACTTAAATGACTTATTACGACCTGGAATGGAAAATAAATATGCTTATCGTAACATTGAATCAGACTATTATCGCCTTGGAATGAAAGATTTAGGGTAAGCCATACATAAACAACTATAACTTGAAACGTCGAGATTCTACACCTACAAAAGATAAAGATTGAATATAAACAGAGATTGTTAGCAGCTCGACATTTCTTATTATATATTATATATAACCATATTATATATTGGTAAATGTATTAGCTAAAGATATATATCCGCTGATCTTATGGTCTAAGCAAAATAATACAAACATTAACAAAAAAATAATTAGTGTCCTACCCACAGGCACAAAGGTGGATTTGTATGTCAAATTAAGGAATTCTTTTTTGCTTTACTTCACAAGGCACGCTTATCAACAGATGTGTATACATTATTGTTCTTATGCGACTTTTTTAATTTTTTCGTTTTGTTATTTGGATTTCCAAAGTTTGTGGTAAGTGTCACAATTTCATTGATACACATTTGTGTTCCTTTTATTTTATAATGACATGTTGATTACTTATATAACTACTTCTTCTACTGCATCAATTTTCGCAAACCTTATCGGACTTCATTTGTTGAAAATAGGCAGGAAAAAGCATGCAAAGCAAAGTCTATTTCTAGTTTAATAGATAAACAAAACAAATTATTCATAACTTGTACTGAGACAGATATGACATATAGTCATATAAGGCTTACAGGGATACTTGACATATCACGGCTGGTTAAAACAGACATTTCTTTGCAAATCAAAAAAGTTTTCAGAATTTTCATTGAACTTATCTACAGCATAGGGTGATTTGCTAGCCAGAATTGTTGCACAGAATTAGTATTATTTTAATAGGTATTGATAATATTTAAGTATTCATATATCTTATTGCATAATTATATCTTCCTGCGTCAAAATGATCTAAATAAATTTATTTGCATTTATTTTAGTATCGCCATAAATATAGTACCAGTGTTTTAGAGACGTATATTCAAGGAAACAAGGTGCCCTTCAGCTTCCTTTTCATGCTCGTCGTGCAATTTTTGACAATTGTAACGGAACGTGCCATATACTTACGCAAAGCTTTGGTCGTCAAAATTGTGTTTCATTTCGTTACGGTTGTGGGCATACATATATGGATGTTCTTTTTGGTGCCCTACGTTACTGCGCACAGCTTCGGAGCTACTGCACCAACTGTGTTCTATCTGATCAAGTGCTTACACATGCTATTTTCAGCCTACCAGATGCGTTGCGGGTATCCAAAGCGCATTCTGGGAAATGTTTTTACACGAAGTTTTTCAATGGTAAACTATGTGGTATTTAAAGTGTAAGAAAAGCTGAATTAAATTGGACTTTAATTACTCTAATTATTATTAATAATATAAACCATTTCAGATATATGGAAATACCATTTCTCTACATTTTACGCACATTGCTGGATTGGTTATGCATTAAAACTACACTTACAGTAATGGAGTGGATTAAAATGGAGGATATTTTCCAATCCGTATTTATTGTACGTTGCTACAGGCAAATGGATGCGGACTTTCCAGTTTTGCGGGGAAAGCCTAAGGCATTTTATACCAAATGTTTAATTGGAGGAACTATTATATTAATGCTGATAACTCTCATATGGAGTCCACTGTTTCTTTTTGCCCTGGTCGGAACAGTCGGAAAACCAAATGTTCCTAGCAGAGCTGACATTTCCGTGAAGATTGGGCATTATGAACCCATTTATGTTTCCCAAAGTTACTCTGGCATACACCAGTTTTCAGAAAGCGACTATAAAAAGCTACTCAAAACCTTTGGCTTTGATATACTTGCCACTGATCACATTATGATATATGATGCCGTTGATGTAACATCAGTTAAGTTTGATGCTAACTCTGTGACGTTATGGAACATGTCACCCCCTGATAAGACGCGCTTGTTGGAAGACTTAAAGACAAGTAAGCCCTGAGTCTATTACTAAATATGATATCCTATAAAACATTTTTAACTAGATAAGAATCTGGATATCCGTGTAAGATTTTCCTTTAATAGCGGCGTTTTGACGGATACCGTATTGTTTGAAACAAGATACACCCTTACGAAGAACAAAGAATTGACTCGTGAAATGCTTATAGAAACATTATCTGATGATAATATGGATGTCAAAGTCGTCGTGCCTGACATATTACCCAAATTCCTTACAGTCCAAAAAATGAGGGTGTATGTTAAATTTATCAAAGATTATGATGGTGCGTATAAAAAAATAAAAATGCTAGAGCGAAAGTGTTACTCTTTTCGATAATGCAGATTTATCATCGACCAACTTACGTCTGAGCTATACCCAGACCAATAGAGTATACCCTGAGGCGATAACTATCGATAAACGGTAGAACTTATCGATTTTAAATATATGCTTTTATATACCGTATGCAATACGATCGTTTTTAGAGCTTTTCTCATAATATCTAATCTCATTTTTTACTCATTGCTATACATTTATATTTAGTCTTGGTTTGTAGGGCATACAGCGATTAAAAAAATGTTGTATTTCGTAGTCAGTCCATTCCATTTTCCCTAAAAATAAAATTTCGTATTTCATTCCATTTCATGTAATTCTATTAAATTTTATTATACAATTAAGTTAATTACAGTTAAGGAAACTTCTTTAAAAATTACCACAAATGAGAATTCTTTGACTCGGTGACAAACCGAAAAGAGTGTATTGGCTTTTAGCAAAACAAAATACAGCTAAAACTATTTACTTTGCAGAAAAATCGTATAGGCCTATAATATTAAGAAAAAAAAGCGACGAAGGTCAATCATGGTGGGAAATGCATGACTTCTGTGATGACAAGTTCTACAAGAATGTCCTTTCTAACCTACCCTCAAGTGACTGCGAAGGGGGTATAGTTTTTTATATCTTCAATGATAAATCATTCCCTTCAACTATGAGTTTTCTTGAAAAAACTGGGTAAGTATGTCTTAAAAATCATGCATCTTTTAAATTACTTTAACTGATTATTTTAAATTTATGTTTTTCCTTTGGTGTGCTGAAGTGCCTACACCTCGTTTTGCCTGTATAAACATGTTTTTAAAGTTTTTACTTAATGTACATTTTTGAACAGTCTGCAGGAAAAATATATTTTTTATATTGTTTTTTTTTTAGGATTATTGGCCTCTATACGACTTGTGTCTACGTTGTGTCTCGCCTTATAAGGACACTTATATCCAACAATCATCGACGAATAATGTTTGAGGCTCTACCGTATGTAGACCGAATATTGAAACTGTGTAACGACATCTATTTGGTGCGGGAGACCAAAGAGTATCGCTTGGAAGAAGATTTATATGCCAAGCTCATATTTCTCTATAGATCACCGGAAACGCTTATTAAGTGGACACGGTACAAGGAAGAGTTTATAATTGATATGCCGTCTTCAGAGAACAACTCCAAAAAGGACTCACCCTCAGATAACAAAAATCAATCATCGCAAACGCCCCCGCCCACATAATTACAACTATTATTGCTCATATTTATTGAAAGTATATTAAAAAGTATATGAAAATATTAAAAAAAAATATGGGTTTACTGTGCACTAGACCTAACCGCTTTCTAGAACGGGTGAGATCGAGGCGAATGCGAAGTTCGGCTAGATTTTCTGCACAGACTTCATGTGTTAACAATTACGTTCCAGATTTTTATCTAAATATAAACTACCTTACTTTGTTGTATAATGAAGTGCTGTATCACTATATATTGATCTATGTTGTTATCTCTTCAATTCAATTAACAATTAGGATTTTATAGTTTTAGTTTATTTAAAACTTAAAATTATATCATAAATATCATGTTAAAATGGTACTTAAACGCAAACGTAAACTTAATTGTTCGGAAGGAAGTTTAGACCTGGGAAAACCCATTCATATCAACCACAATCGTGGAGTGCTGCTCTAACGCACATCTGCTGGTGGTAGGTAAACTGCTTCCTTTAGTGTAATTACGGGTTGTTACAGCTTGTTGCCGCTTGTTACTGCTTGTCGCCGCTTGTTGCTGTTTGTTGCGGTTTGTTGCTGCTTGTTACTGCTTGTCACTGCTTGTCGCCGCTTGTTGCTGCTTGTTACTGCTTGTTACCTATTCTAAATGGCTGATCGGTGATGCTTGTTTTTGTTATTGATGATTTACTTTCCTTTTGAATCTTTTGCTAAGTGGTATGTATATGGGGTTACAGATATTTTCAGAACTTACTATTGACGCAGACAAAATAAACTGCTTATATGTTTGCAGCAATCTATATACTAATGTCTTTAACGGGTTACAGAATTTTGCGCAAATTTTAAAATTAAAAAAGTTCTAGTATTCAAATTATACTTTAGTTTACCCTAAAATGCTAAAATATATTTTGCTCAATGCTGTTAGGAATGGAAAAAGAGTCATTTTAAAAGCGAGCGAAAATTTCAAACGTGTCCTGTTAAGTTAACAGATTAGTTTTTTATAGTAACAGAGCTCAGAATGGCACCGATAGAATTTAACATATATCAGCAATCGCATGTTATTCATATTTTACTCAAATGGTAATGGAATGCCAATAACATTAAATTTAAATAAATAAGCAATTAAGCTTGATTTGGTCAACGGAAAATTAACCATGCAGAGTACATATTTTAAGTCCAACGCATTTAGATTTTTTATTGTGGAAAACAAGCTACAAAACTGACGGTGATTTGAAAATTCGTTTTCGTCAGAATCCCACTGGATCTTGGTATATGCTTATCAAACTATCGATAGGTTTAAGCACTAAGTGCTCTAAACTGAGATAGAGTGCAATTGATAGAGTGCAATCGAACGCGAACAGCAACGGTCATACTCGGCAATTGGTGCGGAGTAAATATTATTAAATTTAGATTTTTGTTTGTTTTAGATTCGTAATTTACAAATTTTGCTATATTACAACAAATTGTCAGTGTAATGTGTGCGATAATAAAAAATTAGTGTTTAATTTTTTTATTTTGAATAATTTAAAGGTATTTTCCTAATTATTATTGGGTATAGATCGGTATAAATTCTGTGTAGCAACTAAAATTAGGTTTGCGCGTACAAGGCTTTGTATTATAATATAGGTCACATAAGCACATGCAAATTTGATATATTTTGTTCAATTCTTAATGATAATATTTAATATTAAATCAATGCTGTTTCACTATTTACGTTCGCTGTCTTCTATGGAAAGGTGTTGTTAATTTTATGCTCATAAGCTACCAGAATAATCACTATGTTCGGAGTTTGGCAATCCAGTTAAAGCGGGAGACGACCAATATTTCGTGTTGCTTTCATTTACCAACATTTCAAAAAAAAGGCTGCAAAAGAAAAGAAAACAACATAAAAAGCAGCTTTTGCAGTCATCCAAATACTCACTTAACTTCAAGCAAAGAAGTAAAATACATGAATATGCATACAGATGCACTGAAAAAGCAGTATGATTGTATTTTGAAGATGCTCTTTACCGACTGTGTGTTCACTTTTAGCTGCGGCACACTTTCGCTTTTTATATTGATATTACAAAACTTTGTTCGGCGGGCATCCACTTCTGATTAATGTTTTCTTTAAATTTGTAAAAAAATCAAAGGCAAGATAACAAATAGCTGTGTGTAGTATTTGAGTACCCTTTTTTTATTTCTCACAAAAGTTATTTGTAAAATATATGTATATATCACACTAGGATATATATAAAGTTATAGTAATTATTGGAACAGCTTATTTCAACTCTTGATCATTAAATTTTCGTTTGCCGATTAAGTGTTTTTATTTTATTCTCCAAATCCAAATCTTAATATCTGTATAAACTTAAGGAGATTATACATATACGACAAGTATGCGGCTTTAGCTTTTAAAACGAGCTGAAGATTTCTAACGGTTTTATTCAATTGTAAGATAATACGAAATTCTTATCGATTATTTGGCACACAAATTAGCTGAAAAACGTACTGTATCATCATAAAGTATGATCTACATGTAAAACATTAAAGCTGTAGCTCTTAAAGGTGCCCAGATCGACGCGAGACAACCTGGGCTTGATCGCCTCTTCTGTAGATCGTTAAAAATGTATAAAGCGCTTGTGGCTGTCACGCCTTTATTATGGCTGTTTCTTCAATGCCCATTTCAGTAGCTTCAGACTAAAAAAAATTTCTGATGTAATGCTAAATTAAGTCAATGTTATTGAAACGAAAAAAAAAAACAGAGATAAAAAAGATAAATATATAATAATAAGCACGAGATAAAGAGACTTGTTAGATGCTTACTTTGCTTGAATACACAATACCGGGTATGATGCTTACGATCTTGACGGTTGTGGACACACGCACCAAATCATATCCACTCCAATCAAACTTTAATGCTGAAAACAGTGTTGCAAAACGGCAAAATTATATGCTACAAAGAAGTGTTTCTCTTAAGGAATTGGCAGCTCCATCGCATTGTAAATGTCGAGAGTGAAAGGTCAGAGATCAAAGGTCAATTTAAGAAAATGATTCACAAAATCTGTTAATCGGTTTATGCTTGTGACTGTGTTGAGGACTAAGGCTATAGTTTAGCGTATGATTATAAAACATTTAATTAAGTATTTAAAAATAATCTATAGAGTATACAAATATTGATCAATTATAATCGCTATACACACAAGTGTAATAGGTATTTTGAAACTATTTAAAACTATTTAACCGATTTGTACTTGAGCAAGCTGATCAGATTTCATGCAAATCGTGAATTCAAGGGGAGAATTTTAGTCATTACATTGAATGCATCACATTAATATTGGATTACTTTAGCAGCAAGTATGATCGATCTATACACAACTGAAGAGCATGAATAAGCTAAGAATGTAATATTTATCAATTCTGGGTTTACTTGATAATTATTGTACATATGTACATAAACTGAAATATGCGCATAGGCATACATTCTTTAAACCTTATTTAAATGCTTAAAATATTATTTATTTGCTTTAAAAATACTTAGATAAAGCTGTAGATAAAACGAATGCCTTAGCATTCCAGTAAACAGATTTTGAAAAGTGCGTCAGGCGAAATATTTATTTTGGCTCTGGATAACCGAAGCCTCAATGCTCTTGCAAATTTCAATACATCGAATTTCATATGTGTTGAGGGATATTATTTTAATACATTTGATTACGGATATCATATTACCATTGAAACTATATTACGCAACCAGAAAACAAATCTATCAAGTTCCATTAAGGTAGTTTTTCAACTGAGCGATTCGATCTTAGCTATTGACTGAGAATAAATATACCCTATGCGTTTTGAGTATATATATATACACATTCTTCATATAGGATATAAAAACATATTGATTTACGGCTTTTCATTCAGAAATTCTTTGCTTTGTAGGACATGCTTGGACTTGGTTCATTTAAAGCAATAACAAATTTCCGTTTGTTTTTATTTACAGATTATTAACTACGGTGTGCATGACACAGAAAAGATAAAAGTTTTTCATTTTGGCCTTAACCGTACAAAGGCTTATACACTTTTTAGAGCAGCTCATACTGTGAGTATACGAAAATAAACCAATTTTATATATCATTTACAGTTATTCCATTACAGGTATAAATATGACGAACAGTGATATTTGAAATTATATGAACAAATGCTTCATCAGGTATTACATCATTGTTATGGCCAGCAGCCGGAGTTAATGAATATTAAAAATATATCAGTGTCGGAAAACGTGAAACAACTAGACAAAAAACAACTGGCAGCAGAATACAACAACAACAATGAGGATTACGATCCGTCCATGCAAAAAGATAAAGAAAAACAAAACCAGATGCATCGAGTGCGTGAAAAGCTTCAGCACCCAAACGAAAATGCTTCAGAAAGCTCACGCGCATGGATGTTCTGCGAACGATGCTGTGGTGAGAGGCAGCAGCAAGAGCCAGAGCTAGAACAAGAGCAAGAGCAAGAACAAGAGCGTCAACAGCAGCACCACCAGCAGCAGCAGCAGCAGCCTGGCATCGTAGCTTTTTATCGCTCGTATATGGATTCAGTGTCTGATTTGTCGTCGTTTCGTTTTGTCTCCGATGAGGAGGAAGCCTATGATAATGATGTTGATGCTAATGATGACGTTAGTGTTGGCTCATTGTCGCTGCCGTGTGTAGAAATAGAACAACACAAGTCAAAAACATCAACTATAGCACAATACAGAAAAGAATCGACGACGGATAAGGCCTTAAACGTTGAAGTGCCCCACGCGTCAGCATCTTTTTTTCTACCCCACGAAACGCGGAGTGTGTTACCAATAATTCATTGTAGCAATACTAACAATGTTACTCAGAAGCAGCAACATCAGCAGCAGCAGCAGCAGCAGCGGCAGTTATTAAAAGTTTCTGAGTCCGATCCAACACCGTTTAGAAATAGTTATGCTACAATTGGACATTGGCCCAATGACGCGTGCCGCGCTAGCAGGCATTATAATTATAGATCTTATTTACGTTGTGGTCGTCGCTATCCGCCGCCAGTGCCACCGAAGCCCAAATCTCGCAATCGCATTTGCTTTGAAGTCACCGCCTGCAGTGGCATCTATAATGCTGAACCTGCTCTGAAAACACGTCGATTGGAAAATTTTCAAAAACAGAAACTTAACCAACCGAGATTTGTGCCATTTGTTTTGTCAGATACTCATACTTCGAGCCGTGCAACCAGGAGCTGCTCTGATTCAGAAAACATCTACTCGAACGCTAACGGATCGACGTCAGTGAAAACTGAAAATAGCTGCAAATCTCATGCAGCTGACACCCAACGCAACAACTATAATTTTAAATTCGACGGAACGCCAAATAAACATTTGCAATCCAAAAAAGCTTGTATACTGCGCTACGATCATTTCGGATATCTTAAAAAAATATCTCATCCAAACTGCAATTTAAATCAAAAAAAGAACGCGAACCCAGCAGCAGATAAAGACAATTTGAGTGCCCATATTGGTGAAATTGCTGAATATTATAATGCTGGAAAAACATTTAAGCCTAAAGACGACAGCCACAGTGATTTCCTTAAAAATGAAAACTCGAATGAGTTTCATTTATCCGAATCATCTGAGATAACAACCAAAGTACAAATTTCTGACGCAGATTCTTCAATTGATGCTTCAAAGTGTATTCGCAATTTTGACAAAAAATGCTCTCAATCAGACTCGAACTACGCTAGAATTTCTGTGGACAGTCTTAGATATACCGGTTGCTGTGTTTTGAATTGTGCTACACCTCAACATAAGATTACTTCTTTGCAGTTAAAGAACGTTCCAGTTATTAACACTTTGGACAGTTCTCTTTATGCATGTTCGTCAGTTGGACTTAACTGCGACAGAGATGTAAGTATTATTGCGTAATTTTCAAAGTGTTGCCGATATAAAAAGGATTATAGATTATAAAATATAGATATAGAAATAAAATATAGATTATAAAAAGGATTTGTGAATAGACTAAAGCATAGATAAGTTACTTTGATAAGTAATATGAAAAGTAAAATAGGTATCAAAATCCTATTTGTAGACAGAGGCTTGGGTATATCCATTCAAATAACTTGTAGTAATTTATTCAAAAATATTTAAGCCAAAACGAGAGTGAAATCCATTCAAACCCATTTACAGCTATTAATAACTTGTAAAAAAAAAATAATTAAAAAAAAAGATTTCATTGATGCATCTTAGTCAGGCAGTTAGTTGTTCAAACTGGTTACAATTATCAGTGCTGATCCTATCATATTTGTTAAGCTTCTTGGTGCAACATTTCAAAGACTTTTTGATTGATTTCGCAGCCGCTGGGCACGCAAATAAATTCGTCATTCGTTTACTTAAATTTGCATATTATTTTCCTTGCCAAATTGCGTTGGGCATATAATATAGTTAGCTTGATTACGTACTTGTATTTACTTACAGATATAATTATGACTATACATATGTATTAAACACATATATGTATATATATGTATATATATATATGTATATATATACATATACCTTATATATAGATGTGATATTTGTGCCACAATTTGTTTGAGATATTCGTGCTCTCTGTGCTGCTCAACGGTGTGCTTTTTGTTAGAATCTTTTAAAATGTTCCCTGGTATATATGTACATATATATCTACATATTTACAAACCTCTCGGTGCTCTGCACGCTTGCTCTCGCTCACGCTCTCTTTTGTGTTCGGTATAAATTCTTGTTGTTTATACTAAAAATATCACTGTGTGCGTTTTTTGTTGCTTTATATATATATATACATACATATATACATATATATATATACTTAAATCCATAGCATTTTTCTTTTTCTTACAATGTGCTTTATGTATCACAATGCACCAAAAGATGACTCTTCTTCAGCAGTTCCAGCTTCTAACATGTTTTTTAATAAAACCGTTAGTTATTAAATCAGGTCAAATTGATTAACTTAATAATATCTTTACCATTGCCATATCTGTACATTTTGTGTAGTTTTTTGTGAAGTTATTTAGGGGTTAAAATTTATATATATATAATATATATATATATATATATATATATATATATATATATATATATATATATATAAATATATTTGTTTATCAGTTGACTTGCGTATTTAAATAAAATAAATATTTGTAATAATTACCAAATATTTAGAATAGCTTCAACTGACTCCGAATAATGCCATTTCGTTTTGACTTCTATTGACTTTTGGCTTTTAGCACACGATGGATAAACGACGCAACACCTTAGACCGATTTCAACGTCTGACTTTTGGACGCAAATCAAAGCCAGCGGTTTCCTCTGAGGCTGCCTCTCCAGAAAGTTGTAGGGCGTCCAGTGTAGACAAGCAACGTAATAGTTGCGAAAGATCAGAACGTCTCAAAGAACTGACGGAGCTTTTGCGTGGTGGCAACAGTTCACGTGCCTCATCAACGCCCACACCACCACCAGTGCCACCGCCACGTAAGCCTCGAATACCTCATAATAATTCGACAACTAGCAGCATTGAAATTCAGGAAAGTCAGTCATCTTGTGGCTTGGATGATTCGGATCCAGCAATGACTGGCCAATTACAAAAACAGAGCAGTACAAATAACAACAAGAGTGCTTGTGGCAATACTAGCGTGCCTGCTACAGCAGCACGAATCTTGCACTCAATGAGACCGAACGCAAGTCTCTCCAATTTGGAAGCTTTCATGTTGTGCACTCGCGAGAAATCCAAATCACCGCCGCCCCTGGCAGTAGGTGACGAGGTCGACGCAACCAGTAGCGAATGGCCTACGCAGCTGTCTGCAGCAGACTCTCGCACTGGAAGCAGCACAAGCACTCAGAAAGGGATATCGCCGTTTCGTTCTGTTTCGTTTTCTCAAATTGACTGTAAATCAACCCTAAGTGCTTTGCGCGATCGATTACGGCGGGACAAAGCCATTGAAACCCCCACTCAAATTCAAAGGAACACCAAAGCGATAGAATCTTTGGATATTCCGAGCGTGAAAGCGGACCCAGGTTGGGTGCACATACCGCTTAAGGGCACGGGCCTGTCCATTAACTTAAACTACGGGCAGGAGAAGTCACTAGAGCACGTTCTAGAAGATGTGCCAGATATCATAGCTGAAGAAGATATATTCAATACAGACAATTGCAGTGTCACTGGCATATTACCAGCCACTGCGAGCAGTGTTATCGCGGCACACGCCAAAATGGAGTCGCTATCGGATACTGTGCATTCGGAAGGAGAATATAGCAAGGAAAGTGCGACGGTGATGGTGAATGTTACTGATACACCTAATATAGTTGAGCCCCCGAACGTTAGCTCGGAAGTTAACGCATCGAATTCGAATTCGAATTCGAATTCGAATTTGTCTAACTTGGATGAGCAGCCTCAGCCTCAGATTGAGTCCGCATCAAGTAATATTCTGCAAACAGCTACGACTTGTCTCATACCCGTTCCGGTTTATGAATGTGCCTCACAGGAGTGGTTGGAAGCACCCGCTCAAGAATGGGTCGAGTTAGCACCAGAATTTGGCATTGTGCCCGAAACAATGCAGCCGCCCGTTCCGCATGCGGCATGCAAAATAATGCAAACAGAGACATTAACGACTATACCCAGTAATTTGTTGCCAACAATTTCGGTGAGTCGGAGCTCTGAAGAAGGTGACGAACAGAGGAAAGATATAATCGTACCCCCGGCAGAGCCAACATCGGATCGACTTAGCAATTTCGATTCAGTTGACGATCAACGTCAACAAGAAGATCTTGACATGGACCTGCATGGTTCAGACGCAATAGCTACACCGCGGCACAGTACTGGGGAGCGCCAAAAGCGTCATTTGGATAAATCCACGAAGCGTAAGGGAATGTACATAGATAATTCAGACTGGCATCAGCCAGTTGAACCACATCGTGGACTGGCCTTAGATTTATCGATTGTCAATTTCCAAGTAATTAGCCCAGATTCGCCGGATGAATCGCAGATAGATTCCAACAGCCCAGACATGTTTGTAACGAAAACGCCAGAGCTGGAGAAAAGCTCGCCCTTATGGAGAAGATCAAATGACCGAACGCAACTGTTAAGCAGCTTTAGCTGCCAAAGCAGCGAAGAGAAGGACGACGCTATCAGCAATAATAACAGCAAAAACAATAGCATACTACATACCGATTCAATGTCAGATACCGAAGAACGCATTAGTTGGAGTCCAACGCCTAGCGGGGATTACGAAAGCAAACGCTATTCAAAGCGACCTCTTACAGTACGCGGCCCATACGGGCAGATGCTGGAAGCTGAGCTGAAGAAGCCAAATCGTAAGCAATACGACGAGATCCGCGAGGAAATGCGCAGCACCGACAGGTAAGTGGCAACCAGTGTCATTGCACTGTATCAATATCAAGTTGAATTACAATTACACCTTAGGCTACACCCACGCCATGAGCATAGCCTGTCTGAAAGAAAGTCTTCACTTGGCTCCACGCGGAACAATATGCCGCAATACTCGAATTCAATGCGTGTGCGTAAATCGAACGCATATTTGCCAGTGCCAACCCATGCACGAGCAGCTTCGACTCCTTCACAAATTGAGCATGTTAACATGCCCATTTCGATGTCTAGCAAGGATCTTAGCGAGACGATATTAATGGCAGAGAAGCAGTCGCAGCATCAGATAAAGCGTGCCGCATCCGAAGCACCCACAACGAAAACGCATCATAGCAAGCGCAATCTATCAATGACTAATGAAAACAAGAGTCCGCATCATCATAATCATCACCATCAACATGCCAAACGAAGCGTTGACGACAATAACAGTAGCAGCAACAAATCAAAGCTGCCACATGCCGCTGGCGTACCACCCACTGCAGCTTTGCTGGCGGAGCTGCTTAAGGGCTCCAGCGAAAACATGATTTCCGAGCAGCGTCAGAAAATGACTGCGGTAAGTAATATCAATCATATTTCTATCTCTTAGTCAGCTAAATTAGGGGCGACGCAACTTTAACGGTATTTGCTGATACAAATTTTTAATTGTTTGCTGTGCTATGAAGTTCTTCTGTTTTTATAATCTCAATATACCTTGGCAGTATATAAATCGGGCATTAAAATATAAAATAGCTATATAGAAGACTCATATATATACATACATATGCGAGTCTTTTATTGTTTGCAGAGCATTTGGGAAAATGATTGGAAAACTCGAAAGTGCGAGTCTGCGCATGCTCCAACAAGTAATGCGCACTGGAAATGTGTCACTGTGTTAGAAGAGAGCCTCTGAAGTTTATTTCAGCTCTTTGTTTCGCATCGTGCACAGTGGTTAAGGGTGAAGCTTTTTAGTTTCGTTTTATGTGGAGACTTTGTCTTCCAATTGGTAATTTAAACAAATCTGAATTCATCTTTAATATAAGAGAGTTAGTCAGTCTCTAAGAAAATGTAAATTTCAATCTTTATTTGTGTGTGCAAGTGGGACTCAGCTCTTCGTATATAGATATAAATATATAGATATATATATAAATATTTATTTAGGTTTGTCTTTGGCATTTGTGCGTTCTGCATGATGCCTTAAAGTATTTGAATGAAAATAAATGCGTTGGGCTCCCACATAACATACATAACATACTCTTCCTTGGACACTTGTCGCATGCAAACGGCGAGTCTTATTCCAGTTTTATCGTGAGAGTTAGCCTTGCTGGAGTGTGTCTGTTTCAGTTCAGTTGGAATATGAAAAATGGAATTTAAGTGTGTATTTGGCACAATGGAATGTTTTTCAACGTGTTGAGTAGCACACTCCTGTGCAGCTAGTTGTATGCGCCACCAACAATGTGAGTATTAAACCGCATCACATACTCACATACCCACACACCTCACACACATTAATAGTCGATGCTCTCCCGCGCAGCAACAGAATCTTCTCCGCCAACGTCAATGCGCGCGTTTAAATTCTTGTTTGCTTTTTGTACCTCAGTTGTATGGCGAAATTTTTCGTGTTTCGTTTGTTTTATTTTGTGGTGTTGTGGGAAATGTATTAATCTAAACAGTTACTTGAAAATTCGACAACAATAGCAATATACCAAATATCAGCTATAATTCACAGAGTTTTAAGTATTAAATAATATTCGACTAAGACAACAGCCAAACAGCCAAAAACAACAAATTATTTTTGCACTACGATAGACGAGTATACTCATATACATAAACTTATGTACTCGCGTGTAAGCGTGTACAGATAAAAGCGATTGAAAATCCTTGTCTATTAGGATAGTATGGAATGGCTGCGAGGCGAATAAAATAACTAGTAGAAAAGTGTTCATATGTCTGTATCTAATTACATACATACTTATGTATACACAAAACCATTTCGGCCACAATACCCAACCTCTTGTTGCGCCGCGCAGATCGAACAAATTGTAATTGTGTTGTGCTCTGTTGTGTTGTGTTGTGCTGTTTCGCATGTGCACTGGTAATCACTCCTTAAACTCAAGTGTGTGCATAGTTTTGCGTGGAAAACCTCAATCAATACCAGTTCATACCTTTTTCAATATTCGATTGATATTTAGCAAGAATTTTTGAATTACTTCCATGCACCTGACCCTTCCTTTTTTATATATAGTTAATTTTTTCTATGTATACCTTGTATGGTATGTGTTTACATACTTACATACGTGCCTATATATATATATCTGTTTTTTCTATACATATATGTATATGTTGAAGGCTTTGAGGTTCAAGCTGAGTGAGCAACAAAATCCTACACAAACACCTTTTTGCTTTTCTGTTGCTAAAGAAGGCATAAGGTATCTGTAGTTCTGTGTCGCTGTAAGACGAAATAAATAATTTCACAAACTGTATGTACGCTCGTGGGCTGAGAAGCTGTTCCCCCACTCGCACATCTACGCAGAGTTATCAATGAGCCTCAGTGTATCTGAAATTCCTGCTCCTCCAGTCTGATGATTCCGCTGTGTTTCCTGTTTCGGTGCACTTAGACCAATAAAATGTATTGCAATTTTAGTTAGCTGCCTTTAATAGATGGACAAGCACGCGGCTTTATTTTGTCTCACCAATTTTGTTTGAGGAGTTGAGACAATCAGTTGTTCAGCTAGACATTCACAATATTAAGTGGTGTTATTTAACAACCAGTGCACACTCGAAGTCAACGTAAATAAAAATAAGTAGCAGAAAAAGCAGCGAGTCGCGTTAACCAATCACAATTAAAATCAAAAATGTCGCTCAATCGCGAAAATCTACGCTTAAGTTTGTTGGATTTGCAAACTACCATAACTGCACCTTCGAACACAATTGCTGCCTCGCTGTTGCCACAAACACAGGCTCAGGTGACACAACCGCATGCGGCAGCATCGATACTGCCGACTAGCAGCAACAGCAGCAGCAGCAGTGTATCGCAAGCCGTCTCTCAGGCTACTACCGCGGTTGCTCGACTCAGTAAAGCCGGTTTTGGCGCAGCGGCCCATCAAAATGACAAATGTGATAGGCTTAAAAAAATGACTTCAATCACTTGTTCCGATTCGGAAGATGACTCGGAAAGGCGCGCACAGTTCGAAATCAACTGCAAATGGAATCTGGGCGGTTATGATGGCGTAAGTGCGGTGGTAGTAATGACTTGACTATAATCATTTATTTTTATGATTTCTTTCTAAAAGAACAGTTTTCTTTTTACTTATAGGACACTCGCACTTACGTTGTGCAAGAGATTTACCGCAATGAGCAATCCTACGTTGAGTCTCTGCAAACAGTTGTGCTTAAGTATCTTAAAGTGCTGAAGTCGCCAGAACATGCAGGAATGATTGATACACGGACTGTGGATGAGATATTCTTTATGGTGCCCGACATACTGGAAATACATGAGAAATTTTTGTCTGAGTTAAAGCACCGGCTCGATGAGTGGGACGTACAGCAAAAAGTTGGGGATGCATTTATTGAAACGGTATATTATATATTAGATATATATTGACTGTATAAAATAATGATTAATATAACATCTGAAAACTTTGCAGTTTTCGAAGCTAGAAGTTCTTGAGGTCTATACATCATTTGTCAACAACTGTAATAGAGCCAAAAATGCAATTCGTTCGATGAAGCATCAGCGACCTTCTTTTTCCAAATTCCTGGAGTCTACGGCACGTGAGCATAAGGGAAAGCTTACCTTGGACAATTTGCTTATAAAGCCGGTGCAAAAATTTCCAAAGTACGTAAAAGTGTTTAATCTTTGTTACGATTGCTGATTTACGATCCTTTTTTCCTGCAGCTATGAACTGCTCTTTCAACGGCTCATAAAGCACACAGATCACGATCATCCGGATCAAAAACATTTGCAGGAAGTGCTGAAGCTCGTGCACGATATATTAGTACACATCAACTGTAAGGAGCGTGAGATCATGGAAAATGGACAGCGGGAAGCGACCTTACGTGAATTGGAAGGCGTTATAGAAGGCATAACCGATTTAATAGCGCCAGACCGGCAGTTTTTGTTATTCGATCTAGTATCAATGCCATCGGGGCAAGGTGCTCGCAAGGATCGAGGATTTTTTCTGTTTAATGATCTATTGGTCCTGACTAGCATAAAGAAACGCAGTGGGACCATTAGGAAACCCAATAGCTCCATTTGTCCCGGGTCAGTGGCCACCACCTTGGACACTAACAAGTATAAGTTCCTCACAAAAATTTCTTTAGATTGCCTAGAGATTGTCAAGTGTGAGTGAATTCATGTTATATCATAATGCCAATCTTTGCCTAACTTAAATATTTCCTAGCTAAAGATGAAAATATAAAACGCATCGTAAGCGAAATTGAAAATCTGATCGAAGACTGCAATAAATTGCAACAGATAAGTGAAATCACGGCATCTATCAAGTATCCCCACCAGTATCTAGAAGACGTCATCCGTGAGTTACATCGCGACATTCAGAGACAACTCTCCGAGCGTCAATCAAATGACACGCAACTAAACATGTTGGAACTGACAGTTAGCTCGCCGTAAGAATATTTCGCACTCGTTTTAATGCAATTACTGAACACCTACTGCTTTCCTTTACAGTAATGGAAGTCAAAAGTTGACGGTGGTATTTAGCAAAACAGATAGACGCTCCAATTGGGAGGAAGTATTTAATGAAGCTAAACTAAAATTGGGTACGTACCGAGATAATACTACAATTCGTATAATATATATATGCGTGTGTTTAACTTCTACACCTTTTTTATATGCAGCCGCCACACAAGAACGGCATCCCATTCCAGAGTTTCTTACATCTATTCCTATACGTAAAACACGAGCGGGTCTCCAGTTTACTTGCGCGGCTGCTACACTGAGCGACAAGCGAGATGTTTGGGTTTGCAATAGTGATGGATACGTAGGCCAAGTGTGCATAATGTCCTTACATCCGGAGCCAAATGTAACCAGCTGCAATGGAGTCTGCAATGCTCGCATACTTTGCGTAGCTTCTGTGCCGGCGTATAGCAGCAGCCCCAATGAACGTGATAGTGGACAGGAGGATAAGCAACAGACCACTACACAGCATAATAGCTACACACAACAATTGCGAGATTATCGTAAAAGCATCTCGCCTATTGCCCAGCCAGCCTCTACATTAACCGTATCGGATAAAAAGAAACTCCCCACTTCGACTATTGATAACGGCTCTGATGCTGCTGGCGGGAACAGTGATACCCAGCTGGATTTGAATCTAAGCTCAAGCGATGACGAGGCGGATGCTGTTTCCACTGCAGCACTAGAACAGCGTATGCCCAGCCCTGCGCCCTCATTACAGGCCACTTATCATGGGCAGCAAGTAAGAATTTACTTTAATCAATTTTATTGCCAATGTTTAATCGACAATCGTTTATTTAAAGGATTCTATTCCCGACGAAAGCGAATGCAATCAATCAACAATGTGGATCGGCACTGAAGACGGCTGCATTCATGTTTACAACAGTACTGATAACATACGCATAAAGAAAAATCGTATTAAGATTGAACATCATTCAGCTGTATTTTCCATATTGTAAGTGCTTAGTCAAGAAGTGACACAGAATTGTCAGCTAATCACTCACTCATCTATTGTAGGTATCTGGACAATCGTGTTTTTGTATCCTTAGCAAATGGCGATATATGTGTTTATCTCAGAGATGGAGGTAAGTTTTGTAATTCTGAAGACTCCAATTATTTTGCTACAGCTTTACGTTAACTACTTGCAGCCACTTCTTGGAACACGTGCTCATCGCATCGTCTCTCAATTGGCACAGTTTCGAGCCCGGTGACTAAATTGCTCAATGTAAATGGAAAGTTGTGGTGTTCAATACAGGGGATTATTAAAGTGTTAGATACTGAATCCTTTTCGGTATGGAAACAAGATCCTTCAGCTTGTACATTGAGTATATATGTTATTGAAATATTTCAGGTTATTAATCAAATACAAATATCCTCGGACTCAAAGCCAATTACGAACATGACAGTAGCAAATAATTTAGTGTGGATATCAATACAAAACTCAGCTCACATTAAGTGCTTTCATTCCAATACGTAAGTGCTACCATGATCCACCTTGAACTATAAATAACTTCCTTGTTATTTTGAACTTTATTCATTAGCCACCAACTAATTACGGAGGTAAACCTTGCTCCTGCAGTCAATAAGATGTTGTCGAATTGTGACGAAATAATTAGGCAACATAAGGCGGCTTGCCTTCGCGTAACTTCTCTCCTGTGTTGTAAGGATCTAATTTGGATTGGCACGAGTGCAGGAGTTTTGTTGACTATACCAGCCCAGGGTTATGAGAAAGGTGCACACAATATTGTGCCAACAGGCATACCACACGGCCATACGGGACATGTGCGATTCCTGACCTTTGTCGAGTCACCATCGCATGGCTTAGAGGGTTGCTCACAAATTATATCAGCTGCGACATCACGTGAAACTGGAAGCGGCACCAGCGATGACTACACAAAACAAGGGTGAGCCATTACACAATATTAAATATTCGATTTATATGGAATGAGCTTTTCTTTTATAAATTATTTCTTGACTAACAGTTCAACAAAGAACTCTAAAGCAAAATCGGAAACCAAAAATATACTTATTATATCTGGTGGTGATGGCTATGAAGACTTTCGCAACTCTGGTGCCAACTCTTTAAGTGAAATTGCTGGCCGCGAAGACAGCACCAATCATTTATTAATATGGCAAATTTGAAGCAGAAGACGTAAAAATCGCTGGCGCTTATTGCTTTCGAGATGGAAAAACAACAACTGAACTCACCTCTGACAGTTCCAAATCCGTAAGCTAGTTAGCGATTTTTATTGTACTAAGTTGCCAAAGAACAAATATGGACAGACTAGTGTTACGCACAGGATTAGTGTACGCGCGTCTGTATTTAAATTAAACAAAAATACCATTGTTTTAATATATACATATTGAACTCAATAGCAATGGCAGAATTTTTGTATTGATACAAGACTAAATGGAGAAGGAAAACATAATTGCGAGTGCCAAATATATACATGTATTGCGCCGAACATTCGGAATAAATTATTTAAAATGTTAACAGAAAATCCTTTAGTTAGGCCCAATGGCGTTTTATTCCAAGCCCAACACGTATAACTACAAACTCATTTATATAACATTATTTTTGTAAAATTTAGCAAATATGCTGACTAAATATTAATTGTATTTATTACATACATGTATATACACATGTATATACTATATATGTATAAACGTATCTTAATATCAAAAATATTAATATGTACATATAGCATGTTTATTTATATTTAATACAAAATAAATACTAAATATTAAAATGTCGCCCTGAAACACATTAAATTAAAAGAAAAACTTTATCGAATTTATTCTAAAAGTAATCACTGAATTCCAATACATTCATTATTATAATACTATATGGGCAAAACATATTTGATTAAAAATATTTGTAAAAAACATAATGTTAACTTGTTAAGAAACTACTTGACCTATTCTAACAAATAACTTAACGGCGTTTTAAAAATGCAATGTAATGCAACTTTCATGCAAGAGAATTGAATTTCAAAAACTAACTACCCATACATACCAAGTGATATTCAAGTGTTTGGGAATGTATTTACATATGTGTATATTTTTTGAAACAGCATATTACTAAGCTTGACTAATGTTAGCGATGTTTGCAGTTTTAGCTATAACTGAACCCCTTCTATCCAAAACAAACCAAAGCTACTCTCTCTTTACGGTTAATGAAGGTGTGTTAATTAGTTCTCACACTCATTGCCTAAGAAGTGACCTCTCACTTTTTCAACAGAGTGGACATAATCAGACTATATTTTTATTGCAAGAATAGTAGTTAATTGGATTTAAATGTTTGTATACTCCTAATGTAACTATAATCCATTTAAACTGTTTTTCTTTCAAAATATATCAAGAATTAAATTACATTAAAAAATTTGCCGGCTTTTTAGCAGATTTTTGTAAAATAATTGCAACATGCTAGCTGCAATAGGAATATTTTATTTTTATTTTATTTCAATGGCATCTGACAATTGTTATCCTACCTCTATGAATACCAGCAGGTGTTAGAATAGAAATTGATATAATTATACCAGAATAAATCTGAAACAGAACTGTAATAATAGATTGTGAAACAATAACTTCCCCTTTACAAATTGCGAAGTAAGATTTAACAATAAATATGTAAAATGTAAAAATGTGGTTATATGTATATGTGTATGTTACCTGTTTAATAAACCAAATTTTCAAACTGAGCTCCATTTGTCATATTAATACATAGTATAATCTTTAAAATTTTCTCAGATGCTCCAGCCACAAGAACATGTGGCTCATAACTTCACTGACATCGGCCATATGGACATCAAATGTAGGGGGAAAACTTATGTCCTCAATTTGTAAGTTTGATATATCAAGGCCTTAAGTATATTGAATTTCCGTTACACCACGCCTAACATATATTATATATATATATATGCTTGAGTTAGTCGTTTGTGATGTACGTTTGTAGTAAGATTCTGATAGTGCCTATTTGTAGAGTAGCTAAAAATAATTACAATTTTTTTAACTGCCCTTTATAAAATGTCATAAAATGACTCACATCATAAAGAGAGGCGGCAGTGCACTCCTGTGACGTTTTGTCATAAAACAAATTATAACATGTATTTACTTTCAAACGATATGTGTCTAATGTAATGGAACGTACAAGCGGAATATTTTTAGCACTTCTTAGGGAAAGCCACTTTTATATGCTTCGAGCTTACCAATTAATGCTCGCATGCTGAAGGTGGATTGTCGTTGCTAATATGCGTTAAGAGTTTTCTCATGAACTTCGTTGTTTTCTTATCATATTTTAAACTCGTTCAGGGCGTGTAAAGAGTATATTGGTCTATAATATGAAAAGTATTTTGCACCTGTTGAAGGAGTAATCCGCAAGAGATATACGTTCCTTATTTCACAGCTGGAACCTCAAACATGGCAATTGGGTTGTTGTTGACCTCCATTACAGAGCACCATAGAAGCTGGAATACCCATCGCTGCAGGTTGATCTAATTGGCTCCTTTACTAATGAACCCTCAACTATACAGGTTGCGCATGGGATGTAAATCAAAATAAATTTGTCTGATGACTTAAGTTGAACCATGAACGAGCATTAGGCAGTCGGTAGCGCCTGATTGCAATGTTTATGCTTCTTTATTTGTGGCATGGTAATAATTAAAGGTTTATCTAAATAAAGGAAGCTTTTATTTAATATTCATAACTGTCGGCTCGGCTTAATTTTCAAATCCTATAAGTAATTGGGCAATAAATTTGTACTAATACTGTTATATAAAAACCAGAACGAGTAATTTTCAAAGAACGTAAACAGGCGAGATAACTTGTCTTTTTTCAGCATCATAAAAACTCCTCAGCAGACGCCTAAATACAGCAAACAGTTATGTATATTCGAGGATATATTACTCTAGTATTGGATGGTTTAATCTAATAGAGAGCATTCATTGCCGCTGGCGGCAGTCTGCTTGATATATCAGTTACATTACAAAAACAAGTAGCAAAATAAATTTCAGATAACAAATATTAAAAAAATACGCATGCGCGTTAAACGTGCATCCATTCCATTAGTTCTTATAGCCTACGTTCCACATTGTATATTCCATTACCATGGAAATGGACTAAGTTCCTTTCGCAAATGAACTAGTTAGATAGAGTAAAATTAAATACTTTGTCATTGAAAGAGTATTATATTAAATATATATTCATCTTTAAAGCGATTCAATGTTCCTGCAGGCATAACAGATATTGTTTTGTCGATTCCAGCAACTTAGAGCCATCGAACTAATAATAAGCAATTCCAAAATAACGTATATTTACACATTGGCAAAAAAGCACACTTCAAGTGTTCATTTGAATACGCGTAGAACGCATTTGCCTTTATAGAGAAAACTTTGAAAAGCAAATAGAAACCACAACCGCGATAAAAGGATTAAGAGCAGGCTACACTGTACTGTCTAATCTCAAATACACAATACACATGCACTGCACACACACACAGACATGCACACACCTATACACTTATAAACGAGTCCCACATATTGGAAACTGTTGAGGTATGCCGCTTGCACAGAAAGTATACATTTTCCCCACATACGCACTGTGAGGGAGACGTGCAGAACACTCGTGGCATGTATCTTTTGTGTTCAAAGGCCCACTTACACATACACACATACACACATATACACATACACACTTACTCACATGCATACAAGCATACATTTATGTATGTACGTTCTCTCTGTTGTAGTATGTTACGGTTGTCAAAGTGGACGGCAGTTTTGGAAGCGCTCTGAAGCGATGCAGTCGCGTCTCTAAATTCGGCTAAATGATGTTGCATTATCAAATAATTACTAAATATAATACAATATCGGTAGCAGAGACAGCGAGTAGATCATATATTTCCTGAATAATAGCCTAATTAAAAAATCCCAGTGGCGCGTAATTATATTATTTCAAGCTTTGCCAATAAATACAAAAAAAAAACGTTACTAAATTAAAGTTTATTATATATCAATATAAACAAGTTATCAATGAACAATGTGCAAAATATTCATATTTCAAATGTGAAATACTATAGAGAATACTACAGAGTAAAGTTCCCATGAAAACTTGAATCGAATAAGCAATTCTACAACTGGCTGGGTCTATCAGTTATCCTGTATTCATATCAAGTAAAATAAAAACTATTAAAACTCTGTCAACAGATCATTTAGTTAAAGATATGGTCTTAAAGGTGTCCTGGACAACTCGTAATATAAGAAAGTGCTGATAATGAAAATAAAGAACAATCGCTGTAACAATTAGTAAATTAGAAAATAATATTTGTGTAGCAATCGTTCACAAATGAGAGATAAATAACAAGCGCAAAATGTTGTTAAGGTAATTACTTTTTAATGAAATTAATTACAAAAAAGTTACCGTATGCTTAATTTGTAGCCTCGTACCATCCCTTAAAGCCATGGCATATAGCTCTGGCATTATTTCAGAAAAGGAAGTACCGAATCGATAGTAATGACAATCAAATTACAGAGCAGCATTTCTAAAAGTAGAGCACAAGGCCAGAAATGCATTTTATAATATTAAATCATTCTCATTCGCCCAGAAGTACTCATACTGAGAAAATAAAACCAAATGTTCCAACAGCTGTTGTTAAAACTATTATTGACAGCTGGTAAATTTAATGGCATTTTCATGCTCAGATTCAACCCAAATAAAGTGCCTTCCTTGCCATTTTTTTTTTTTTTTTTATTTTTCATAGTGATGTATATAGAGATATTTACAAAGGCAGACATACAATTTTGATTCACATAAGTGTGTGTACATTAATAAAAATAAAAAAGAACAAATATGCATATTTCATACGTTCATTCGCCCTGGAACTATGTGTTAGTATATAAATATCCATTAGAAGCTTTGTTGTGTAATAAATAATTATATTTTTGTGGGAAAGGCAATAAGGGGAAGGTCGTCGCCAGCTTTGCCCATGAAAACCAAATGGCAGATAATGTTGTTCATATGTGTGTCCGTGTATGTGCGTATAAAAAGCAACGGAAGGGAAAATTTTCCTACATAGTACTTGGCCATATCCACATATGGTAGGTGTGTACATGTGGAGCTCTAACCGCGAAACATCGAAGCAGCGCAGCAATGTATTGTTAATTTATAAATTTACTTCCAGTTTGTTTGACCATTATTGTGGGAAGCATTAAATTAGAATGATTTATTATACTGTGCAGAATGCACCCTGCACTGAGAGTAGCTAAAAAGTTGTAATGAGTTTGTTCTACTGTATGTCACAGACAGTAGGGCGCCTTATCGACTAAATTAAGTTTATATATTCTTCTTCGAGAGGACAACCTGAGGCAATCTAAGCATTTCAGCCATCTCGCAAGCTACATTTTAAATTTAAATATTTAATGATGTTTACCATCAAAAAAAAAAATAAACAACAGTTCTGTGCTGAAGTCATGGTACCTTCCAGTCGGGTACTCCCCACTGAACATCACTTTTGATTTTAGCTCTAGTTGAAATCAAACACTCCATAATTAAATTAGCATTATAAACGTTCCGATAGTAAATGATAAACTTAAAGTGAAATTGACATGAATTTTTTGGTAGTTCTTAACGGCGAGGACCCTTTTCTTCTCTGCACCACTTATCGAAGCCATAAAAACGTGCACCATGAACTATCGAGTAACATTTTAAGAGAGGAAATAAATAGTTAGCATGTGTATAAATATGGGGGCTTATAAATAATTGCATTAGCAAATCGTTTGATTTGTTATCATGAAAGCGATAAGAACTTCCATGACAATGAATACTGCTGACATATGTGCGTGCTTTTTGACGGCTATATTTAGTGTTCGGTTTTAGTCCCGAATTAGATCGAAGAGGTACAACAGTAAGGCATAGCTCAAACCATGTAAACGTTAAGAATATAGTGTAAAATGAGCTGTGCACAGTCCTCATACTTACATAAGGTACTCTTTGGTCATATGCGTATGTGTGTGTGTGTGTAAGTGTGTGTGTGTGCATGCATAAACTCACCAACGTCACATTGTCTATCTCGCTTGTGGCTTTAATTTGCTTATCACACACACGCACATACATATTTATATTCATTTATATATATATGTACATAAGCAATAGCAATCAGCCACAGCCGTGGTATTTGGTGAGCGCTATCAGACGAAAAATAAATAATACTTAATACCACATTATTGTCAATGGCAACGTCGAGAACTGTCGATTTTGGGCAGGCCGAGCTCACTTTCATTCTTCCGTCAGTTTCTAATTATTTGCTGGTGCGACGCCAGCATTGTGTATAATTATATTAGCGATGAAAATGGAAAATTTCTCTATAGAAAACTTGAGTCTCTTGTGAGCACACACATTCGCTCTTAACAGTGCTTTTAGACCAAGTAAATAAAGGGTCTACAATTTTAAATACTTGCTGGTAACTATGCTTTTTAACCATATTGTGTAACTGTTGACTTTTACAAGGCTATTCCATATCTTCTCTTTGAAGACAAAAAGTCTGCGGCAAGTGTTAATGAAAGGTCAGCGTAACTCTGTCGCAAAAAAGTTTTATGTATATTCCCAGTTATCTGACTCAACTTGAAACAAATAAGACCATTGCAGTTGATCATAAATAAAAAAAAATTGGATAAAAGCAATATTTACGGATGTGCCCTAGAGAGATCGACTTGCTTAATTTTTTGATTTTAGCCCTAAGTCTATTGAAGTTTTGCAAGTGTTTTTTTTTTTGGGATCAGCTTTCGTTACTTTAGAGAAAAGCTGCAAGGCAAGTTTAAATATTTTCGATTTCAAGCTGTAAAAGTGAGTTTTCCGCTATTTCACGTTCTCAGTGTGTGTAGTTATATAAGCTTTATATGGTCTATATGTGCAAATATTTAAAATTATAAGTCATTATCATTATCATTATCATTATTCACTATTTCATTATTATATATATTTATACTAAGTGATTTGAAACGAGGTTTCTTGTTCATTCAAAAGAGTCAAAAATAATAGATATTTTGTAGTAAACGATAGTAACTCTCGATTTGAATCTACGAGTAAACAGTTCAAGTTTCGAGTGCCTGCCTTTAAAAACGAACAGGAAGACAGTCGTTCATTCCACAAACCCATTATACTCTCTTCAACTATTAGAAATGAGTCATATACAAATAAAATGTTTCAGTGTTTCATCATTCATCTTTGAGCTCAGACACTGCACTAGTTAAAATAAATAAGTAGCTAGATTAATATAAAAGTTTCTATGACATATGAACTTTTATTTTTATTTTTTGGTTCATATAGGACATTATTGGAGGCTCAGAACGTATTCAAATAACCAATATGAAACATAACGATGCTAAACCATTCGGAAACCGATCGAAGTTGAGGATTCGTCCGTAGACTGTGCAACTTGAATTATGTGGCATCAACAGCACTAAACACTGCTGACTCTGAAACAGCATATATGGCTGTCCATTCACAGCTGGATTTTCGAATTGGCCTATTCCCACCACTGATGTATGTGGCCAGCACTTTGCTAGCCAGCAGCGGCGTTCTTGGATTGCAGCAGAACATTTCGATAGGCTACGATAGCTTTTTAGAAGCATGGAACACTGGCAATCGCAGCTTGGCACCGACATCATCAGCGACCCCCACAGCCTCAGTGCAGGCGAAATTGAATGACTCCGCTGATTTGACGCTGGATACAGTGCCCACCTTAACTGTTTTCAATTACTACAACGAATCTGCCGCGGCTGCCGAATGGGCCCACTTCTACGATCTCATTTTCTCATGGCAGGGCATTTGCTTGATTGCAGTGTTCTGCACGTTTATCGTTGTCACCGTCATAGGAAATACTCTTATTATTTTAGCTGTGTTAACCACACGGAGACTTCGCACGGTTACGAACTGTTTTGTCATGAGCTTGGCAGTAGCTGATTTGCTTGTTGGGATTTTCGTTATGCCACCGGCAGTGGCTGTCCACCTGATTGGTAAGCAACTCAAGTATATTTATTCAAACGCCAATCCAAATTGAATTTCTGCTATGTTGTCTTAACATTTACGTATTCGCTTCTTACTTAGGCTCGTGGCAACTCGGCTGGGTGCTCTGCGACATCTGGATATCATTCGATGTCCTTCTGTGCACAGCATCGATTCTAAGTTTGTGTGCTATCAGCGTTGATAGGTATTGCGGCGCTCGTTGCCAGCGCTGAAAATGCATTAAAATGACTTTTTCCTTCTTTTCCAGATACCTTGCTGTTACACAGCCATTAACTTATTCCCGGAAGCGACGCTCAAAACGCCTCGCCTTCTTAATGATTCTTATCGTTTGGATTCTGGCATTAGCCATAACATGTCCGCCCATGCTAGGATGGTAATTATATTTATGCAGTACATATACAGAGATTTCAAAATTCGATTTATGTTGTATGCTCAAAGCACACATGCGATTCACATATTAATGAGCCTTCTAATGCACACTTGTTATATATTCTAACTTGCTTACCTCCGTATGTAAAATGTATTTCTTCGTAGGTACGAGCCCGGCCGTCGAGACCTGCGAGAGTGTCGCTACAACCAAAACGAAGGCTATGTCATCTTTTCAGCAATGGGTTCCTTTTTTATACCAATGGCAGTAATGATTTATGTCTATGCTAAGATTTCTTGTGTAATTGCAAAGAGGCACGACAACATGACTGATGTTCATGTTCACAATAAGGTAAGTAAACAAACAGTCGGGAGTATCCGACTCTGATTCAAAAGTCATTGAATGCTTCTTGCTGACACGCATTATCATTATGAAATGAAATTCAAGTGCAACCAGATTGTTTAATACTAATTCCTCCTACACTTATCTCTCTAACACAGAAATTTAAACGATACACAGCCGCCGATGTGGAAAATGATTACTCCGAACAGGACCATAGCATGGGCTATAAAAACAAACAGACTACCACGCAAACATTCTCTAACCAAACAATATCCAAGGAATTACACGAAATTGTTCTAAGCGAAAGTGACAATTTTGGAGGGCAAACAACTGGCGGGAATTGCCAGTCTTTGCTGGCTCTGCCATCAACTCATTGCGCTAGTGGCAAAAGCAGTAGCTACGAGCTAACGCGACCGTCCTCACTGTCACTGAAGCGCACTTCCACCGCTTCTACTACTATAACCACAATGACAAGTGGTATAGGTCCCAGCTGCAGTCTGTTAGATGCGCAGTGGCAAACCCAATCGCAATCGCAATCGCAAGCCCAAACACAAACACAAACACAAACACAAACGCAACAAGCGCGCACACACAGTTTTCGGCACTCTCATCTCAGTGTGAGCGGCGGGGACAGGCTGCGTAGCCACCATCATCATCAGCATCAGACCGCAGGGTCGGGAACGACGGATGTTGCAACTACTACAGCAACCACTAATATCAAATCGCTATCGAACCGCATTACATCACTCAAAAAGGAGAACAAAACAACACAGACATTAAGCATTGTCGTTGGGGGCTTTATTGCCTGTTGGCTACCATTTTTTGTCTACTATCTTATAACACCGTTCCTGGCCGAGCACCAAGTCAGCGGCACATTGGCCAAAGCCCTTACCTGGCTCGGGTGGTTCAACAGCGCTATCAATCCATTTATATACGCATTTTACAGTGTCGATTTCCGTGCAGCCTTTTGGCGCTTGACCTGCAAACGATTTTGGAGTGACGAGCAAAAACCGCAGTTTCCCACGAACACAATGTCCATTAGGCGATAGTCGTGGCGTGTCGCCACCTCAAATTCGCCCGCAAAACCGCAAAACCTGCGAAATTAGGAATTGCAATTGGCGACCTCACGGCACTTCCAGCGCGAATACCAATATTGCTTTTACATTTTACAACTAGAAATTGCAAATGAAAATTTATGACTTGCTCCCGATTTTCACCAAATAATCAAAATTACATTTACGCAGCTTACATTAATGGATTTCTTTAAACAAATACTTTCTTCAGCATATAGTATCTAATAACGTATTACAATTGCTATAAGTATTAGCCAGATTAGCAGATGAACACAACTAGAAGTCAATACACGCAGCGTAGAATAATGCAACTGCTACAATAAACGGAATCAATTAACACACATATGTGAATATAAATATATATACATATATATATATATGTGTGTGGATATGAATGCATATATAAGTAGAAATCCAGTACCTACACAGTTTTTGCATCTTATCCTCTTAATAAGACGTTGCAGTAAAAGAAAAAGAACCACTTCCAATAGAAGCATCGTAGTATTGTTCTATCCACTATGATCGAGAATATATATGTACATATGTATTAAATTTTTAATTGTGATTTAGCCTTAATTGAACCTTAACAACATTTACAACCTTAGCTGTAGTGCAATACCTAGGATCGATTTCCATTGGTGTCGTAAATGTTTTACCAAAACACAGGCAAAGCAAGTAGCTTTCAACTGTAAGGATATTGATATATTTTACAACGTTCCTCGCGATATATATAAAAATGTATGATATGACATCATAGCTGAAACTTTAACTACAATTCACTAAAATTTTCGTAAAATGTCTCTTCTTCATTGAATGAGATCCAGTTCGGAAAAGTTCGGAAATTCTTTTCCCTCAGCTCGCCCGAGAAAATGTTGTTTCTTATATATTTATTACAAGATTACAATTCGAATATATTTCTAAATAAAACTAAAAGCTAATACCTCGTAGTATACGCACCACAGCTGAAATGATGTCAGTGCAAGAAATATGACCACCAGCCACTCAAATAGCTACAGAAGCAAGTGTGTTTTAATTAATTGGAGACCTCCTCTTCTGGCGTCCTAGTACAATGTATCCATGGTAAGAAACATATGTTATTAACGTACATACATGTGGGGTTACGTAATTATGATGACCTCAATTTTAGTTATGGCTTTAAGTTATTCAAATAGTTTATAAGCCATTTAAGCATAACTAAGATTATGGTTCGGATAGGGTATGGGAATTCCTCTTCTGTGTATTATGAAGATAACTGTAAATGCCAAATTTAATTTCTGAGAATCGTATATTTCGCAAGATTTAATCAAGAATTAGATATTAAAGAAAACAGTCAGTTTGAGAAGAGTAAAATTAATATTTATGTAGAATTATTAAACATGCACTATAACTAAATAGCAAATAATAGACAAGGAGAATCGATTTAGCTATTGAGATTCTTTCGGCTTGCCCAACTACATTATAGTTTTTTATTTCCTCTTCTTTGGTACAGGACAGGCAGGTCCAGTGCTGATTATCAATCATTATAATCCATTTTAGATTGTAACTTCGTTGTTATGGTAATAATAAGAACATAAATAAAGGCTTTAAATAAATCTATTTATTTTATACGTGCTCTTACATCTGTTTAAACTAAAATAAAAATTGTGGACTTCCTAATCAATTATTATACACCCAAATGCACTTGTTTCACTTGGGGCTTAAGGGCTTAAGCGCGAAACATATTTATGTGGTTGCGGGCCAGTTTCTGTTTACAGATTCTCCGACAGGTCAGGCGCCAAAAGGCAGCTCGGAAATCCGGATTAAAGGCATAAATGAACGGGTTAATGGCACAATTTACCCAGCCAACCCATGTCAGAAACGACATGAGACTTTCGAGCTTTTTCAGCTGAGGCAAGAAGGGCACAAGTATGTAATAAGTAAAGAACGGTGTCCAACAAGCGATTAGGCCTCCCATGACAATGGTCAGTGTTTTGGTCGTTTTGCTAGTTTTAATTTTGGTTGACACTCGCATTGGAATGCGATGACTTGACAATTGCCGCTGCGTATGATGCGACGTTGTGGACGCCCGTTTGGCCCCTATTTGATTATTATTTGGCATTTCCATAGAGGTGTCAGCCATGCACTGGCTCTCCTTGTAGTACAAAGACGGCATGGACAAGGTCGAACCGCATTTCGCATGATATCGGCAGTTGTCCACGGAACAGTGCATCAGTGAAGACATGCGCGAAATCTCTATCAGCTCATAGAAGGTCGGCTGATGCTTAAACTTTTTTCTTTTGTCAGCCATTTTCGCCTCCTGGCATTTGGTGCATTTGACGTTGTTGGAGCCAAAGATGGGGTTAACTGGAGATCCTACGACGCTACAACGGGCCTCGCAGCTCGGCAGACATTTGTGTGGATTGCAACGATAAAGCTCCGATTCAGATATAAAATGATCAGCATCCACCTCATGATCTGCGGTGCGTTCCGTATTCTGGCGGGATAAAAATTAACTTCGAAACAAAAACGACTAAGAAGAAAAAGTAAAGCAAGCTAAATACCGCATCGTGCACAATTCGTTGCCTTCGTGATGTCAGAACAAAGCCAATCTTAACGTAAACATACAGCATGACAGTGAGAGGTATAAAAAAGGAGCCCATCGCTGAGTAAACGACGTATCCCTTGTTCTGATTATAGCGGCATTCCACAAACTCCTTTTCAAGCCGTTTTCTACCCGGCTCGTACCTGGATAAGAGCAAAACAGAAGATGAAGAATATTGGTATACGTAATGTAATGTAGAGCCAACTGTATTTAAGGGACTGTGGCCTACTCACCAGCCAAGCATTGGGGGACAAGTAATTACAAATGCTAGGATCCAAACTACGAGAATCATTAACAATGCCAAACGCTTGCAGCGCCATTTTTTCGAATATGTCAATGGTTGTGTGACGGCGAGATACCTAAGTGTAAAGTAATATTAAGAAAACAAAAACGAAATGAAATAGAGTAAATGAAAACAAAAAGCATGGAGCATATTGTGTATTAAGCTGTTGACAAACGTCCCCAGCAAACAGCGCAGCTTGGCGTCAACTCAGAAATGCCATTTAAATGTAATTGAAACTTCCAACAAAAGAAACCAGCCCTGTGTATGTGTGTGGCTACATACATACATTACAGTCGGGAGCTCGGCCCTATTGTAGCCTGCGCCCACTTGGCGTTAAGTTAACTTTAAACGCCTTGCACAGAATGGGTCAATAAAATATTTTTGCACAGTATTTTCACCTTTTTATGCGTCAATGACGTCATGGCAATGAATTACGCTTTTTTATACGGACAAATTAACGCACGACATTAAAATTAAGGGGTTGTTTACATAGGTGCACGAGTCTTCTCCCTATATATTAGTCATTAACTCACTCCAAAGTCTAGAGTACATGTTCATATATGCACACGTACAATGTATTTGCAAAATATGAACTGTATTCTTCAGAGACTTTGTTGGAAATTAGCGCTGCTTGGTAACTTACCTGTCCAGGCTTATGGCACACAAACTGAGAATGGATGCCGTGCACAGCAATATGTCGAAGAAGATCCAGACGTCGCAGAGTACCCAGCCAAGTTGCCATGAACCTGCATAGAGCATTAATTGAATGAGAGCAGAGAGAGTGTTCGAGTCGGGAGTGCCCGACTGAGAGATACCTCGAGACTATTTCATGTAATTTAACTTTGAGTGACAAAGAATTAAATCAAATGTGAGAAGCACTAGATATAGGAATGCCTAGCTAAAATATAGTATATAAAGGACGAGCGGACAAGCTGATAGACTAGTAGACTAGTCAACTGACACACACCTGCACCAGATCCTTAATGTTTATTCATTATGCATGTTGCCCTGAAATACCCTTTAATCATTTTCATTCATCTTTCTGTATCGAGCAAAAATACCAAGAAAACACTTGAAGCAAGGTTAGTGAACTATTACCAAAGGTGAAACTTTTATTAACTAATATAAAATCAAAGCCAATCCATTCCTTGCAAATGCTTTTATTGGTTTGGTGTCTCTCCCACAGGCAACCTTTAGATTACACCAGGCTCAACAAAGGCTTCGAAGTATGTGCAAAGTATGTACAAATAAATTGTGCAAAACTAAAATTGTTTCTCCCAACACACAAAAGGACTTGTGCAGGCAAAGTTTTTGTTTTGGCAACTTCAACCGAATTTGTTAGGCATCTAAAACAACACGCATACCTATTAAGGCATAGTACCTACTGCATCTATATGCTTTGAGGGACTAGTCAGCTTTACATTTTACATTTTGCATTTTACATTTTTTAATTTGACCATTTGCTTGTGGAAACTTTGCCCTTTTAAGAAAAAGTTTTAATACCTGGCATTTTGGGAATCATAAAAGCATGTAATTACATTTTGTGTTGCCTTTGGCTGGTGACTACTTTTTTGCCGTAGCGCAAATTGTTTATATAATTCTTTTATGCAGTGAAATTTGATCAAGAATACAAAAAACAAAAAAGTTGCTTAAATTGTTTGTTCGTAAATTAATTATATTTTATGTAAAGTTACTATATCTGAGGCTGGCTTGAAGGTAAGGGTCACAGTTGACTCGCACTTGGATACTTACCAATGACATGTAAGGCAACTGCCGGGGGCATTACGAATATGCCCACAAGTAAATCGGCAACTGCTAAGCTCATTACAAAGCAATTCGTAACGGTGCGCAGTCTCCTCGTTGTCAATACAGACAGTATAACAAGCATATTTCCAATAACGGTCACCAATATTAGTAGCAAGAATGTAGCGACAGCTACAATCGTCGACCAGGTCATAGTCTTCCAAGCGGAGTTCATTATTTATACAAAATAAGTTAAGCTCTCAGTTGAGGGTAAGCTTAATGAAATTATTCTAATATTTCTTGAATTGGCATTCTTTGTACATTCTGATTACAGTAATAAATATTGTTTCCAACTGTCGAAACTGCATTGATTACCTAAATCAAAGGCAGAAAAACAAACACAATAATTTAGTAAACATTCAACTTTGTGGCATATTATTTTAAACGTTGAATGCTTTAAATTAAGCCGTTCTCACTTTAAGCAAGACCAGGATTATTCGGCTAACAGTTACGGTATTTCGTACAGGCTGGTTAGTAAAATACAAGTGTCTCTATTTCGCGTGCTGTGAAAGCATTGATGTCTAATTGATTAATCTGTCGAGAGCACCGATCATCAACTCATCATCAACTATCTTATAAGCCGAGCTTAACCATATTCAGACAGACAGTCGCAGCTGATTCGAAAGCTATAAGAAAGCTAAAAAAGATCTGTTTAGAAGTTGAAGATATTAGAAAGTTGAGGGTTCAGAGTATTTGCTGAATATTTGTCTACGATAAAGCGCCTGTTGCTCAAACTAAATTGCAAATGGATTTCTCATATACATCAGGTTTTTAAGCCATGATACAGGGAATTAAGTTGTAATATTGTGATTTTAATAAGTTAAAACTATTAAACTTACATTAATTGTTTGAGTGTTCACTAAATGAACTTAGAATATAAATAAAATTAAGTCGCCTTTGCACAAAACTCGTTTTTTTCTCAGCTAGGCCAGACGCTTATTATAGATAAGTTGCATAGCTGTCACACATGATCCGGCTACTTCTATGCTAGTCAGCTTGACTGTGATTCGAAGATGCATTTGGGTACACATAAACAAGAATCGAATTTTTGTAGAGCACACTTTACTCACACTTTCATACACATAAACATAAACACCCGCTGCAGCCGCAAGCCTTGAAGAGACAGCTGTGCTCGTATAACCTCAGGGCCACACTATAAAAAACAAAATTTGGGAACATATTAAAATATCTGGCATTCAAAATGGAATTTTGAATTTTTGCTATTTTCTAATTCAATTCAAATTGTTAACTCACTTCACTGCAAAGGGTAAGAAACGAATATACCCGTTTTCACTTTGTGAGTCGCTGCAAATAAAACTGTTAGTCAATACTAAACAATGCAAAGCTTATGATTTTGCAAGTATTATTCACTGATTTTTTTTTTGTTTTTGACACACCTTCTAAACAAATATGTAATACACATACAAACTTACACACAAAACTTTGCATATTTCGAATCGTGGAAATTTTGCATATATCCCATCGTGTTTTAGCCGTTTCTTATGGATGAGCTATTTGGTTTTCATAAATTATATTTTCTTGTTTTCCAATGCTTCTTTATATTTGCAATTAATGTGTAAAATTGACCATATTATTTGTTTTAATTAAGAAACATCTTGCGATACAAACTGTCTATACGGCGCACAGCTGCCTAACGCAGACGTTGTTCCCAACTGACAGAGCAACTTTTTGCCGTTTGGACGCTGTTGGAACCGAGCGTAGGCAATGCTGCGTATGAACAATATATTTTATTATTGGCTGCTAAAGTACACAAAATACAGCGCACTAAACCAACAACATGGGCAAATTCTTCGGCCGTTCAACGCCTTTTCGTTTTGTTGCTTTTGGATTTTGTTTTGTTTTTTTTTTTTTTATTATTTTTAGCTTTATTAATAAGCCCGAACACCCGTTCCTATTGCTGATATGTTTAGGAGATTCTGAATAATTACTTTACATTAATTAAAAATCACACAAAAATATAATAACAAATTGCTCTTAAGTTCTGTATAAATTCATTTAAATTTTTAGAGCTAATGAGTTTTCACATTACATTGATAAATAGCAATTCAATTTAGGGGCCTTAATCGAAAACTCTATAAGTACTTAACACAAAAGTCCTTCTATAACTATGAAGTTTATTGTATGAGACTGTAACTACATATTAGAAAATCTACTCTGATCCCACTGAAAAATAAAATTAAGGATATATTTTTTTGTATGCGTGTGTTAGTCAGAAGGAGGCGTTGTCAACCTAGAATTCTGGATCAGCTTGACTTTTTTCCTTTTTGACTTTTATCAGCAACTTAATATTGATAACTTTTTCCAATCCAATAATTGGCGTCAATCTCTTCAAATTCGGTATCTTCGGATTTCCATACTCTTCCTAAAAATGCTAACATTTTTATATTATTTATTTTATTTTATATTATTTGTTATTATATATCTATATATATTATAAATATATTATATTTATATATATTATATATTTATTTATTTTATTTTAAATTTTTTGTTTTTTTATATTTATATATATTTATTTATTATATTATTTATTTTATTTTATATTATTTGTTATTATATATTTATTTATTATATTATTTATTTTATTTTTAAATTATTTGTTATATATTTATATATATTATATATTATTTTTATAGCATTTATTTCTATATATTTTAATACAAGCAAACAAATTTACAGGCGCATTGCGACTACCACTTCCATTCATGAAGCAACTCATTACAGGCTCATTTTTTTATGGCTAAAACCACTTCACAACACATAGATCTTGCCTCTAAAGCTTTCTTGCAGCTGTATATCTGCTTGATCGCAACAATAAACTATATTCATTTTATGAATTGAGTAATATGAATAAATATATTTGTTTAGAGGTGGAACACAATCCCAATGAAGAACGCCTATATAAATTCATTATTTGCAGAAAATCATTATAACTTATTTACAAATTTTTAATGGGATTCGAAAAATCAAAGTGTGCTTTATTCGGAACTGCTTGACTGTGAGATTGCCGCTATAGAGGAGAAACATTCAAAATAAACATAAGCAGCAAACAGCCAACACGCCGGCCGCTGTCTTCACATTATAAGCCATCTGTGTGCTTCTTGATGGAAATCCTAAGAATTAAGAATATTGGTGTATGTTGCCTGATCTTATTGAAATAATGCGAGCATTGAACTGTGCTTGAGCCAACTGCAGCTGTCTAACCAAACAATTATTGGGCGGTGAGCTAGGTTTGTAGAAAATTGAATACTCGTAATTTGAGTATAGCGGGAGAATATAAAAATCATATTTGATAAGTCTAGATCATAAGACGTGTAATGTGGACTTCAATTATCGAAGTATGCAGTGGAAATGGAATGAAATTGTCTGCCATATGAGAACCTATATGTAAAGCTATAAGAGCTGAAAGTGTCTAAGTCAGATTATCAGATATATGGCTAAACTAAGCGACAGCGCCTAATAAACTCAACAGTTGGTCCTCATCGAAAATATATACACTTTACGTGCTCGGCCTATTGCATAAATGTTATGTTATTTACGTTATACCTTGAGTTCTCATTTTCAATGGGCTCAGGCTATAAAACAGGACAATTAACAGCAATTAAATTTGGGTCCTTTAAGGCTTGAACAGCCTCATCAAGCGGTGTCAACACATGCAATGGCGTCATTGTCCTTTTTTCCCTTTTTTGGGGAATGTCGTTAACCAAGCAAGCAAGCACTAGGGAAGAAACTCATTACGAGTCGCGCAAAGTAAACTTTTGTTTACATGAAATTAGTAAAATGTTTGTATATCAAATTAATGCAACATGAAGACACGTAGCATAGCCTCGTTGCGTGCGTTAGCTTCGGTTCGTGTGCTTGAATATAATCATTGATGATTTTTTATGTATTCGGGAAGATCTCTCTGCCTTTAAATGGAATAAAATTGTGTCTAGGTCCTTAACAACAATCCATTGACTAATTTATTTAGAACCCTTTATAGCGGCAGCTATAACAAAGACTTACCGTTAATCATTGGTATATATATATTGATATAAATATATATATATATATATATATGTATATATTTAATAAACTGAACAATTTATCAACATTTTTTAAACACATTCTCTTAGCTGCTTAACTATTTTGATAAAATAAAATTAAATAAATTAAAAAATAAATAAATTCATTTCAAATAAATTCAGTTCACTTGATAAATGATTTAATATTTACAATTACCTTCTCATAGAATATCTACAAAAAAATTGTTTCACTTAAATTTGACCATGCGCTGCAATGACGAATACCTTTTGATCGAGCGCTCTGATAATTGATAGATTTATGTGTTGATTACCGCTCGAATGGCCGTTGACGTGTTTCCCAATTTATTTTTATTTGCTGCATAATTAATTTAAGATAACGGCAACCACACATGCACAATTCCGCTATCTGACATTTGAAATCGGTGTTAATTCCAGCATATGTCAAATTCATTTAATAACAGCTTCGAGGGCCAAAAAGAATGCAGAATGATTTGCAATCCATTATGAGGAATGATTTGATCAAATTTGCTTTTTTTCAGTTTTAGTAGAGAGAACTTTCTCTTTGCAACCAATCGCCAGGACGTGTCGTGTTAGACTAAAGCACTTCTCGCTGAGCAAAACATTTTGCTAATTTCCCAACGCGGTTTGGTTAGTCATTTCCAACTTTTCGCCCTGTACTGCCTTTCACTAGTGGAGTATGTATATAGGGTAAGCCATGCAGATGTTTGTGTGTGTGTGTGTGCGGCTTTCTGCTTGTTGACTGTGTGCCTCTAATTCTCCTTAGATAATGACTAGGATAATTAAAAAGGTTTCACTTGCAATAATTCGTGCATTAAAAACAGTCAAGGCTGCTCTAGTGGACTGGAATGACTTACATTTATTACACATTTTTGAGCAATTATCAAATAACATCAGCTTATCAAAGTTGTTATGGGCCGACAACTGTTTCGAATCGGCTGTGCTCCACTAGGATATTTTCTTAGGCTCGACTGAGCAGCTAGCAAAAATCTACTCATCCTCTCGCTGTACTTCTGCCGTGGAGTACACGATATTTGCTTAGAATTTAATCAAAATAAAAGAAAATGGCTTTCGTCGGTTATGCTCGACTAGGATATACTCTCCAGTACTCGATATCTTTATACTAGATATACTAGTAAAATGATTACACCAAATTGTGTGACTGCTAAAAGTTTACTCTGATAGCTAAAGTTTGATATTGAGCTGAATGCATTTCAGGGCTTCAGTAAAATGTATCGACTTGATCTGCACATACTTAACAGGTACAAAATCTTTGGCTTATTAACTGTTGTTAAGTGCACAGTATCAGCATTATCAGCTGTCTAAATATATGTGTCGATATATACAGACACACAGACCTACATCAGGAAAACATAAGATTAGCTCAACTGTTAATCTTCATCAAGAATACATATATTTCGTCGACTAGATTTAATCTATTTCTGAATAAAAGAAATATTTCAAATATGTATTTCTAATTGTAATAAGTTATTTCTTAGTTATTTTGATACAGAAGTAATTCAGTGCCAAGTCTCAGTTCCTAGCACGCCGATATTTGTCTCAATAAAATATTTCTCGATCTTGATAACCAACGTACAAATAGGCTCAAGTATATAACTCGCTATTTAACCACCCAATGACGTATTTAACACATTTGTGCATAGCTATGGACGTCTATTTCCAATCGTCATAAAGCTTGTATGTACAATAAATCTAGCATTGAGAGTATCAGTTGACCTGTATACCCTGTAGCCACTAAATTAAATACAAATTAATAACTAAAGTGTATAGAATAGATTAACATGTATCGTGTCGGGGCATATGCAAAAGTAAATATATTCTTATCAATTACTGTTTTACCAAGCTAAAGCACTAAATGTTATGTCTGTAAATACACAGGGCAGTCACATAGTTTACTATATTTAGACCGATTCTGTTTAGATACATAAGCAGATATTTGTCGTGAGGCCATTTCTAATCTGTGCGTTGTACATATTGAAGAATTAATTAATAACTAGGAGTTAAGTTAGAATCTATCCACGCTTCACATACATATAAAACTTATACTAGCTTATGTCCATTTAAAAATATACTGGGAGATCTTCCAGTGTAACTCCTGCAGGTAGTTTGTGAAGTACAATCGATGCAGGATGGGGGCCTTATGCTACATGCGCTGTATAACGCAGCCTTTAAACGAGTTCATCCTGACATCAATTTCGCCATCCTCGAGCTGCATTAAGGAAGCACAACAATTAGTTCGACTAATTATACTAATTTTGTTTTCAGACATACCTCATCAAAGGCATAGATGTCTTGATAGCACGAATGGGATATACATTGCCTCAAGCAGTTCAGCTTGGAGACCATAGCTGGATTCGCATTGACACACAGTGAGTTCTGTCCACAGGCCAGCTCGAAGTCGTGATAAATGATTTCCTAAAAAACAAGCAAAGCGACAATTTATTTGAAAAATCAATAATACGCATTCAACGCCTATAAATCCATACATTTTTGCTTGTTTCTTTGTACGCGTACTCAGGAAAATGAAATGTAGCTGCCTTGGATGGCGTCTTGTTATCTCTATAGTTTTCCGAAGCACATAGAACCATTTTTAAAGCTACAATTGCAGCTAACGTATTATAAAGACGCGACATTTTGACAGACTGTCAAATGATATCCACTCTTGGTATATTCCTTGTTTAGTATATTTTCTGTTTGGCATTTTTTAGCGCTGCATCTCGTCTTCAAGGAAAGTATTTTAATGCCGCTGCAAAGAACAGACAACTGCAAAATAGTTGGAAGAATTCGAATTCATTTTCAATTATTAATTTATTCGCTTCCCTTAGTAAAAAGCATGTTTCATTTGCATATTAACATTTTCCAATATATTTATTTCGATATTTATTTAGAGGCTTAGATCCAAATATTGATTATCATATGAATTTATCCGTACATCAAATATCCATTAAGTTACGTAATGTGGTTATATATATACTTCTGTATGCATATATAAATATAACTATTTAGTAGATGCTTTACTCATAAATACGTTTAGACAGTTATGAAACGAATAATGTTATGCTGGTTAAAAACACTTTCAATTGATGATGATGCACTGCATTTTAAATTAACTATAATATTCAATAAATTATATTGGCCAACTATCCGAAGACAACTCTTCTGAGCGAATCCCTTTTTGACGTGTTGAATTCGAGGCTGAAACCGATATAGCTGCATAGCATAGAAGAGAACCGTTACAGTATTGGAAAATTTATTCCGTCTTCAAGTTGAACTTACTCCCCTCCCGCCCTTACTCTGTCTTTCTATCTTTCTCTGTCAACTCTTTTTCTCTGTCATCTTGAAAAACAGCATTTATCTTGATATAAGAGTAGACAAGAATTGTACCCGAATAACCTGACGTAATAGGCTTATTCTGAGTTTAGCACAGCAAAAAGTCGATCAGAAAAGTAGTGTTATTCTTGTTCATAAAGTTCTTTCTAAACTTGGTTGACCTGTGTTATTTACACATAATCCTCCTTATTTTTTAGCATTCTTTGCGCCTCCGCAGCCACAACTTTTTGGCACTTTTGGCCAACGCAATGTTCCCGGTCAATGGAGCCGCGAATGGTATAGTGGGACGTGCCATGCATCGAATCGCTGTGCTTGTACTTGAGAGCGCTTTGACGACAAATACCAAACCTGTGGGGCATTCTTAATGTAAAGACTGTAGATCGTTAGGATTCAGATACATACTTTGACAATAGGGTCAACAAATCCTGTCGATATTGGGATGTTAAGATGGCGTATAAGTATGGATCCGCACAAGAATTTAGTGGATAGAAGAAGACAAGTAATATTTTGGACTTGGTAACGTTAATTAACGGGTAGCCAGCTAATGCGGTAAGACCAAAAAATGCAATTGGTGCTCCACAGCTAAAATTTATGAAGACCTGCGAGATACAAAAATCAGAAAATAGGTTTTTCGAAACACATATATCAAGGTGAACTTACTAGAAGTGCCATCTTCTTGGCCACACTCATCTCGCCCGGATTGTTCTGTCGTGCCCGTCGCGTTTCCTCACCGAGAGACAGATATATTTGAGAGTAGCATATGGCAATAATTGTGAATGCTAGAAAGTTGCAGCCCAAAATCAATATCAAATATATGGAGTCGTATATATCGCGTTTCTCCATGGGTAGACAAATGCTAAAGGAAATGAAATTAGCTATGCAATAAAGGTAGAAGACTTATCTCACCTAGTTGATGAATAATTACTTATCCCAAACAAGGGCAGCGAGGACATTGCTATGGAGTAGATCCAGCCCAGTAGCATAATGAAGGCAGCTGGACGCAACTTTATGCGTTTATTTAGATACATTGCGTGCGTGATGGCAAACCAGCGTTCAATCGTGATGACAGTCAAGGTAAAGAGCGACAGGTGACTAGCAAAGACGGTTAAAAATCCAGCAATCTGGCAACCCCAGCCTGTGCGAAAAGAATACTTAAAACATCTCCCACAACATCAGACAATAAGATAGTTGTGCTAACCATACTGCCAATCAAAGGCATAGTTGAAGTACTCGCCCATTGAGTGAGCATCGATTGAGGCAATAAGTAGCAAGTAGAGCCCCAAGCACAAGTCGGCAAAAGCAAGATGGCATATAAGGAAGCGTGGCACTGAGGGACTCTCGGATCTAACGTAAGTGATAATGAGTGCCAAATTGAATATGAGTTGAAAGTTGATTGGACGGACTCACCTAATTGAAAGTATAACAGTGAGAACGGCCACGTTGCCAACAATAGCCAGTGCAACCACAATCCAAACAGCTATGCGAAGCCACTGATAGCCCATGACGTCCTCACACGGATTTAAAGCGTTGGGCATGGGATAACACTCAATGTTTGGCTTTCTGTGAATTATTGAGTCTGATGAAACAATACCTGAAGGCTTTTTAAATAATCACCTAAATGTGAAGTTGCCGCAATACTCAGCCAGTTGGTCATCTTCGGGATTGATTGTTATCTGTTCATGGAAAATGCCAATGTTGTTCATTGTAGAATCAGCCATATAGTCGTACGAGTTGGGCGTAGGATCTGCCAGCAGATTGTTTACGGTAGAGTCACTTGAGGTGCAATAAGAAGGCTTCTATTATCACGCGTTTAGCTGTAAATATGGTCCCTGCTTACCTATGATGCACTTCCGACAAATGCGCCAATGGCGTGAGATTGTTATCTCTTAAGCTTCTTTCAAGACTTGTGTGCAAATTGCGGTTGCTGTTGCATTGATCTCTCCACTTCTGCAATTCTTGCATGCGTTGAGCGTGCCTCTTGGGATCATGCCTCGACGGAAATTGAAATGCACAGCAGTGAAACGAGTGCGTCAAGTGAGCCCGCTGTAAGTTCTGCAATGATGATAGATGACAAAAGTGAAGCAATGGATCTAGCTGCTACTGTGCAAATATTTACCTGAAAATTATATATGGAAGGTATTGTCTTCAAGGTGTGCGTATTGGTTATGTATAATACTTCGACGGTCTGAAGTCCAGCTGATGGTAGGCGTTCAAGAGATGTGCTTGAGAGATCACTATGGTTGGAATATATATAAATATACATATATAGATTTAGATATAGAATATACTGCTTACAGTTCTGTCATGTCTATGATGCCATTGAATGCATTCGGATGAATGTCGCTAAGTCTGGGATTATCATTCAATGAACTAAACAGTGTGAATAAGAAGCAGAAGTTATTTTTCACACTTGAAGGCAGTAATTGCACTCGTCTTACAGTTTTGCAATTTTCGAACCCAGAAAGGCAGAATCGTCAATAAAAGCTATGTCATTGTTTGCTAAAACACTAATCGTTGAAAACAAGATTATCAGTTTGAGAAGTGTTACAAAGCGCGTACTTACAATTGTGCAGTCTTCACTTGGATGGATTTAGAATCAATTCGAGAAATTTGATTGTTATCGAGATCTCTATATGCATACAAATATATAAATATCTTAGTTCAGTTCAGTTTTAATACTGCGGACTTACATCATTTGCAATATATTATAGGGCGGTAAATGTCCCAGATCTGGCACAGTTGTTAATCCACTATTTATAATCCGTCTGTGTAAAAAGTTTAGTTTAGATTTTCAGACTTTCTTTTTGTATACATAAAATGGAAAACATTCAATATGAGTTATGATGCTGTTTACTCGCCTCGATGCATATACGAAAATCTTAGCATTGAGTCGCTATCTGACATACTTCTCTATAAATTGCAATTTGTTGGCAATTTTAGTAAGTTTTTGGAACAGTCACGATACATACTATAAGTGAACTTGACTGCACTTTATGCAACTTTATAAATACAGATCTAAAACATATTTAGTTCCAGTTGTAACCCGGCTCACGAAGTCTTTTCTTCGACTTGAAATATAACGATAATTATTCATAGCTTATTCATTTATTGTCTCTAGTTATAGGCTTCAAGTTATGCGCTAAAAACAAACTCAAAAAGTCAAATTAAGACAACCTCATGAGTTAACGAAAGATAACTCTGCATTGTAATATAAAAAAGAAGTTATATATTTAAAATTTGAAGCTAGTTGTGGTAGTTGTTGCGGACCAACAGATGGGATAAATTCATCGATAACTTCATCGATACTTAACTTATCGACGGTTGGTCTTTCTTTTGAGGTCTGCCCCATCTCCTTCTGCCTGTTACACAGATTGGCGCAAAAACATCATATCCGTTCTTCTTAATGTGCTTGGAGTATAAAAGTGAGAAACACATTTGCTTATGGTATACAAAATACATTCTAAATTTACTCAGATAAACGAACAATCAACAATCACTCAGAGCCACTAGATGTTCCATGTGAAATGTACGTCTGCTTGAGATGCCTCTATAAAAGCCCACAAATTTGTCTTATTGAATATTACCTTTAGCTTATTATATATGTAGTAACATTTTTGCTGTTAGGCAATAAAAATTACATTTACATAACGACACACTTCGACGCTTCACGTTGCTCTTAGAGTTAATGCGCTTATGGAACTTGTCAGCATTAAATGTTCTTTTGAGCTAAAGTGCATAGAGTATAAAAGCCTCTTCCATCTCATTGGCAGACTGAACTGAATTTATAAATGATCAATTTTTTTGCCCGATGAATGAGTTTTTCTTACATGATTTCAATGGTATCGGAAATTCCCTCAAACACATTTTTGGAGAGGTAACTTAATTTGGGCGCATTCGAAATGTAGCTATAAAAATGAAAAAATAATTGATTGACGACACTCAAACATCTAGATTGATATACGTACATGGTGCGAAGAACCGTTAAGTTCGAGAAAGCTCCGTTCTGTATGGCCTCAAGCTGCAAACAGTCTATAAAAGCTCTGAAAGCAAAGCAAATTTTGGACTTTTAATTCCTGCGCATTTGGCATTTCGTATTTAAGTGCTACTCACACATCCAATAAAGTAGAGGCATAAACTTTTAGCCCCATCGACCGCAGGCGCGGGAGCCCCGCTGATGCAATTGTGAGCCTCTGCAGTGGCAACTTTAAAGTTTGCGGCACTCGTGTCAACGCTGCGCCCTCGCAACGGCATTCGAACTCGTTCTGCGCAAACACATTAATGAGAAATATACATAAATGAACGAATAACCTTGTTAAAGTCGGACATAACCGACTCGAGTCAAACAGTCAAAATTATTCAAAAATTCATTTGTAGGTCTAAAAGTAAACAAGCTAATCAAATATTCGCCAGCAAACTGAGCGATTAAATGAGGATGATATAATTTTTTCAGATTTTATTTGTACAAGATAAAGTTACAAAATTACCTATTCTTAGGATCTGGTCACTTAAAGTATACGGAACCCTCTTTAGTAATTTTAGATTTACCAGAAATGTTAAGCATATAGTATTTTAAGAAGATATGAAAACTAGATTACTTGCCATATTTTGGTTAAGTTGTTTAATTGCAAAAAAGACAGACACATACTCCAAAAAATTAAAAGATAGGTCCTCTTATAGAAAAAGGGACTGGTAAGCAAATTGATGAATATTAATCTGACTTTATTCCTAAAGAACACACAGTTGTAACCCATTTATGACGCCCCCAATGAGTACTGACCCTTGGCCTTCTTATCCGAATGGCCTTCAGAGTCCAGCATTAATAGTAACGCTGGCAATGGGTGTATACAAAAAGTGTGGAATTGTATATGAACAGTGCACAAATTGGAAATTTATTATTTATTTATTATTTATTATTATTAGCGAGTCATAACTTCAAGATACGCGGCTTAGTATATGTGTCTAAGTGCTGCATGAAATTGTAGAAGAGTAAACTGTGTGTTCTGGGAAGTATTCAGTTGCTTATGCAGACGACAGGCACTTACTTGATTGGTTGCTTCCCAGCAGCAACACTTCCAAACAGAAGTATCAATAGTCGCATTGCTTGTCATTGCTACTGTCGGCGCCTGGGTGGCTGCGGCGAACGTATCGGTTGCATTCGCCTTATCAGGCGGCAGATTATTAATAAAGGTATTAAACCCGTTGTCGCTGTCATAGCAATTAGTGTTTGCTTGTCGAGAACAATAGACCAGTGAAAGCAAGATGAGGGCCAAGTAATCAAATCTAGCTATAATTAGCGTGCACTTCATGTTTGCTGATGAGTTGCACGTCCAATGTTAATCTTATTGTTGTTCAGATTTGCTTGCGTCGCTTCGATTACAGATGTATTGAGGCTGAGGTGTTCACCTGTTGGGTAATCAACTCTACTCTGGTCGTATAATTCGTCGTCTTTTGATTCATTTTGCTAGTCTTCTTATAGTACGCTGATCAGGTGTAGTATTTCGCCTCACTTGTTGTGCTCTGTAAAGATTGGTGTTTCAGATAGAAATTGCTCTACTTTAATTTATTTCAAATAGTGGAGTTGTTCCGATTCGTTATCCATATCAAACACCCTCAATCAGATCAGAGTTCAAATATTGTATTTATGCATATATATGTATGTGCCCAAAGAGAATACACATATTTACAAATCAACCTCAAAAATTTTGCACCTATTGATGAAGCTGTGAATTGAAATTTCACGTATCGCCCGAACACATGTTTGATTGACTTTTCAATTTGATTCCGTGATTGTTGTTTAATGTGCAAACTGAAATCCATGCCCGAGTAAATTTACCAGAAAATAAGAAGGGCAAACAGAGCTCTGGTTGTCTTTTGGGCCCAGTCAATGATATTCTTTCATAGACTGTCTGCTAGCATTACCAGATTATTTATTTTTATTGTTTTGTTAATATTTATAGAAAAAAATTTATTAATCACACTTACCTAGCGCGAACAAAAATAAGCCAATTAGTTGCATATAAATTATAATTAATATTTCGACGAGTTAAGCCAAAAATATTTAACAACAAGTCAAACAAGTAAGGGTGCTCCAGTCGGCAGTGCCCAACTAAAAGATATTCTACCTTTTTCATCTGTTCTCATCGTCATTTATTTACGGTCCATTGGAAGGAAAACCCTCTCTGATATATGCACACAGTTATGTTCTTAAAGTAAAAGTAATCTTTTACAATCGGCCCTTTAAATACTTCGCCAGAAACCTTGGCTCACATAAAAGTATATGTGTACATTACTAGATATAAGCTCAGGAAATAAATGAAAGCGACGCCGCCAAACGTCTCCGTCGATTTCTACATTTTTAATTAGCAAATATTTGTTTGTTAAATATGCACAGTCTGCTCTTTTTCTATCTGGCTAGAAGAATGATAATACCATCTAAAAACACACAGCTACAAATATACTTGCTATAATAACAAGAGCTTAGAATTTATGAGGAGGTATAATAAGAAATATTTTAGTTGCTTGCTATTTTTGTAAAAACTTTTAAGTATTACATATATATACCTACCCCACAGAAATAGATAAATATGTAAAGTAGGTAAATATATGGATTGATCTCATTGGAGCCCAATATTGGTTACGTAATATTATTGTTAACAAATTTGTTTATTGTCTAGTATAAGACAGATTGCAAATAAAAACAGCAATTAACAAAAAAAAAAAAAAAACATATATATCAAATAATATTGTATAATATTTAAGGCAAATAATAATATTTGAGGCATACTCCAGAATATTGCTGAGTTATAAATTTTAAACTTGATTTGCTCTTTTCCTATGATCCTTACTTTTAACAGGTGCTCAACAAGAAGTAAGTGCGCTTCAGTCGGAAGTGCCCGACGATCAAATACCGGGATCTATGCAAACACAAAAAGTGTAAGCTCAATTTTTCGACCAACATACAAAGACAAATCTCCAACTCTAATGGATTCCTAGATTCCTGGACAGGGCTGAAGCGACAAAGCTGATATTCATAATGAAGAATGTATATACTCTGTGAATTCAGCCTGTTGCATACATTCTAGCAAAACCAGTATACCCTAAATTTCCATTTTTAATGTGTGAATCATATTTCTCGTCAAATAAACTTTGAGTGTAAAAAAGTTTTCTCGAACACAATTACAATGCGTAAATAATTAGAATTAGATTTCATTATTCACTAGTTGTAAATTTTGGTACTTCAAACTTAAGCATTTTTATAGAACTTTTAGAAATACAACAAAAACACAGAGCAAAGCAAAGGTCAACGCAGGCACATCATTTTTGGGGTTTTATTAACGGATTTTAATTGTAAACGTGATTGCACAGATATAAAATAATATAAATATATATTTATATATTTGTTTGTATATATTATTATGTTATAAAATTATTTACATAACGACATATTTATGGATTTCTTTTTAATAAAGTGTTTGTCTTCAACACTTACCGCACTGCATTAATTTATTGCTTTATTTCAAAAAACTTTCTTATTTAATTATTTATTGAATTCGAATATTTTATTAGTCTAGCTTTAGCAGAAGACAATTATTACCTCACACTCACATTAATTCACATTCACTCACATTATTAATAATTATTGTTGAATTTTTGGGGTTTTTTTCTCATGGATCTTTTTTGTTCGCTCGAAACTTTATTTGATTTTGATGTGAATTTTATTTTAATTTTTTAACGCACAAAAGCTTCTGTATTAATTACAGTTAAAATCAACCACATCTATTTATGCACTGCAGCTAACTGTGTCAAATTCAGGTAGCTCTCTTAGCACTTGCCTCGGACCGTATTACTGATAGCGACTTCGTGCACCTGTTGAATGGCAGCAACTGAAGTATGTGATTAGCAAGAGAAGCTTCAATGGAAACCGGAAATCAGAAACACACCGACATCACAGAGTCGATTCACAACATCGTCTAAATTACAAAGAAACCCGAGTGACGAAACCGAGCGCAACCACAGAGAGCACATCCAACCTATTATAGCTAATATATAGCGAGAAATAAGCTTCGAAAGCGTAACAGGGCGCCATAGGCTATGCCCAATGCTACACAAGGTTCTGGCTGTTAGCTTTTGTGGGGGCTAAGCTTGTACTATTTTTAGGTGCAAAAGCTTTCGCTTCCATGAACCTATTTAGCTGCGCCAGCTCCGTCAGGGTAGCTGGAATAAATATACTCTGTGCACATGCATAAAAGCCTTTCAGATGTAGTAAGCATGACTAGTAAAACTCCTTGTACGTTCTTAAATAGGTTTCACGTAGTAAGCTTTTTAAAAACAAATGTTTCAAAATAAAAATATCCTTAAAAACAATCATATATTTTGATCAAACTACCAGCATAAATCCTATCTGATTCGCATCTATATACAAAAAGTTCCTCTTATTATTATTATTTTCATTAAACGACGACGAAAAACAATTGCCTTAGAATGAATGTGAATTTTCAGTTTAAGAAGGATCACTCCTTCGAGAAGCGGCGAGCAGAGGGCGACAAAATACGCCGGAAGTATCCAGACCGCGTGCCAGTCATCGTGGAAAAGGCGCCGAAGACCCGTCACGCAGCTTTGGACAAGAAGAAGTATTTGGTGCCCAATGATCTAACAGTTGGGCAGTTTTATTTCCTAATACGCAAACGTATAAACTTGCGTCCCGACGACGCCCTCTTCTTCTTCGTAAACAATGTAATACCACCAACATCGGCTTCCATGGGCTTACTGTACCATGAACACCGTGATAAAGACTTTTTCTTGTACATGGCTTACTCCGATGAGAATGTCTACGGGCAGGAACAGTCTCAGATGTAGTTCATCAATACAGCTAAATTTTCTTTTCGAATGCCTTCGAATTTAAAAGTTGTCTGGTTTATTAGCACAAATTACAGTCGATCAATAAAATTAGTTAACGACTTAACAAATACTCCAGAAATTCACAGAAATAAGATTGTCATTTAGTCAGTAGGTGAAACAAAATTAAATTCCGATATTAAAGGCATAAATGCGTATAGGTGAACAAAAACAACCGAGTATTATTAATAGAACAAAATTTGTATATCTTAATCCATAGCTAAAGCCTGTCAACCATTTAACCTGATATGAATGTTCAAAAATACGTTGAAACACTAAATCACTAGACGAATGTAAATTGTTAACTGATATTAAAAGCAAAAAAAATCGTTGTAAATTTAATTAACAGTATAGCGTCAATCTGAAAGCTACATTTGTTAGTTAAATGCTATTGTTAATTTAGTTCTCTACGGATTCGACTCAAGGGGTGTTTGCCAAAGATCAACCTAGATTCCATTACCATTTTTAACACTTATGTATATATTTTTGTACACGATGTTGATCGATTTTTATCACAAGTAAAATGCCTTAATCAAAACTCATGATTTAACTATTTATTTTTCACAACTTTATTGATATTTACTGCGACTTGTTGAAAAAATTGAGTTCTTTAAAAATTGTATATTTGGTTTTAAGAGCTGCCTTGACAAATGCCCCCTTTTTAATTTACACTTACAATCTCTACAATAAAGCCATATTAGTGTAGATGAGGCAGGAACATGTATATTTTTTTTATAATTTAATCCCATAATAAACAAAAATAAATAATTAAAATTCATTTTTTACAAACGCCATGCATTTAGATTAACTGAGGGAAGATTCGGATCATCGCAACGTACTTGCCGATTTCTGTAAAATTATGGAAGAGAAATTATTTTTAGGGTCAGTTGTATACTTGACTCTTCTCAAATTACCCAGGAAAGTCAGCGCGTACGAATCCGGCAACGGGCACAGAATGTAAAGTCAAGTGATCGGCATTATCGCATATTAAACGACTAATACTCGCCTTACGCAGTTCCTGTAGTTGAGCTAGATTAAACGCTCCTGGATTTACCTTATCATTATATTCGTAAAAATACCGATCTCCTTGCTTAAAGCGTGCAAACTGATCGGCAATTATTTCGGCAAAAGTAATGCCAACAATTCCATCCTCAACCGCTCGTTCTAATAGGCCGCCGACCCATAAATCAATGTCATCAGGCGTTCTATAGACCCGCGACAGCTTTGCTCCAATCTATGAAGCCGCAAAATTTGATTAAAAGTTTGACTTAACATAAATAATACCTACATCCTTTGGAAACTGATCAAAATTGTTCAGTTTTGGTGCTCCCATCACTTGGAGGTAATCGTTGTAGCAGCGTATGCCTTGGTCACGACCGCGTTGAATGTTAATTGCTGCTAAGTCCAAGCCAAACGGACTGTGACCACGGAACAGAAATCTACTTAGCTTTAGGGGAAAACATAAGTATAGATGATATTATTACTAGCTTTAAAATACATACACCATGTGTAATAGAACTGTCGACTTCTTGCATCGGCTGTGTATAAAGTGTTTGCAGCATATCGTCGTAGAACTCACGTTTGCGCATGCGCGAAGGATTAAACATAACATCAGGAATATTTATAACTTCATCATGTATATGAAACTTGCCAACAACACTAAAGTTCAATTGGAGTATAATTTGTAAAGCATATCTAAGACTTCGATTTGTATTACTTGCCTAGAATGACCCATTCGGAAGGCAGCTCCCGAGAATTCATTAGTAATAGCGGGATTCACATCAATGTTATAGTCAGTTGAGTATCCTTTTTGGTGAGGCATTAAACGGAATCGCTTCATTTGGTGTGGACCAATTAGTGCCGGGAGGAATTCATTATAAGTAATATGCTGCAGCTCAGCAATCACAATACGTCGAGCCTCCTGATAGAGCCATTCATCACTTGAAGACGGATTCAATTTAGATAAGATGTCGGCAATACGGTTATGCTCCCGTGCAAAAACAATGTGTAAAGTTATAAGAGAGATAATTTGATTTGTGCGCCCATCACCTTTAATATGATATAAGATAGTTTTTATTTGTAAAAGCTGAATATCGAATATCACTCACCCGACTTAAAACACGTACTACCCGGTTCCTCGCTGCCACAAGCATTTTTATCATGCGTTAAGGGCAGCAAGTTACGACCAAAATCATTAAACATTTGCAGTTGGCCGCCACGGAAAGTTCGCAAGTCTCGAGCCGACTCCTCATTTGACCCATATATTGGAGAAGCATCCAAGTAGTGTGTTACTTTGTTGCGTTGCTTTCCATAGCTCAACTGACAGTCGGCACTGGGTACCAACGATAGTCTCACCATGTTCAAACATCTCACCCCAAAAGCTCTATAAAACTCATCGTTTTCAGATACAGGTATGGGCAGACAGGCAAAGTGTGATTTTTCTGGTGGCAAAATGCTTCTGCCGCCTGGCGAACAGCATTGCACTAAGCCCCCGCTTTCATCGAGACGTACCGACGCCGATTGAGAAACGTCGTGTGCCAATAGTTGGGCGAACTGCATGATCAACAGGTTATACTTTGGATGAGGTCGATGAACATCCGCAAATAGAGCGCTCGAGATGTCACGGGCGCTTAACAAAGGTGTTCCATCCTTTGAGTGTGCACGGGGAGTCCAAATCCCATCTTCATAGGCAGGTGGAAGCAGGCGCTCCATTGGCTGACCAGCAGCACCCCAATGCAAGCGTTGCGACAACGGATTGTTGCATGTGCCATCCATAGTTCGATATTTGTGTATGCCTCTACAAATGGGCAATGATTGGCAATTCTGAGCTAATGGTGTCTTTGAAAATTCAACTTGCACATTGTTAGTGATAAGATCGTCTAACGGCACCTGCTCTTTCTTGCGAAACACCTGACTGGCAATCACCAATTCGAACGCGCTATTCGACAATGCAAAATTGTGCAAATCGTCTTTGGGTGACGAGTGAAACATAATACCATGAGTAAACTCAGGATGCCCACGATTCACTGGCATTTGAGCCACCCCATGCATAAGATGCTTAAAATTTTTTCTTGCATCTTCAATCACGTCAGGTGGTAGGATCGTTTGAAAAGCTGCTCGGCGTGCTTTATTTTGTCCCGCTGTGTGGTTTTGGCCTGTTTTGCAGCAATAACCAAACTTACCGGCGGGCAGATCACAAATTTGTGGCTTCTCATGGTCTGCCATTCGTACATGTGCAGGACATTGAATTTGGGGCACACATTTTACAGATTTGCAACTTTTGCACATTTTTAGCAACCCAGTTTTAGCAACGTCTGCAACCAAAAGTAGTTTTCATACATGATAATCAAATGTAATTTATAAGCAACGTAACTGACTTATACAGAATTGTCATGTATCTCAACTATGTCCGTAAAGTAAAATACGAAAGAGTGAGATAGCCAAAATTAAAATTGTAACCGTAAAAGAGTCCATTTTCAATTGCATATACAAACACAACTTTTTTAGATCCTAATGGCCGATCTTACCTAAATCTTCATTGTACTCTTTCTCTCCAACCAAATCATTTTTCCGTAATGAAAATGCCTCTACATATTTAAATTCGAAATGCACATATAATACATGCCACCATATTAAAAGAATATAAATATTACGCATTTCACAGGTTAATTCGAATATATAAATACATGTGTTAGAAACAGGAAACCAGGTCCATTTGACTAATAACGGTGCTTCTTACATGTAGTGTGCCCAGCTACAGTACATTTAAAATAATTGTAAAAATACCTACGAAATACTGTAAAAAATTAATACATCAAATATAGTATGATTTATATATGTAAAAATATATTTATATCTTCAATTTATTTACATCACTGTACGTTATAATGTCTAATGAATATTGCTAAAATTTTTTTTTAGTATTAAAAGTCGATATTACTAAATATCGATAGCTCTTGTATCAACTCATGAAATATTTAATCTGGTAAATCTCAATATCGATAGTATCGATATCCGTTGAACAATTTTTAATGTACTATCCGCCATATTTGCTCGCGTCAGTAAAAATATCTGGCAACGCTAAAAATCGCTTTGTATAGGGCCAGCTCGTCGTCATGCTGAGAAATAATGAAAAATAAGTAAAATACACTGGATAAAAAAGATAAAGTGTATAGATTATGTGCAGAATTCGTCGAGTTAAAACCCGGATGTGAATTTTCCAAATACCAGGTGTTTTTTATTGTGCACTACAGTAATGAATGATTTTTTTCGGCCGACAAGACTCGCATACAATTTAATGTTCGTACTCGTACCGAGCTTGTCTTCTCACGCGAGTTCGTTTTTAGTGTATATAGCCAGTCTATGGACGGTCGATGCGTGAATATATTTCTATGTGTAAGTGTGGGTGTGTGCATGTGTTTCGATTAGTTCAGAAAAAAGACTTAAATCACCAATAATTTACCGGACTCGTTCTACTAGCGAGTGAAAAGTACAAGCCTGCTACGTAAAAATCAAATATGTACATACATGCAGGCTCAAAGTTCGGTACGGTACAGATACATGTGTGTGTATACATATTTTATTAATTTGTCGGGACACATCCTTGCATCATCATCACCAAGGGGTCAAACCAACGTCAATATGTATTAATCTGAGCCAACCAGCCAAAGGCACTAAACCAAAAAGATAATCACGCAAAAAATTTAAAAAAAAAAAATGAAAAAAAAAAGAAAAGTCTTTAATGAAGCATAAACGAGACGACGAGAACGACAAACGTCAGCAATCGCGAGCAGTACAATTACAACTGTTTCACCAGGCTATAAAGAGGCTATCGAATGAAACAATATTTAATTAAATTATTAGTTGACAGTGGCAATTTTTGTAAAGAAATAAGAATAACCAACAAAATAAGAAATAGCCAAAAACAAATTGTAAAAAACGCGATAGCTAAACTCGTTTTACTCTCGCACTCGGCATTAAAAATGTATGTGTAACAGTAGTGGTCTCGCTCTTACACACGTTTTTGCAATACTAAAAAGACCGCATTCAATACAAGCGAGATAAATAGCACTCCAAAACTGAAAATCAGTGGGAGCGCGCAAAAAATCGTAAAGCAAATTAAACAAAAAGAAATCAACTGCAAGTGGATAAATAAAAATGTATAAAACAAATGCCGCAAATATTGTCGGCACCTTGTTATGTTATGGAATGAACGGCATATAGCTTGCTAAACTTGACTGTCTCATATGAGGACATATTATTGTACTGTATGATGATAGCTGCAAGTTAGCGGCCAAGAATAATGAAAATGGTCTATTGTCTTACTTATTCTAAAGATAAACAGCCCGCAATTGGATTCTCTATTTGCACACCGCATAATTTGAGCGAATGGCTACACGAAGTGTTATCGGAATACTTGAACTCGTCAAATAAAAAATGCGTTGGCTTTGAAATTTGCAAATAAATCCAACTTGAACTAAAACATTTTTTAAATATACTCTTCATTTTTAAATGTTAAACAGTTAAATAATCAGTATTTAACTTGACAATATTTAATATTCCATAAATTTAAAATATTGCAAATAAAATTTAAAAACACTAACCGGTTAATATTAGCGGCTTTCCATGCAATTTATTTAACCTGATTTACATATGGTATTTTATATTTGAAAAATCTGTATGCAATATGTAGATCTATCCGAGTGTAGACAACTATAATTTAAAACTGTTCCAATAATCAAGTCAACGTTTAAAATATAATTAATGAATTATTTATTTCCCCTATTAAACAAAAACTAATACAGACATCCCATAAGCGCACATGTAAGTGCGACAGTGAGAGGCACACTCTCATGCAAGTGAGATGGCGTTTGCGTGTTTTGCTGCCAAATGTAAAGAGCGCGAGAGAAAATTGAGAGAGCACTGTGTGGCTGTCAACGCGCGACAATTTGTAAACGGACAGTCAGAGTGCTATAGTAGTGGTAGCTGATTTTTCAATACACAGAATGAAGAGTTACAAAATCTTTGGCGGCTAAATGAAATACGTATTGAGGCTGTTAATGTCCTCTGGTTTTGATTATGTGTTCCATGGTGCTGTTTATATTATGGGATTTGAGTTAAGTAGACTAACGAATGCTTTTCAAACTTGCAGCTAACATAACCTCAAACTTGCCGCTGCAGTCGGGGAAGTCGTCGTCATCACCGTCAGCGTTGTTGGTGGTTATTCCACAGCCACAACTACTTGATTCGATAAGCATCGCCAGCAAAACGAGGACGCCATGAATGAAAAAATTAAATCGCCCTCAACCCAGGGTAGTGGTGCATCTGGGGGAAATGTAACCCCAACGGCGGCAGCTAGTACAGGTGGAGCTACACCACCTACATCGGGCCCGCCCACGCCGAACAACGGCAACGATCCTATTATACAACAAGGTAACACTGTACCACATCCTTATGGTGGACCACCTCCTGGCGCTGTGCCCGGCGTAGCTCCCGACTCAGCTGCAGCTATGTCGCACTATCATCATTTACATCAACAACAACAGCAGCAGCCACAAGGTCCACCGCTGCCACCACACATGCAACACCATGGTGGACCACCGCCACCACAGGGACCACTACCGCTTCCACTGGAGCATACGCCTGGTGTCAAGGATGAATATGGTTCAGCACATTTGCCACCTCCACCTGGCGTGCAACATCCACATGCTCATCCTGCTTACGCGCGTTATCATTCGGGTGATCCCAACGTAGATCCCTACCGATACGGCCATGCGCCACCGCAGCAACCACCTCCGGGGAGCAAACCGCCGCACCAGCAGCAACAGTCGCAAGGCACAGGGGGCTCGCCTAATCGACCCCCACAACAGCGTTATATACCCGGACAACCGCCGCAGGGTCCAACACCTACATTGAATTCATTATTGCAATCGTCAAATCCTCCCCCACCACCACAACATCGCTATGCGAATAACTATGATACGCAGCAAGTTGCCAATGCAGCTGCAGCCGCTGCCGCAGCACAACAGCAGCATCAGCAAAGTGCTCAGCAACAACCAGGCGTGCCACCGCCCCCACTACCGGGCCATGGACCGCCGCCACCACAACACCAACAATACGGAGCGCAACAGGGCGGGTGGGCACCACCCCCAAGACCTTACAGTCCACAGTTGGGCCCATCGCAGCAGTATAGGACACCTCCACCGGTAAGTCAAACTACTGCGTGCACTAACTTGTCGATCAAGGAACGCTTAAAGGTTGCCCAAATCAGTCTGTAGGGTTTACAACTGATTCAGACATACTGACACATATAACAGATTAAGAATACGACCAGAGAACCAACTTTTAAGAACCTGCCCTGGCGGCCAGAAAACAATAACAACAAAACACGAAAAGGCAACAAAAAAAACGGTGGTGTTGGCAAGAGAAGTTGCCGGTACCACCACCACCTGACAAAGCAGTCAGAAGCAAAAACAGAAGAAAGAGACGCGGCATGTTCGCTCAAATCTGCTTATTCACACATACATATATACAGACGTACATACATGTTTGTGTTTAGCTGCGTGTGTATGAAAGTGTGTTTGGGCTACTGTTGGATGTTTTGTTTGTTTTTATTTTATACGTTCATTTTAGTTTATAGCGGTATTTCGGAACTATTCATTGAAGTAACAGAAAATTATAGCCGGACGCAGCAGCTAAGAACTAAATTGAACATAATTCAATGTTGGATTTGAAACTTAGTCTGAGCGAGCTGGACATTATCATTCGAGTAAAGATTACATTTTTAAACACCCTTTGCCCTTTCTCCCACAATCATAAGGCATTTTAAGAATTTTACCGTTGGTCCTTCTATTGCACCTGAATTGTTTTCATTGATTGTTGTTGGGGCGTGTAGTGCTATCATTGTATTTGAGCTCCTTGACGCATGTGGTTAAACAATTGTCTATAACATTTATAGAACAAAAGTAAAATATTAAAAAAATTATTCATTTTGTATATACTTAATGAACTATTAAACTTCATTATTGATTGAACAATATTACCACGCCTATCTTTGTATGAATTTTAGTTATCTTAGTTATGAAATTAATTTCAAAGTTTAAATATAATGAATACAGAAGTGATAAGAATAAATGTAAATCAAATAATTTAAATTAAAAATACTCGAAAGAATAGTTGAAGTATTAGATACCGAATACAAACAGGTATATGGCCGTCTTTTAGGCAATCAGTTTTATGATCAAATTCACACTAAAATTGTTTTTGTTTGTCAGCACACAGCAGACAGCGCAGCCTGAGTTTAGGTAAATTCACTTACCAAATTAATCTGTTAAGTATTTATTATATTGATCGGAAAAGAAGAATGTCTTGTCGATCAATCAGAAAGGGTACACTTTCCTTTGTGAGCTCGGGCATTCTGTTTTCCATTCGGATCGGCTTTAACCCACCACCATTAAAGTACCACACAGAGCATTGCAGTTGTTTCGGCTTGCGTTTACGTTTACCAGCCCCTGTTTTACACAAACGTTATTTTCTCTGTTTCGCTGTCATTCGTATGTTCGCCGTCGTTCGCTCATTCATTTGGTGTCTGTGTGTTTGAAACACCAACACAACTTGCGACCCTTGCTGCATGAATTTGAGTTCCTCTTCAGCCCTGTTTGGCTGGTGTATATATTTCTGCGTTTAATTTTCATCCATGATGAGTTTTCCCTTTTTAGTTGAGTTCTCTTCGCTTCTGAGCTCGCAACATATATAGAAGCAAACGCACATAGATGCCCCTCTTCGGTATGCATGAAAACCATCCATTCATGTTTCCTGTCACCCTGTAGTGGACCAGCCAGCGCTGTTGCTGCTTGTCCTGCTGGCTTCAGACACAAACACGCACAGTGCCGCTTATTGGTAGCATCTCACATTAGATTTATTGCCATGTCTTACTTTGGTCTGCCATTTTCACCAATACTATGGCAACTTTGCTGCGTCTTTTGCATTGCTGGTTTCTCTGGCTGTATTTGTTATAGGTGTCAGGATACGAGTGGGAGTGGGGATATTTATATGCGTTTTCAAGTAACACTAAGAATGTATAGATGATAGAAATTATTTTCGAGCATAGCTTATGCAGGTTTGCACCTTCTTAATACACTTACTCTTGTCTATTGAAAAGGTGTTATCACATCCTTAGTTTTATATGAATATAAGCCTTAAATGTCGCAAATTAAGAAGAAAAAACTTTATTTTTTTAATTCACAGACAAATACTTCCCGAGGTCAATCACCATATCCGCCAGCTCACAGTCAAAACTCAGGTTCCTATCCAAGTTCGCCACAGCAGCAGCAGCAGGCCCAACAACAGCAACAACAAGCTACACAACAGCCTGGTGGTGTTGGCGCTCCCGGAGCGCCGGCGCCACCATCCGGTCCCTCACAGCAACAGCAGCAGCAGAATACACCGCCCACTTCTCAATATTCGCCGTACCCTCAAAGGTATCCAACACCACCAGGCTTACCGACGACTGGGCCCAACCATCGAACTGCCTACACAACGCACCAGGTAGGAAACAATTTCAATCTATTGAACTATCTATTGAAATAGACTAACTAAAAACTAGATAATGGAATGACAACAAAGAGTCTATCGTTTACCATCAAATTTAAGGAACAGTCGTGCTAGCTGAAGTTGAAATGACATGTTATTAATTTTTACTTTCAGTATCCGGAACCAAATCGACCGTGGCCGGGTGGTTCATCGCCTAGTCCTGGTCCCGGTCATCCATTGCCGCCTGCCTCACCGCACCATGCCCCACTGCAACAACCGCCAACGCCACATAGCGCCGGTGGTGGCCCGCCACCTAGTAGTAGTCCTGGCCATGCTCCCAGTCCATCGCCGCAGCCCTCGCAAGCATCACCATCGCCCCACCAGGTAATTATTCTGTAGAAAAAATATCTATTTATAATTTTTAATTATAATTAGATTTAAGGGTTGCAGCATTCCTCTCTGTTCAATAATGCACTCCAATATCAAAAGGCTCTTATTTGACGTCACGTTCAGAGCATGTACACTGTTGTGGCTGCACTGATATTAGTTCTTGGCTGATACACGCTATCAGTGTTCAGGCCATGACAACAACTTTTATGTTGTCTGACTCTTTGGCTCAGCCCATTTTTGTACATATTCTGGAGAGAAGCCAGTATGTATGCGTAGTACACATTTACTCATTCAAAATGTCCGTAATGGTCGCAGTTGCCGGTGCCGTCGAAGTGTCTCATACCATTTTTTACTCATTCCCTTTATGTTGTTTTTGTTGTTGTTGCTGTTGTTGTTGTGTGTGCACAAATACATAGATAAAACACGAATACACTCAAGATCTCACAAAGAGCATCTGTTTTCATGTATGTATGTATGCATTTAGGTCAATGCCAAGGTCATTGTTGTTGCTTTCGGGCTGTTTGCTTTTATGTTTCGTACTGAAAACGCAGACGCATTTTACTCACATTATTTCTTAAGCTTTAAAGAAAGTGGATGCTTTATGCTTCATAAAAACGAAAGGAACCACACTGCCATTATTTAAAATGCTCATTTAACAATTTTCTTGATCCGCCTTGATCCACAGCAAATTGCGAATCTATGGTAATAGAATGGACGAACTTAAACAAATATTTTAACAACGAAAGTCCAGTTAGTTTTTGCTCAATTTGGTATCTGAATGTGTTTAGTGTATATACTGCATTGCTTGTTTGTGAATTATTTTGCAATGGTTTTTTATTATTAAATTTAAACGCGAAATATGAAATAATACTTCAATTGGCTCTTGCATTGCTTGCTGGTCACAGTGGCAGAGCCGACCAAAAACTAAATTAAAACTTAAAAATTGCAGGTGGCACACGCGAAGTCTCACAAACACATAAATTTGAAAACAATACAAAAAACCGCGCACACACCCGAAACAACAGATGAATGTTCACGAGCTGCGTTGGGGCTTTGGCGATTAGCGTTCTGCATTCAGTATTCAACATTTCTAACAGCTCAGCTGCGTCGAACACGTTTTACCGCTCTTTACTTGGCTCCGTCTGTGTTAGTACAATTGCTCATCGATTTATATGTATATGTGTACGTATGTGTGTGAACTCCACTTACTTGAGTGTGATGCAAACAGTACATTGTCTATGCCAGAAACATTGAATGACTTCTACTTAAACATGTTTCCTCTTACCAAATAAATACATTAAATTAAATGAGTACAATAATTTACAACAATTTGTTCGTAAACCTATAGAATCAAGAATTATCAGAATATCATTCGTGCTTTCGCTTGCAGTAACAACATTTGCGTTCATATTTGTTTTGGTAGATTGTGAAGTCAGTGTATTCTCTATATTTTGCTTTATCTTATCTTCGTTGGGGTATTGTGTTATTGTATTAAAAACAAAAATCTTGAATTTCGGCTGCAATTTTAATGTGTGTTTTCTCTAGTCGACTTCTGTTTGCTCTCAAAAAGATGTAAACAGCAAAAATACTAAATGCACGCAAACAATAAAATACTGAATGCATACATACATACATACATACATAAGCGCATGTTTGTTATAAATGATTTCATTGTGCTGTTCCCGTATCGGTTGTTTTTTTCCGAGTAATTTTCTACATGCCGGCAAGTTTTTACGTACACACTGACAACTAAAAACGTGGGCCGCCTTCATCTTGAGGAGCGTTGCCCCATCGCTCATCGTTTTTTAGCATTGCCTTCTGCTGTTGCTGTTGCCGTTGCCGTCGCCTGTGGTGGCTTTGCTATTCTCGTCATCAACGCCGCAGCCGTCGCCTATGCTACTCAAGTGTACTCCTTGCTTGGCCCCATTCCCCCGAGTTCACTGTTCAACCATACACGAAACACTCAACGCTTTTGCTTGGTCTTCTATGTTGGTATGTGTATGGCACGAAAGCGAATGAACAGAGAAACGAGAGAAGAAACGAATGGCTGGCGCTGTTTTTTCTTTTTTTTATTTTATTATAGTTTAACATTGAATGTGTGCAGTATACATGTGCCTGAGTGTGTATGTGTTCACGTTGCTGTTTCTTATCTACGTCTTTGTCATCGTACGTTGGCTCACTCAACGCGCGCCATAACTACCACTGCCACATCTCCAATCCGCGCCCCTCCGAACGCTTTAAGTTGCAGTCTGCGTCGACTTTGTCGTTATTCGTTCCACATAGCTTTTGCTCTGCCGCTACTGCTGGTGTTGTTTTTGTTTTACGCTTTGACTTTGCCTGCCGTAGCTGTGCCCGTCAGTTCGTCGTACATTTCATTTCACTTCAGTTAATTTCTCAGATACCCAAACGAACAGCGTCGAACAGAGTATACCGGTGTAGGCACCTCACCCCTCATCATCATTTATATCGACAATGTTGATCCCGCGCTGTTCGTTTTACTGTGCGACTCGAATAGCTGTCGGCTTAAGCCCCTGTTGGCATTGTGTGCATACATACAAATGTATGTGTGTATTTAGTTGTATCTTTGTATGACTTGTTTGTGCTCTCTTGGGTTGAGCTTTTTAGTTTTTTTTTATTTTGAATTTTTATAGACAAGCGGCAAACTAAAGTCACTGTCGACTGCTTAGAATCTTAGCATAGAAATTGTTGTTGAACGAATTTGGTCCCATTGACCATAGTCAATAAAAAACATTTAGTCGTATCGAACTTTGAAGATATTATTTTAAAAACGATTTTTTATATGCAATACAAAATTCTTAAAGGTTATTTTGTAAAGTTTGCGATATTTAACCTAGTTCAGCTGATGTCATCAAACTTGGATTATATTAGTTTTATTGTTAGGCTATACCGATTTTAAATAAAATTGGGCTGATTGATGTATTACCACTTCATTAATTTAATATAGGAGCTGATCGGGCAAAATAGTAATGATAGTTCAAGTGGTGGAGCACATAGTGGTATGGGCTCTGGTCCGCCCGGCACACCTAACCCGCAACAAGTCATGAGGCCAACACCTTCGCCTACAGGCTCGTCGGGCTCAAGATCTATGTCTCCTGCAGTGGGTATGTATTTAACAATGTTGCGAAAGCGGACGTCAATATTGAATTGATTTGATTTCAGCGCAAAATCATCCAATTTCGCGACCGGCGAGTAATCAGTCAAGTAGTGGTGGTCCAATGCAGCAACCTACAGTGGTTGCCGGCCCACCCCCAATGCCACCACATGGTTTACCAGGTGGGCCACCATCTCAGCAACAATCTCAGCAGCAACAGGCTTCAAATTCAGCATCATCAGCGAGTAATTCGCCGCAGCAGACGCCACCGCCTGCACCGGCGCCAAACCAAAATGTTAACAATATGGCTACACCACCACCACCGCCGCAAGGAACTACCGGTGGCTATCCGCTCCCGCAACATATTCATGGCGGTTACAAAATGAGCTTACCAGGTCAAAGCCCCGGTTCTCAAGGATATCCTCCACAGCAATATCCTCAAGGTATGAGATAACCTAACTAATTAGCTAAATTGTACTAAAAAATGTATATTTACTAGGTAACTACCCGCCACGTCCCCAGTATCCGTCAGGAGCCTATGGAACTGGGCCACAGCCGCCACCAACTAGCCAGTCCGCTGGAGGTGCTAACAGTATGCCAGCTGGTGCACAAGCTGGTTACCCTCGCTCTATGCCAAACCACGGTAGTGGTAGCCCCCATCAGCAGTATCCTCCGTATCAATGGGTACCGCCGTCACCACAACAGTCTGGACCTGGCAGTGGATCAGTACAAATTTCCACTGGTATGGGCAATCACGTGCAGGGCAAGGGCACCCCACCACCAGTTGGACCACCACCGCCACAGGGCAGCGGTTCTCCGCGCCCTCTTAACTATCTTAAGCAGCATTTACAACACAAAGGTGGATATGGTGGTAGTCCAGCTGGTCCACAGCCGCAGGGTTATGGGAATGGACCAACTGGAATGCATCCCTCGATGCCCATGGGTCCTCCACACCATATGGGTCCGCCACAAAGCATGGGGCCACCTACCAGTACACCGCCGCAATCTATGATGGGCGCACAGAGTGGCAGTGACGCCGAACATATATCCCAAGACAATGGCATTAGTTCATCAGCGTCGTCGCCAGCTGCAAGTTTGCATCCAGTTACTGCAGTAGTTACAACTGGACCAGATGGTACACCAATGGATGAAGTCAGCCAACAGAGTACGCTCTCAAATGCGTCGGCTGGTAGGTAATCTAAAATAATTGGTTGGATTAGTAACTGAGGTTTTGTCGTCTTACAGCATCAGGTGAAGATCCCCAATGTACTACGCCAAAGTCGCGCAAACATGATCCATATAGCCAAAGCCATTTAGCTCCACCCAGCCCTTCGCCACATCCAGTTGTAATGCATGGAGGTGGGGGACCAACAGGCGAAGAGTACGAAATGAATTCACCTCCGAACTGGCCCCGTCCCGCCGCTAGTTCAGTAAGCATATTTTAATTCCAATTTTAATATATGCTTAAACAACTTTCCTATATATAGCAGGTTTTCAACAGTCATGTTCCTGTTCAACAAGAACCATTTCGTAGCACTATAACGACTACTAAAAAATCCGATTCACTTTGCAAGTTGTATGAAATGGATGACAATCCGGATAGACGAGGTTGGCTAGACAAATTACGTGCTTTTATGGAGGATCGCCGTACACCAATAACGGCGTGCCCAACCATCTCAAAACAGCCACTTGATTTATATAGGTTATATATTTATGTAAAAGAACGTGGCGGATTCGTCGAGGTATGCAAGGTGCCGTAGTAACTCCTTTTACTAACTTCTTTTTAGATTTACTAGCAAAACCAAATCAAACAAACCAAAATTAATGCTCAACCAACCAATCAATCAAACCACCAAACACCACCAACCAAAGTAAAAAATGTAGCTAACACATTAACAAAATTTTTTAATTCTTTTAACGTGAAACAAACCAAACTCAATCATGAATTTTCAAAAATATTTCAATAGCATGATTTCCTACCCCATTTACCTTTCTGTAAGATCTGGAAAGTACTTAACGTCTTTCTTACAACATTAAAGTTGATTGAATCAGAAACACATAAATTCTAATAATTTTCTCACTTTTGCATGAATTATTTGAGTGCATGCTTTTCAAAGACAACTTCCAAATATCTTTAAAACTGAGTGTCAACATTTTTCATACTTTATCTGAAGTGGTTCCGTTAACAATTTTATTTAAGAGTGTGTTACCTTTCTTCAAGTTTGATTTAAATTTTTATTACTAACACTGTTGCAAAAATATTATTGAATGCGTATTAAACACGCTGTCAATTGCTCGTAATTTATATCTTTCTTCTTTACTAATTCTGCCAATTTTTTAAAATCTACCCAGTCTAGTCTATTTTCAAATATATATACGCATATTTTCGTTGTTGTCAGGTAACTAAGAGCAAGACCTGGAAGGATATTGCCGGTCTGCTCGGAATTGGCGCCAGCAGTAGCGCTGCATATACACTTCGAAAACACTATACAAAGAATCTTTTGGCTTTTGAGTGTCACTTTGATCGTGGCGACATTGATCCAATACCCATTATTCAGCAAGTGGAGGCTGGTAGTAAGAAAAAGACAACAAAGGCAGCTTCGGTACCATCACCAGGTAAGTGTTTACCTGATGGTATGATATATTAATATGACATTCTAGCTGTATGAACAGTTAAGAAGGCATCGGAAAATAAGAGCATGCAGGGCATAATGTTTTTGTTAATCATTGTAAAAGGCAGAAGAGAAGGTTCCAGTACATATTATTGATCAGATTCAAAGGCGAGTCGATTTAGCTCTTCGTATATATGAATGCATGATTTTCTAACGACAGTAAAAAATGTAAAATATCAGTTATTTTAGTTAGTGAAAGCCACACGCCTCAAAGAAGCTTACATGCATTTTTGTTTGGTAGATTAATAAAGGAACTCAATAATAATTTCAGTTTATAGTTCTAAAACTTATGAGAATATATATATATATATGTATTTTATACGAGTGTGTATTTCAAATGTCAAGTCTCTAAAACCAATAGTCTTCAAAATAGAACAGAATTTTTAGATCCACATATATTTTTTGCATCGATTTGTAAGGGATCAGAATAGTAATTTATACGATTATGGTTAGGGCTCTAGCTCTAAAACTCGAAAATACAGTTTTACCCGAATTGACTTGACCACAATGGACAGACATATATATTCTATTCTACATTTTTTTTATCTTTGGTAATATATACATGTATATATGCAAATTTGAAGTCTTTCTGTTATAACAAATATGATATCAAATGTTTAGTGAGGCAGTTCGACCCGAAATTTGTATCCTTAAGTATATTTAATCTTTTACTCATGAAATTTAACAATATTAGCTTGATAATTTACATTATTATAACGGGTCATCCAATTTATTTTAACACTTACAATATTTACCTACTTCCAACCAATCGGTGGTGGTCATTTGGACGCTGGAACAACAAATTCCACAGGGTCATCGAACTCACAGGATTCCTTCCCTGCACCACCTGGCGGCGCACCAAACGCAGCATTAGATGGCTATACGGGGTACTCCGGTGCTGGTGCATATCCACCATCTGCCGGTCCGCAACCAGACTACGCAGCAGCGGGTCAGATGCCAAGACCGCCATCGCAAAACAATCCACAGGCACCTCACCCTGGTAAGCAATAAAACATTCAACCAATTATGATTAAAGAGTTGCATACATAAACATCTACTTTTAAATTACCTACACATGTAAATATACATACATATATGATATAGCCATGTCTATGATTACTGATTTTTTGTTGTAATACTTAAGTATTTTTGTTTTCAATGTTATATGTGTATTACAATTAGATAATGCATATATTTTCTGTTTGGCTAAAATTTAATTTATTAATTTCATGTGTGTACTTTGTTTATTCATTTTTATGTTGGTTACGTAAATATGGGCGCACTACTTATAAAAATCACCAAAATCACAATCACCCGACACCACCAACAACAACACCACATCGCTCCACTAAAATTATTAAAACAACTTCGATCTTGCTCAACAAAACCTTAACTTCATGTCAATTACAACAATTTTTATTATGTGTCATTCATTAATTTCTTCATCACTCCATAATCATCATCAATGCCGCTTGCCGACTTAGGCACTCAAAATCAATCAGCTGCCACTGTTGCCGGTGATAACATAAATGTGAGCAATCCTTTTGAAGATCCAATTGCTGGCGGTGTGGCCGCTGGTGGTGTTGCTGTTGCTGCAGTTGGTGGTGCGTCACATGGTGCTCCTCCACCACCCCCACATTCACCGCACACAGCGCCACAATCGGGCAACCAACACCACCAACAAGGCATTCCAACACAGTTGCCATCGCCGTCGCAGCAACCACCGGCGCCACCACCACAGCAACATGGGCCGCCGTCGACGCAGCATGCGCGCCCTGGAACTGGAGTACCTTATCCACAGGGTAGCTCTGGGTATCCAACGCCTGTGTCTAGAACGCCAGGTACATTCATCATGTTTTCTTTTTTTATGTTTTGTTATAACATTTTTTAATGTGTCATTTCGATTTGATGGTTAAACAACGTGTTTATTGGTTTAAGTTTGCGATCGTTCTGCATGTGGGTTGTAGTCTATCTGGCTTTGCATACAAATATTTGCTTTACTTTCATCATGTTATTTAATTTTTAACTTCTATTACAAACTTCTGACTTGTTAATCAATTTACAACCACCTTCTTATGCCTTAAAAAGTTTTATTTCTTTTTTTTTTCTTTATATTTATAGCAATTGATTTAATCCATAATAACCGAACTAATTTCGCTTTAATTTTTCTGTCTATGAAATAATCAATAACATGGCTTTATAAAAGTATCGGAGTAGTGTTTAGCTTTTAGACCTATTACTGTAATACCGTCAAATTAAACAATCATCTTATATCTTTGTATTTAAAAAAAGATAAATTATAAAGCAATTTTAATGAGTCGCAACTGTTGAGGCGGCTCTCTACTATTTAGAAAGCATTGTTACACTTTAGTGCTTCCGATGAATATTTAATTATATCTTACTATACAAAAGTTTATTTGTTGCGTGATAAGCTGCTTTTTCAGATTAGTGCAAATCAAAAATCTTTAATTAAGTTGTATTTTATTTTTCCCATTTTTGTACCACCACTGACTCTTGAAACTTGTGTATTGCAGAAAATTTGATATTAAGCACATATTTCCAACTGTTACAGGTTCGCCGTATACAACACCACCTGGTGCTTATGGGCAATATGGCTCGAGCGATCAGTACAGTTCCGCTGGCCCGCCAGGTCAACCTTTCGGACCAAACCAGGGCCAATATCCGCCTCAGAGTCGCAATATGTACCCTCCCTATGGACCCGAAGGGGAAGCGTGAGTGCACAATATATTTACATACCTCTTCATTACACTCAGACATACATATTCATCTCATATATACTGAAATTCAACCGTACTGAGCATATTTTATTAGCTACGACCAGAGATGCTTTGCACAATTAAATAAAGCTTATATTGATCAATTTATTTTTTTATTTCCCCAGTCCTCCAGCTGGTGCTAATCAGTACGGGCCCTATGGAAATCGTCCCTACAGTCAAGCACCACCCGGTGGACCACAACCACCAGCACAAGCGGTTACGGGTGGACCACCAGCTAGCGGAGCACCAGTAGCCCCACCAAACAGTGGCTACGTACCGAGCACTCCTAATCAACAGGATTACTATAGGCCGCCAGATCAAGTAATACTTGAAGATTACATTTATTCAAATAAGTGTGCAACGTTACTTAACTTACCGTTTATTTGCAGAGTCCTCAACCACGACGACATCCGGACTTTATTAAAGACTCTCAGCCTTACCCTGGCTATGCTACGCGGCCTCAAATTTATGGTAAGCATTTTGCATTTCAGTGTTCTGTTCAATTATCATTCCATTAAACTATAATTTATGTTATTCTGAAGGTGGTTGGCAAGGCAACAATCCGCAGTATCGTCCTCAATATCCCACATCGACTGCACCACAGTCGTGGGGAAATGCACCACCTCGGGGTGCTGCGCCTCCTGGAGGTCCACACGGTCCCCATGGACAGCAACAAACAGGGGTAGCTCAGTGGGAACAACATCGTTATCCACCGCAACAACCTCCACCTCCACCGCAACAACAGCCGCCTTACCAGCAAAGTACGCCGCCTGGACAGCAACAACAAGCTGCACCACAGTGGGCGCAAATAAATGCGGTTCAAGCGCCACCACAGACAAGTATTTCACAACCGTCGTTGCGTCCACCATCTGGAGTTGGGCAGCAACAACGTATGCCTAGTGGAGTGCCTGTAATGCCACCACAGCAGCAGCAGGGACAAGCAGTACCTCAATCATCACATGGTGGGGTACCAACATCAAATATGCCGCCTGTACCCGGCATGGTGAAGCCGCCTTATGCTATGCCACCACCCTCACAATCTGGTGGTGGATCACCAGGTGTGCCAATGGTTGGAAGTGCACCAGTTACAATGATCGCGCAAAAGCCGTCGCCCATAGTTGGACAAGGAATGCAGCCCACGCAGCAGCAGCCACCCCATCAGCTACCCAATCAGCAGACTGTCTATGCCCCACAAGTAACAGGCCCAGGCGCACAGATGGTTAAAAAAGAACTAATCTTTCCACATGATAGTGTAGAGTCAACTACACCGGTACTGTACCGTCGAAAACGTCTGACCAAGCTTGACGTGTGTCCTGTCGATCCATGGCGAATTTTTATGGCCATGCGTTCAGGTTTACTTACCGAGTGTACATGGGCGTTAGATGTGCTTAACGTTCTATTGTTTGACGATTCTACAGTACAATTCTTTGGCATATCAAATTTGCCCGGTCTGCTAACCCTGTTGTTGGAACACTTCCAAAAAAATCTAGCCGAAATGTTCGATGAGCGTTGTGACGAAGCAGCGGATGAAGCAGATGATGACGCCGATAGCGGCACTGTTATATCAGTGAAAGTTGAAGACAAGCTGCAACGAAAACAAACTCGTTCTGTGCATAACATTTCCAGCTATAATCGTAGAAGGCACTATGAAAATATGGATATAAAGCGTGTTGCCCACAGTGAAGACTCTGATGATGCTGATGAAGGTATTGACTTGGGTCAGGTACGTGTGCAGCCTAATCCTGAAGAGCGATCCCTTCTCCTTTCGTTTACACCTAATTACACCCTGGTAACACGAAAAGGTGTACCAGTTCGCATTCAAACGGCTGATCATGATATTTTTGTCGACGAGCGTCAAAAAGCTTGGGATATTGACACAAATAGGTTGTATGAGCAGTTAGAGCCAGTAGGCAGTAATGCTTGGACCTATGGCTTCACGGAACCGGACCCACTTGATGGCATCATTGATGTATTTAAGTCAGAGATTGTTAACATTCCATTTGCGCGATTCGTACGCTCTAAACACAAGAGCAAACAGGAAGCCACACAGAAAAGCAATAATACCCCACGACATGACGATATTTCCCCTGTGCTGAAGCAAGAGGATACCACAAGCAGTACTGAAGATGGTAGTTTACTCCAACAGACTTATAATAAAAAAAGGCGACTTGTGGGTAATATTGGCACAGCAAGTAGCGACAACAAGAAGTCCAAAATGGGGGAAGAGTTTGCACAGCCAGCCGTGGACGCGAAAAAAGAGATAGACAACGATAACGCCGGAGCCAATACAACCGACAGTGATTGCCGCACCATTGATATGGAAATCGAATCTCCGCAACAACTGCGTCTTACAAATGGAGTGGCGTCAATACCCAAGAGATTTGATCCCAAGTCAACAGTACGCGATGATGCGCATGTTCTACAGCGACGCCGCGACTCTAGCTACGAAGACGAATGCTACACGCGGGACGAAGCCTCTTTGTACTTAGTAAACGACAGTCAGGACTCATTAGCACGTCGTTGCATTGCGCTTTCGAATATCTTTCGAAATTTGACTTTTGTGCCTGGGAACGAAACGGTGTTGGCTAAGTCATCGCGATTTTTAGCAGTGCTCGGTCGATTGCTTCTATTAAACCACGACCACTTGCGACGAACTCCAAAGACGCGCAACTACGACAGAGAAGAGGATACAGACTTTACCGATTCCTGCAGCTCGCTGCAGGGAGAACGCGAATGGTGGTGGGAATATTTGATTACCATCCGAGAAAATATGCTAGTGGCAATGGCCAATATAGCTGGGCATCTAGAGCTGTCCCGCTATGATGAATTAATCGCACGACCGCTTATAGATGGATTACTACATTGGGCTGTATGTCCCAGTGCGCATGGTCAAGACCCTTTTCCGTCATGTGGTCCGAACTCTGCTTTATCCCCACAACGTCTAGCCCTTGAAGCGCTGTGTAAACTATGCGTCACGGATGCAAATGTTGATTTGGTTATTGCAACACCACCGTTTTCACGGTTAGAGAAACTGTGTGCAGTACTTACGCGTCATTTGTGTCGGAACGAGGATCAAGTATTGCGTGAATTTTCAGTCAACTTGCTACATTACCTGGCTGCAGCAGACAGTGCTATGGCGCGTACGGTAGCTCTGCAATCGCCATGCATCTCGTATCTCGTTGCATTTATTGAGCAGGCTGAACAAACTGCATTGGGTGTAGCCAACCAGCATGGAATTAACTACCTTCGGGAAAATCCCGATTCAATGGGAACCAGTTTAGATATGTTGCGAAGAGCCGCGGGAACGTTGCTTCATTTAGCCAAGCATCCCGATAATCGATCGCTCTTCATGCAGCAGGAACAAAGACTGCTTGGATTGGTTATGTCGCATATATTGGATCAGCAAGTAGCATTGATCATATCTCGAGTGCTATACCAGGTATCGCGCGGAACCGGACCACTGCATTCAGTTGAGTACAGACTGTTGCAGCAACGACAGCAACAACAACAGCAGCAGCAACGGCTGAACCAGACGCCATCTGAAAAGCAAAATGCTCCAACGACAACTATAAGTGTGAAGCCTGAGCCCTGCATCCAGCCAGAGCTGTCTGCTGATGTTAAGCCTGCAGCAGCTGCTGCAACGACAGCTGTAATCAACGATGATAACAGCAATAGCAGTCAACAATTGCCGCCAGCAGCAACATTCAACGATGTTAGCAACAGTAGCACCAACAGCAATAGCTGTGGAACCGTCAGCAGTAATCAGACCAATAGCAGCAGCTTGGGTAGCAGTAGTCAACCTACTCTTAACAACTTGGTAACACCTAGCGAACAACAAGTCGGTAAATCGCCATCAGCTGCGTCTTCCACTGTGTCATCCAACAATTTAGGTCACATCAACGACGCTGCCGCAACATCGTCGAATTCTACACCTCCACCAACAGTGGCGCAACCGGCCGCACCGCCGCCAGCAAATACAAATACAACAGCTGCCGTTGCGTAGTATACAACAATGATGCCGGCAACAACTTACTCTTGGCAACGTGGTGGTGGTGGTGCACTCGAAGAAATTTGCAAAAGAAAAGATTGAACATACACACGATATACATACGCGTATATATATATATATGGATATAACTTGAAAATACGATTTGTATTGCTTACAAAATGTTTAATCAAATAATGTAAATGTACTAAATGGGATAGAACATGATTTGCGACCTTTGAAGCAAATGACCTTTAAAGCATAGCCACAGATTGTATATGCTTAAAATAAAACCCTGAAAATGTAGAACAGCTTCAATAACACCATGGCCACTCAATTACAATGGTCACACAATAACTGTATATTTTTTCACTAAAATCTATAGTTAATATAATATATTAATGCTGAAAATGGTCTGGCATTCTTATAGACCCTTTCAAATTTTAGCAATGAATTTTCAACGTCAAACTTAAGGCAGAAGGTTTAATTGCATATAGATGCATGCGTAAAAATTAAGCACACAACATACTTATGTATTAAATTTAATAAAAAATTAATTAAAACATAATACACACATATACATACGTTATATATATATGTGTATATATATTTACATATACATAAATATGTATATATATATATATTTATATATATGGATATATATATTTATATAAATATATATATCGATATATGCATATATATATATATATATATTTATATATATAGAAATTAAAAAAAACGAATTACGTGTGTTAAAATAAACATATTTAGAGGTTAGTTTTTAAATTCTAAAATATACTACTAACAATATTATAATATGTCGTATGAAGTCATATAGTGAACATAAAACCATACACCGTATGCATATATGCGTAAGAAACCAGATAAGAACTATGTAATACAATTAAATGGATATTTATGTGGACAAATAGAAATGCAAACAAAAAGAAAGAAATCAACACACCACATACATTACAAAAAACAAAAAAAATGAAAAAGGAAAGGAAAAACTGTACATACTTAACTAATTTGTAAATTGTATCTTGTATTTTGTTTTTGCGTTGCTTAAGGCAAATGTCATTTCGTATTATGTGTGTGTGATGTGTCGACGAATAATTCAAACTGATTGAATTTGTTTTGTAATATTTTTTGCAAACCAACTGCACAAAAAAAAACTAAAAATCGTGGAATGAGAGCACTTAATGTTGTAATTTTATTTTGTTTTTATTATTTACTGAAGTGCTGCTGGAACAAGGTTTAATTTTATATTAAACGTAATTTAGGCGTAAATGACAACTTTAAATTATAAGTTTTTATCTTAATCTTAATTTAAAAATTATTCAACCTTAATGAAACACAGTTCATACGAAAAAAAAAAACAAAAAAAACGCTAGAAAGAATACGAACTAATCCATACAGAATCACGAAAATTAACTAACTCGCTTTATATCAAAAAGGCGGAAATCCAATAAATAAAAAAAAAATATTGCAGAATCATTGAGCACTTTAATTTGTACATGTGCGAAATGTTGTAAACTGTACGTTGAAACGCATACGCAATTAAAGCTAAAGTGTACGTGGCAATATTACAAAATGGACTGCTGTTTAAAAGAAAATTCAAGTCAAGTAGACTGGGCTATTAGTAAACCCTTTATACTTACGTCATGTCGATCAACAGGAATACAAGTATCAGTTGAAGCCCTAAAGATATACGTTAATTTATGTAGTTGTTTTCCAAAACACAAATATGACTCAACATCTCGATATCGATATATTTACTTGTAGTTATTAGTGTATAATTTTGCTAGGATGTAAATGTATGTCCCTCAAACTTAATTTAATTATTTAATTAATATACATACATATATAATATAAAACATTGCCTTTTTAATCATCTTGCGTGTGGGTAAATAATAACTTAATAGATACACGTATTTAAAGAATAATGGAATTCGTATTCCTTACAAAATGTAAAGGCAATAACGAACATATCTTGTCTGAAACTATGGACCTCTTAAACTTTAGTTTCAAAGTTAAGTTGTGAGGAAACTCATGCCTCCTATTGGGTGACATCCCTCAGACATTATCCAAAGACTGTGATAAGATAAGTCTAATTCAAAACTGAAATCCTGGGTCGAATCAAGTGAACAGAAACTAATTCAAACTGTTATACAAACATTTTTATGGGAGTTACATAGTATAAGTTCTGTAAATATTCTACATTATTTGGTAGATACACATTTTCGGTATGACTTATTAAGTATTTCAGTAAAATGGGCAGTAAAATGTAATAAATGTTTGACAAGCCAAGCTTATGCCCATGTGCTATGCAATATTTATATTAAATTAATATAATATAATAACAATTATGATATCGAAGAGAAAACAGACAAAATGCTGCAACTGCAATGTTTGTTTTAACTTAAGGCCAAACAGCTTGGTAAGTAATTTCATATACATTTACATAACGGTAAGAATTTCATTGACTTTATTTACCGTAAATAACACTTTTTGAAGTGATATGAAATGTATTTTGTTGTGCATATTTCCACCCGTTGTGCCGGGTATTTGGATATTGGTACATACATATACATAATACAAAATAAATGAAAGAAACCCGGATTCTCGAGCAAAACGGGCACACTAAAACCATCGGAACATCGATAACAATAATCGATTCGAGTATTCATCAGATTTTTTTCTGCAAAAGTGGGTGTGTACTTGTTGGTTTTCAACATTAAATTTCTTGAAGTTTCAACGGTCACGTACCACAGAATATTAAATTAAATTGGTAATTAAATATACATACTTATATTACTCGCTATATATATTATCGGCACAACAAAATACAAATTGACAAGCGCAATTATTTATCAAGCTACTTATATTCAACATAAAGAAGTTGATGTCATATATGTACATATACAAATTTGGTACTTTAAACTAAATTATATATATATATCGAAAAGTTATATTTCAATAGTGGTAGACGTTTCTATTTTTATCAACATGCGCGTCAATTGAGCCTGCGTTGTGTATATTAAAATTGTGTAGAAAGCGGGTTATTTTATCGATTCAACAAATACAGAAAACTATATTACCGTTAGTAGGCATTCATGTATGTGTGAATATGCATATGTATTTGTATTTTTCAGTATAGAAGGGTATTCGTTGGTATCCAATAAAAATGATTTATGTGTTAAATGATATAATGCCAAACTCATTGTATCATTTATTTTAAATTATATTATTTGTCATAGATACATACATTTACAGCGGTTTTTTCTTTTGTATATGAAGTGCGATGTATAGTGATTTACCACGGTCTGCTTCTATTTTCACACAAAAAGCAGAAAGCATAACCAACCTCATGAAAACAAATAAAGGTCAATGCTCGCTTGCGTGTTCTCTTTAACCAAACATAGTACTCTATTGATCTAACTAGTTTGGTTGCATTGATGCTTTCATATGTGCATAAATTGAAATCACATACTGATGGAATTTTTCAATGTTTTAATTCTAGAACTATGTCCGGGAGCCCAAAGCCAGTTAAGAAAGTGCCCATACACTTACAAAGTGCCCAAAATCGTATTTATATCAAGAATGGAGAAATTGTCAATCATGATAAAAGTTTTAAGGCGGACGTTTACATTGAGGATGGAATCATTAAGTATAAAATAAAAAACAATGCTTACAAAAACGATGATATGCTGACTTTATTGGGATTTCTGTAGATTTGTTGGGTCCGCTTCCGACATAACAATACCTGGAGGCGTGCGTGTTATAGATGCAACAGGAAGAATGATTATACCAGGGGGCATTGACCCCCATACACATCTGCAATGTCCTTTGGGTGACAATGTTTCCGTTGACGAGTATGTATTTTCTTAGTAGACTTTAAATTCAGTTACATTTGACTTATTTTTGACAGCTTTTACCGTGGAACCAAAGCGGCAGTGGCAGGTGGCACAACTATGATAAGTAAGACGATCTTCATAATTAATAATTTTCTGCTATTTGATACTAGCAATATAATAATTTTTTATTGGAATTAGTTGATTGTGTTCTACCCAAAAAACACGAATCTTTGGTGGAAGCTTATGACAAGTGGCGCAGCTGGGCGGATCCAAAGGTGTGTTGTGACTACGCTTTACACGTGGGCATAACTTGGTGGTCTAAATCCGTTTCCGAGGAGATTGGTATTCTATGCAAAGAGCTGGGCGTGAATTCCTTTAAGATGTATATGGCCTATAAAGGCCTCTATATGTTAGGTGATTCTGAGCTTTTGGATGTTTTTGAACGAATTCGTTTTCTGAATGGAGTCGCAATGGTAACTTTTACCCATCGGTCAAACCGTTAATATGCAACTTCTATAAGCATTCTTTTCTATAAGGTGCATGCTGAGAATGGTGATATTATAGCCAAAAACACAAAAAGCTTATTAGCCGATGGTAACTGTGGACCCGAAGCGCATGAGCTCTCGCGTCAAGAAGAAGTTGAGGCAGAGGCTGTACATCGCGCTTGCATTTTAGCCCACCAGGTGAGTATTATTATTAAATGTTGTCTTGAAAGAAACAAAAATATATATATAAATTTAGTTGGAAGTTGTATAAAATAAATGCTCGTGGGATCTTGGGAAATGTTACAATATATGTACAGATATATATTTCTTTAATTGATGATTTATCTTTTTAATTTATTATTATTTCCATTATGTATGATGCACCCTTGTACATAAATAAGAATGTATGCGGTATGTGGCACTTGATATAACTCCAATAAATATAACCCCTGATGTTGCTGCACTTTCACAAAATATATAAACTTTGATTGTCTGCTATATGTACTCTTGTGACATACGATTCGAGAGGAAGCCTGATAGCATGGCACTCAGAATCGGTGCCAGCACTAATATCAAGTAACTGGCTATAAGCCAAGCCAATCCTTGAGGCCAGTAACTATTCACAGACGGTCGAGTTCCTGATCAAGCTTCTGGCGAAGTAAGTAATATAGATTCTGGATTGACCAAAAGACTTAACGCCCATTTAATGCATTTGTGAATATTATTTGAAAACATCATAGCAGAAAAAATCCATATTACCAATAGACACTTAACAATTATTCCTCATAAAATCCAAATCTGCTTAGATGAAGACACCCCTATACGTTGCTGGTGTCACAAGCAAGTCCTCCGCAGAACTCATAGGACGCGCCCGTCGCAGCGGTTACTCCGTGTTCGGTGAAACTCTTGCAAGCTCTATTGGCCGCAGTATGAGTAGCGTTGGCAAATCGGAACGTGTTTATTATATTACCAGTCCACCGATTCGTATGTCTGCAGAAACGCCTAGGCAACTGATGAAATCCTTAGCATAGTAAGTATATTATTGAGCCCAATCCATGTTCAGATTCGATGTCATTGAATTGGAATCGCCTTCTATTTGACAGTGATGATCTACAGGTGACAGGTAGTGACAACTGTACATTCAATAAAAAACAAAAGGAACTTGGTCTATTAGACTTCACTAAAATTCCAAATGGCGTTAACGGTGCTGAGGATCGAATGTCGGTAGTGTGGGAGAAGGGTGTGCATCAGGGCGTTCTCGATCCCTGTAGATTTGTTGCAGTAACAAGTACTAATGCAGCAAAAATCTTTAATATTTACCCGCAAAAGGGACGAATTGGTGCGTTATACTATATGTTCATATGTTTTTATGTTGCTGTATCTGTATCTTTTTTAATTAATGTGAATGTTTTCGCAGCTGTTGGCTCGGATGCAGATATAGTCATATGGAATCCACAGGGTACACGAAGCATTTCCAAAGACACCCATCATCACGCTTGTGATTTTAATATTTTCGAGGGTATGACTGTACATGGAGTAGCTGAATATGTTTTAGTGCGCGGTCGCGTATGTGCCGAGAATGGATCAGTTCGCGTTGCAGAAGGATTCGGACGTTTCATACCAATGGCGGTGCGTCCGCCATATGTTTATGATATTGTTAAGGAGAAAGTACACGTGTCCGAAGAGCACCCCGAAGAAGCTCAAAATGGAAATTTGGCCAAAAAGTTCGCTGAATTGGACATTCTAATTCCAGAAGAGAAAACAATGTCTGCACTGCTCGTTGAAAATATGCCAATTATGGCAGGAGGTTCCCCTTGCAGCACACCTTCTGTTCGCGGCCGTGTTGATGGCAAAAGAGACATGCAGGAGTCATCGTTTTCGATTAGCGGTGAATTGGCTGAACTATTAGATTTAATTGATTTTATTCAGTTATTAATCTCCTTTCAGAGGAACTGGACAAATCCGGCGTTCGTTCTTGTATAAAAGTAAAGAATCCCCCTGGTGGGAAATCCTCTGGATTTTGGTAAAATGTCCAGACGACTATATAATATAATCGCACAACGCGATCCTTATGACCAGAATCAGCGCTTATCTAATCTTATATACATACATGCATATGTAAACTATAGCCGAATATTATTTATTCATACCGATTTCCAACATAATGAACAGACATAATTATCTTCGAAACTCAGCGGATATTGTTTATTCTTGTTTGAACAGAATTGTTTTCATATTTTATTTGTCATTTTGAGGCTAAAACATAACCCGATTATTTTTGGTATTTTGAAGACAATTAATGAGAATATGTACACAATTGAATGATTTTACGTTACGTTAGTTATGCACTCTTTATTTAAAAATTATGATTGGTAAACTATTCAAAATTAGATATTTGATTATAGATTAACTCAAAATACAATATACAGTTATTCTCGCTGAATACATAATTACATTTGTTTCTTCAACAATATACATATATATTTCCTGTTGCAAATAAAATACGCCTATATCTGCCTGAATAGAGAATTTGCATTTAATAACTAGATCTAATTTTATTCAAAATAATTGGGAGTTTATCTTAATGATCCCGAAATTTAATAACATAAATTTAATAAATTAACTCATAAGAGGGAGAATACAACTTTTTAGTTTTACCCGCCTGCTTTCTTTTAATTACTTACAGTTTGTTAAAGCAAGCAGTATTACTCTTTATAAAGTCATATGAATAAAAAAATTAATCAAATAAATTTGTTTCATTTAACTGAGTTGGGCGCAATCAAAAACACTAAAATAGACGAGTTTACTGCTTAATATATATTTTCACTTCTGTATTGGCTTAATCTCTAAAATCATTCGTAGTATAACCTAAAATTGACTTAATAACTAAAGTTCAATAGCAATGACAATTTATGTATTTGCGCTTACGGGCGGCGATTGTGAATAATGGAGGTGTAGGAATGCATGCGGCTGCCGAACATAATTGTATGGATTGTGAAGAAAACGCTGTGAAGAGAACTAAATAGTCATTTAAAGTTAACCAACTACTATAAATTATTCCAAATACATACCATTTCCTCTCCCCACATTTGCTTATAGCTTTTTTAAATAGGCAGCACATTTGACAGCACTGCTCACTTGCCCGGTATTAAGCAGACTCAACTTCTTGTGCTTAGCGCGGAATTTCTTTACATATGCATCAATCAAGTTTTTGATTTTATGGGGATTAATTTCACCAGAGCGACTGTGGCAAATCTACAAATGTGTACAGTAAAATTATTACATTGTTCAAGTTGTTGCATCTGCCACATACTTTTGGTACAGCGCGTCGCATGATATCCTTATAATCATCTTTTGTGATTACTTTCTTATTAAAATGGGGTTTCAATACCAATTTTACTTCCTCAACAACACGTTCCTGGCGGTTTAACTTCCGTATAAACTGAAAACGATTTTGGTTCTAGTTTTATTAGCATTTAATTTTTAAAATCTTTACTTACCCTATCCTTGACTTGTAAGTCAACCGCCGAATTGGGCAAATCGTCATACACTTTTACGTGCTCCTCGACTAATTTGTTTCCTGAAACAATAAAACAAGAAGTTTATAATAAATCACTTATTTAGTAATTTTAACAAGTGTTTGAAAATGGCAACAAACCAAAGTAATATTAATTAACTTGATAAATTATTATAGTATTAAATTATTAAATTATTTTCAATCAAATCATAAAAATATATATGTAAGGATAAACTAGAAAATCAGATCTCTAATTGATTCTACGCAAGCCATACATCTCTATTGTTATTGCTATTGTAAAGTAAATAAAAAAGGATTCTTCACAGATTGCATTCATCCTTAACAGCATATAGGATAGTAAATCTAGAGAATCTGCTAAAATAGAAAAGTATTTTCAATGGAAACCCACCTTTGATTTTTGATTTGCGTTCGTTTTTGTTATTTGCACGTTGCGGTTTTCTTCCTCCTGAATTATTATACCGTGATGACATTCGATGCTGGCCCACTGGAGAGCTGCTTCCAAAAAGATTGTCAAACATCTCCGCTTTACCTGTAACACTATTTTTCGAACGTCTATTTGATCCGATTGCATTACCACCTTCCGGCGGGGGCTCAAATAGGTCCTCATAGTCTGCTGAACCTGGAGAGTATGGACTTTCGATGTCCATATTAAAAGAGTCATCCAGCACATTGGCTATACCACTAACACCGGTGTTGCCGTTACGTATGGTGCCACTACTTGATGGCAGGTTCGCTATACCACTGTTGCTGCTAGCCACGCTACCTCCCGCTTTGGGCAGGGTTCCTAATTTTCTTACTAGTGTCGTTGGCGGACTAGAAATAACAGGTATGTGCTGCGAAGCGGACACAGTAGTACTACTTGTAAGCAGGACATTTGACAAAACTGTAATTGTATTATCGGTAAGCTTATCGTCGGCAGCAGAGGCCGCCAGCGCTGTGCTCATTGTAGTACTGTTGAGATACGATGCCGACGATACGTCGCAGGTTTTATTAGTCAGTTCTTGTTGAATGTTGTTGCTTGGTTTATTCATAAGCGCCATGACCAGATCCACTGGATTAATGCTTACACTCGTATTTGCTTGCGAGGTTGGGTTACTAGTGCTCGACAGTGTCGGCGTGCCTATGTTAATGTCCACCAGATCCTCACTGTGGCTGTTGTGTTTCTGATTACACGATTCAATTTTCTCCGTACCACTGCAAACCGTTCCGCTACCGCCAGTGGAAGCCTGTAACGTCATTGGCTCAAGATTCTGGGCAGGAGTTGGTGTTGGGGAGCGCGGTGATAGTGAGGGTGACTTCGTCGGTTCGAATGGATCATATGCATCGGGAGAACAAGGCCCCGACTCAGGTGGCGTGTTCGGACCAATCTTTTGGGCTGAAATCAAGCCTTCGCTTGCATGTGGCTGTTGCGGTTCGTCGTCTATAGCACCACGCATAGAGCAAACTGTGTCCAACTCGTCTGCAGAGTGTATATCGTCGGCATCGTCATGCAGCGGATTATTGCGCACTTTGTGTTGTTTTTTGGCGGGTAAATTGAACTTCACTAAATGTGGCTCCGGTGGTGTCTTCGGACCAGTCGTTTGTGGCAGATTATCATATGAAGCTTCCAAAATAGTTTCCATGCACGTCGACGGCGTTTTTTCACGTTGTCCATTCTCTCTCATCATACCACTGTGATCCGTTGCCGAGGCAGCGCTATTACGACGGCGGTCGCGCCGTAGCACAAGTTGGTTATCATTTGCATCTTCGCTATCAGTCAGCACAATGACATCGGCAGGCTCTTGATGAACTTGAAATGGTGAGCGCTCCAGATCTATAATAGCTACAGGTTTGGCATCTAGTTTTTTCCGCTTGCGTTTAGACTTCTTGCTCGTTATGCCGCTACTGCTGGTCACCCTATCTGTGGAGATGCGCCGGCCTCCAAGGAACTCATCTCTCGTCGGCGGCAACGTTACCACAGTTTGCTGCTGTGCTGAAGCTGCCAAGGTGCTGGTTGCTTCCTTGTTGAAGCTAACGCTGACAAGAATATTGTTGCCCGAGGCGAATACTTCCTTAGAGGGCAACGGTTCAGGTGTCATGGTATGGCGCTTGCGTTTTTTGTCTTTGCGCTGCTTGTCAAGCGGCTTCTTTTTTTTCTTGGTTTTGTCCCGCTTGGGCTTTACTTTTTTCCCCATTACTGGCGTCATGCTGAGGTGAGGATTTACAGTATAGTGGGAAACAGGCGCTTGTGGAGACCCCAGGGGCGGTGTCCAGGAAGCAGGCTTTTCACCACTTATTCCAGCTCCGCTATCGTGAATGAAGTTAAGATGTTCGGCAGAAAGACTGGGCGTAGGAGATGGTGACCAATGCATTGCCGGTAATCCCGTTGACGATTTTTTCGACTTCTTGCCCAACTGGGGCGCAAGGAAATCATCGGCATCGTCAAAAGGATCACGCTGCCTGGAAATACGGCGCTGTCGACCCATTGGACTACTGCTAGCTGGTCGTTTCTTTCCCTTCTTCTTCTTATCACTCTTCTTTTTCTTTTTTTTCCTTGGACTTTTTGATAGGCTGCGACTTAAACGTGGGGTATAACGTGGCGAATAGCAAGGTGAATTCTTTGCTCCCTGCAAATTGCGGTTGCCGTTCATTCGCGTCGGTGTATTAGACCGAGAACGCAGTGACATTGTGCTATTACTCCGATGCAGCGGACTGTTACGATGCGCTGCTTGTAATGGTTGTGAATTTGACGCAGACCGCTCAAATCGCCTTCTACTCGGTGACATTGATCTTCGATGGACGTCTTGGTCATGTTGATGCCTGGCATGTCCTAAGGGTGGAGAGGGCGAAATACTAAAACTGCGAAACCGTTTCGGTGATACTGAGCGCGTGCGTGATCGCGTGGAGCTTCGTGAATAACTACGCGAATGTTGTCGCCGCTCACAGCTATTGGAACGACTTCTAGCAGATCGAGTTGCGTCGCGGCCATAACGATCCTTTTGGTGATGACGCGAAGCACTAACGACATTGCGCACATCATAGCGAGGTAGCTCGCGTCGTTTAGGCCGTTGAGAATTTATCTGCGATTGATATTGATTTTGATTCTGATACTGATGATGATGCTGGTGGTACTGCTGTTGGTATTGGCTTTGATGGTGGGGCTGCTGGTACGTTCTATGCTGAAATTGTTGATTGCGAAAACTGTATCGTACTCCGCCACGGCCGCGACCAAATCCTCGAACATTTTCACGACTCCTAAAAGTAGACCGATGACGACCACCATTAGGACTATGAGAGTGCGATCTTGATCGTGAATACGATTTAGACCGAGTATTACGCCTACGGCTGCGTGGTGATCTCGTAAGACTACGACTGCGACTGTGATCGGGACTACGATTACTGCAGCTGCGGGTGACAGAACGTGGTGAGTTAGAGTGGGAACGACGGGAATGAGTACGATCCTGATGATGTTGTTTATCCCCACGGTAATTGCGGTCTTTTCGGCGTTTTCCTATTTTCTTGAATGTCTCAGAAGTTTCTTTGCCTCGCTTAGCACTGCGCTTGGATTTACTAACTTTGTTATCGTTTTCATTATGATGGCGACTACGACTACGACTGCGTCGTTTTGACTCGTTTTCATTGGTTAATTCTTCGTCTTCGGAAATGAGTTCAGTATTCATGCCGGCCAAGCGCTTCTCATCGTCTTCGACAGATTCAGATGCTTTGGTATTGCTTTTCTTGGCTTCACCTGATATTTCCGATTTATCGTTTTGGCTAGCGGCCGCGGCATCTTCTTCAATGTGCTTTTCATCCAAACAGGGCGTATATGATCGGTCTTGGTGTGATTCGCTGCTTGAAGACTTCGGCGTTGCGTCGCCTTCGTTTTTTTTCTTCTTTCTAGCAGTAGGTGCATCCTCAATATTTTCTTCATTGAGCGCCTTCTCAAATTCTTTCGGTCTATCAATATCTAACTCTTCCCAATCACTGTCATCGTACAGTTCCAGAACACCTTTACTCCGGTCTGCCAAGCGTCCATCCTTGATAAGAGGGCTAGGGGTACTCTGTGCTTTTGTTTCATCATCATTGTCGGGTTCCTTGTTAGCTGGGGTGGCAGATGCACTTAAGTCACAGTCCAAATTGCTACCTTCCACATTATCATTGCTTTCTTCGACGTTGTCGTTATCGCTTTTGGTGGATTTTTGTATGTTTTCCTTCTCGTCCTCTTCCTGTTCTCCCGTTGGGTTTTCCGGTTCGTATAGGTCACTAGCAGCATTGTGATCTTCATTGCCACTGGCGACTGCTTCGGTTGCATGGGGTTCTGGCGGCAAAGGTATGTCTTCATCATCATCTAATTGTACTAAATCTTCATTCATGTTGTCATCATCCTGAGTAAGTAAAATAATTTTAAAATTGAAAGAAATAGTAACATATGACGGTTAGCATGCAATGGAAAATCATGGCTTGAATAGGAGCTATATACTGACAGACTGCAGCTAAGCCTCAATAACTGTTAAACCAAACTTATTTTTTGTATGAACTACTAATATTATAATATACTATACCCATTAATAAATGAGAAGAGTATCAAAATAGAAGTTTGGCAATAGTTAGTAGTGCGAAGGAATAAAATATATATTTATATATATTAGATGCACAAGTTATATATGTATATATAGCAATATTCGGTGGTTTGGCGAACAAGTATTGGTTGTTATTAAAATATTATTTGTAACTATCTAGACTTTCAATATTTTTGCATTGTATTAGTATTTAGTATTTGGACACATAGATTTTATGCCATTTCTCAAACATTTTTTAAACATAATTCGGACCATTCGTACCTGATCTATGTTCCCTGCGGCTTTTTGCGGTTGCGCGAAAAGATCTGTGGCGACTGCTTGCGATTCCTGTGAGTAAATGGAGAAATTCGGGCAGTTTTCATCGTCGTCGTCGACATTGTCGCCTTTCTTAGTAGCAGTTTTCTTTCCGTAATCGGTATTTATTTTAAACAGAGAGCTATTCCACGATAAGCTGGGCGGTGGCGTCGGTGGTGGTGGTACTGACAATACCGGTGGCATTGATATGCGAGCACCGAGAACGGGTGCATTAATAGGTGCGGGCAGGCCGCTAAAAAGTTGTCGCTGCTGCTGCTGGGGAATTATGTGAGCAAAACTTGTAGATGGGGCGGCAGCCGGCGTTAAAGGCATACGTATGCCGCTAGAAAATGACGATTGGCGGGATTGCTGCATATTCTGATTGCGTTGTTGTTGATTAGTCGAATTAAAGCGAATGTTGAATGGCGTAAAGTTTGTGTTGGGTGTAGAATTGTTGTTGCCGCTGTTGGGGTTATTGTTGCTATTAAAACTTTGATTGCCGTAACTGGATTCTGCAGCTGAATTATCAGTGTTATTCGACATGCCGCCAGTTGAATGTTGTTGGTACTGATTAGCAGCAACTGCACTGCTACCACCGCTTCCACCGCTGCCTCGAGTGTTGTTGCCACTATAGCGATTGTTGTAGTTGCCAGTACCACCTCGGCCTAAATTAGGTCCGGAGCCTCCACGCTGATAAAGTGGGATTTGAGTGATATGTTCCGTAGGCTTCTTTACATCAGTTGGTTTAGTTGGTTGGCTCATTATCGTTGCCATCTGCGGTAAATTCAGGGTACCATCTGCGTTAATATGGACTTCGCTTAGATTTCGAGATGCATTATGCCAACGATCTTGCAGTTCCATTATACTGGATAATATATCACTGGCGGCACTAGAGGCTGACCCGCGGTTCGGTGCTGCTATGCGTGCCTTGCCTTGAAGAAGTGCTTTACGATTCCGTGGTGCACCTATGTTAGAATTTCGAACTGATGTCTGAACTGCAGTTGATGCAAAATGGTCATTATTAATATCACCTCCCATATCATCGAGCACATCGTCGGTATCGGAAAAATACTCCAAATCGTTGCGACTACCGAATAGCGTAAAGCTTGAGGCGCTGCCGCCGCTTATATGTGACCCACGTACTCCGTCTATTTTGACTCCAAGCTGTTCAGCTAACCGTCTGCTTGCCGACATTCGCGTAGTTTCTTCGACATTTCTGACGGAATTTTGCGAATTTATTTTACGGGTTACTTTTCGCCTTCGTCGACGCCGTATGACCTTTTTTCTAGTCTTGACTGCGAACTTTTCATCAAAATTATTGAGATCATACTCCACTACATAAGTGCGATGTGTTCGTCGGCTACGTCGTTGTCGTCGTCGCGATGTGCCGTTACGTCTTGTTGTTGTGGTACGTGTGGTTCTCGTTGTTGTGATATTCCGACTACTTCGAGTTGTGGTTTGTGTCATTGTTGTAGTTTCCAGCTGAGCTTCTGCTCTCGACTGCCTCGAGGAGGCCGGCTGAGTATGCCGCAGGACCGCTGCTCGTATACGTTCATTTTGACGAGTGCGTAGAATTCGAGGCTGCTGGACTTGGCGTACACGTAAACGTGTCTCTGGCAATCCCATTCCACGAATGTCCTCGTACAGCGTGTGCAAGTCCTCGGCAAGCTCTAACTCTTCGTCTTCATCCTCATCGTTCGAATCAATACAGTTATCACAGTACCAAGAACCTGCAGGTATTTCAAAAAGAGGTGGATCTAAGCAGTCCATGTGATAACCTTGGTTACAGCTGTCACAAAGAAGCATTATCTCTTCACGGTCCGGTCTGTTGCATATTTCGCAATTAGTCAATTCGTCGTCATTGGCCATGGCACCAGCAGCATATTCTTCATCGTCTAACACTAGCTCCTTTTTGGATTTGCTCAGATCCACGCGAACTTCGCGCACGATGTTACGTCGCTCAAAATGGTCAAGTACAACGATTTTATCAAACGCAAGACGATCAATGGGGCAGGTTTGCACATTGTTTGCCCATGCCTCAATGCAGGTTGCACAGAACATGTGCTCGCATGTTATTGGTCTTCCAATCTCTTGGTGACGGAACGTCAACAAGCAAATTGGACATTTCTCCAATAACTCATTACTGCTGCTGTCCGAACTAAAGCCGACATCAAGATCCAGTTGGGAATCCGTCCTGGTATTATTATTGGAAATACCTTTCTCATCCTCACTATCATCCTCGGAAATGACCAATTTCTTTCGTTTCCTTCCACGTTCGCGCTTTCTTGTATTACGTTCATCGACCTGAGACAAAATGTAAATATATTATTGTTAATAACCAGATGAAAAACATTTGATACTATTTAAATAAAGCAAATCGAATAAACCCATACTGAAATTGGCAATGCATTTCTTTTCTCTGAAGAAACAAAACACCTCAACTTTCCGTCCGATTGTTTATATTTTCATTTTTCATAGACATGGAATATTACACCATATTTTTAAATTAAATATACAGCTGACCAAGTTTGTATTTATTATGTAGGTATGTGTACGGTTTTCATGTTAAAAAGCTTTACCTCACTGTTGCTGTCTGGATCATTGTCTGACGGAAGACGTTTTGTATCAGCACGTCTTCGAAGCTGACGACCAGATGTATGCGCAGCTCCAATTACATTAGCGTCCCGAACAACATGTTGACTGCGGGTACTTCGACAAGGTTGGGGAGCTGACGCGCCTGGTAGCCGCGCACCAAGGTCAACACCCACACTCACATAAGCAGAGGCAGGGGCATCATTGTCATTACTTGAAACGGAACACGAATCATCCGCGTCCGTGTCATCCGAGTCCTTAAATTCTATTCGCATAATTACACGACGATTTCTCTTTTCGCGATCATTACTCTGTACAGTCTTCCTGCTGCAAGACGGCTGATTCATCTCTGCATCGCTGCAGTCGCCGGAATCGGGCATGCTGATGCAATTTTGTTCGTATGTATATGTCAATATAAACGGACTCCCAGTTAATTAACAATTCTTGACTTAAGGGTTTTAACTTGCGAATATATTCCTTTCCGAGGAATTGGTATGTATTTCTGTTTATTTTCAACTTTTATTCCTTGTTCATATACGATTTTTCTACTTCTTCGCAGCTACATTTTTCTGTTAAGTTGGCTGCGCTTACGCACACCTATCGATTTATTGTAAATAAGCAAGTTATATCGGCACTCTTGGCAGCGTCTCAAACTGTAGAGGCCGCTGCTCTTAAATTCGACACAAACTTGCAATGCTTCACAAACTGTTATTTCAACTGGTTGTCTCCGGAAGTCAAAATCACTTGCATATGAACGTGTTCTATATCTTTACAAGCCAGTTAAGTTATTTCAGTTGAATTAGACAATGCTGAGATATTTTAATTTTGCAACACTTATAATTACAAATTTTCTTGTACAATTTATTCACACACATACACACACACACAAACGAAGCAAGCCAAGTCAAAAGTTATCGAAATATAGTCATTGACCACTATCGTCAATAAGCAATTCAATCGATAGTTGCTAATGGTACTGGCTTATTAACTCTGACAGTAAATTTTTGGCTATGGTCATACTTAACTGTAACTTAAGAGATATGTATCAAAATATAATATTACATGCTAAAGTATAACAAATGCCATCTAAACCGGGAGAAACTTTCATGAAATGCATATTGTAACTTAATTAAGTTAAATGTTTGATAGCCACACAACCTTGGTTTGTATTTCGATCAATTCGTATTTGATATTATCGATTACCGATAAAACTTATAAGCATATTCGCAGATTTCGGCGCTGTGTGCGCGCTAAAAAGTAGTTATTTGCTGCTCAGTTCTCTTTAAAAATAAATGAAGTATATTTTGTTACAACAAGCAAGAATAATTCATCAACTTTAAACAACGAACTTATAAAAATCTAAAATCACTTTCTTAAAATATTACATTTGGCTTCACTCGTTCGCTTAGTATATGACGAGCGAGAACGAGGCACATTTTTGCACATAAAAAGTAAAGAATACAAGCTATTATACATTTGGAAAGGAAAAAATGTTTTCAACTCGGAAAGAGGTGGATGAGCATGTCCACAAAATGTTTTCGAAGGTTCCACCTGGATCAGAGGTTAGTTATACGCATCAATTATTTTCGTGCATTGAAGTTTTTTTTAGCAACGCTTGCGAAATAGGCGCCCGCCATTAAAGCGCATACATACATATGTATATATTATGTATGTACGTATTTTTAAGCATTTGGCTGTCGGCGTCTCTTAGCATGATGCCAAAAAGCCGCTTTGTGTTAGATGTGTATGAATTTAACAAAACAATTATTTTCTACTATTAATTATAAATATAAAAACAGAATAATCTAGAACGAATACTAAGTTAAGATTCATACAATCAAATAAATAGTTCATATTGCAATACTAATTGAGGTTATGTTCATTTTGCTCTACTCTTATAAACAGCGCGACATGAAGGGTTGGGCTGTTGGCCGCTTGTATAGCAAAATACAAGAATACTCAAAGGCTATTGAGCACTTGAATGCGTTTTTAAAGGTCAACGATGATGCCGGCGCCCATAAGCTTATTGCTCGATGCTATAAACAGATGAAGAATCCGGATTATCAAAAGGCTTTAGATCATTATCAGCGCTCCATTCAGTTAAATCCGAAGCAACCTGACGTTATAAAAGAGTGTTGCAAATTACTTATTGAACAAAGTAACCTTTGCAATCCAGACAGGGCCTCCTTTTGGTTGGAGTTGGCCAGCAACATAGAAGATCTGCACGAAAGCGAGTTGTTGCTTGCTCTACGCATGCGCGCTACAGCCGGCACAGTAGATTCGGCAGAGCAGAATAATTCGATGGAGCTGGTTATTAAAAAGGAGCTGCTGTCGCATCCGAACAACGCCTTATTGCAGTTGCGTCTGATACAAACATTCTTGGAAAAAAAACGCATCGGTGAAGCCTTCAATTATGCTTACAAAACGGAAATTGAAATGCCTGCTCAGTCTCAGTCGACTGAGTGGTACGATGCAATTTGGATGGTGCTTCTCAAATGCGAGTCAAAAGAAACATCCAAAGATTGGCCATTCTGGCAGTTATTGCTTATCACCATCGATCGGCTCCTTCAGCTGAACCTCCAGTCTGATACCAAAAGCAGTTTGGGGGAAAGCATTGCCCAGCTCTTTAAGTTTGATCAGTATGTACACAAATTTAGTCTCCTTGGCGATCAGCTATCGGTTAACGGCGGACATGAGCTGCACCAGTACTGCCTGGAACACTACTCTGGACAATTTCTTCTACACGCAGTAACGGTCCTCTTTAAACGTGAAATGCTAGGTAACAAAAACAAATGGTTCAATACGGTTCGTGCAGCTCTACCTTTGCTGTTACTCGGATATCAACAGAATTCAATTAAGGCAAAATCGTCTTACTGGCAACGTCACTGTAACAGTGTGCAGCAGAAGCTACTAGAGGTTTGGCAGAATCAAGCCGCTTTTCGTTGTGCCCAGTTAGGGCGAACGCTATACGGCTGTGTGCAAACTGCAACTAATGATGTCGGTAATCAATTGCCAGGCCTTTGGCCGAGTAGCGCTGAACTATTAGCGACAGTACGGCAACAATGCGCTGACAGCCAATGGCGTTCTCAGCTCTATCAACAGTTATATACGCATCCCGAAACCAAATTGAAGGAAAAGACTTCCCATTTGGTGCGTCATCAGAACCTGCAGCAACCACTATATGAATGGCCATCAATCGCCGAGATTGAGGAGTACGAACAGATGGCACTTCAGTTAGCTCCACCAACTCTCGAACACCATGTTTACTTAGCGCTTAGTGCAGAGAATTTGGCTGAGGCGCCGCGCGTGCGCTTCTACAAAGCGTTTCGACGAGATTCTAAAAAGGTTTTGAGCAACTGCAGTGTGGACACTCTAAGCCAGCTGGATGTTGACATATTTCTGTATGCAGTTGTGTTACAAGCACAGCGTAAGCTGCAGGTCCAGCGGGATAGTTACGATAGCTCTCATGTGGGCAACCGCAATGCGGCCGACCGCCCGTTTATGTTACCCTTCGCAAACATAATTGGACGGAACGAGTTGATAACGACGGAGCAAAACACCTGGTGGAATGTTATGCAGCGAATCCACGATAATATAAATATTGGTGAAAACTATCGCGTTGACTATCGCGATCAACTCCAATTTGGTCTAGAGGTGATACGTTGCCAGAATGAACCACACATTGAGATAATCATGCTATTGCAGCTTGGCAAGTTACTGGCCAGTCGTGACGATGCTTCTTATTTGGAACAGCGAATAGAGGCATTTTATAAACTGGGCATAAACATGATGAAACGTCATCAAGAACATAAGCTGGAACCATTTTACAGGTACTTCAAGTATTTAAATTCTAGTGCAAGCAGCGTCTGGACGCAGATCGAGAAGTTGGCCGAAGAAGCACTTTCATATCTAAGCAGACGGTCAGCTAAAGTGGGAAATTTGCAAGAATTTGTGAAAGATATACATGGTCTAAAGCTGCCAATGGCCACTTATCTGCAAGCGGAGTCCTATCGCCAGCTTGCAGACTCCAGTCACACCTCTCGTGTAGCGCGTCAAAATTTTCAGGATCGACGCATTGAATGCCTGAGAGAAACTAAAGCTTTGCTTGGTAATAATCAAGATCATCCTCTGAGCTCTGTGGTGCAGCGTGAACTAAAGGTTTCTTTATCAGACGAACCCTATAGTTCACCTGAACATCATAATAATTCAAGTACATATGAGGATGCAGAGGATGATTTTTATACTGGAGCTGCAAATGCTCTGAATCGCTCGCACAATAGGTCGAGACGCCAAGCGGAGTTGCAGGGGATCGCTACCTTACAGCTCGAGCACACAATAAAAGAGCTCAGCAAGCAATTGGATATGCTTAAGGTTGATGTAGGTGGTGGAATGGAGGCTATGCGACAGGAAGTTAAAATGTTATCTGACAAATTTGAAAGTCTTGAAGAGATACTTAAAAAATCTAAGATAAATAGTACTGAAACTCAATCACGTGATGTTGACGCTGCTGCAGCTGCGGCTGCACTCGGTCTTGATGAGTTCTTAAATATGGATGATGCGATCCAAACGAATTACCTGAATTCTGCGCCACCAACTCATAACGCCCAAGAGCGATTCTTTCCGTCAGCTGGAAACGCTGCTCATTCGAATGCAGCATATGGCAGTCCAATGTTTAATCAGAATCAGATGTACAACTACTTTGCTAGCCAAGCTCACTTTATGAGAACGCCTCCGGCGGCAAATAATATGCCACCTTCTTTCTATGGTAAGTTAGCACAAGCATTAAAAAGTGTATTAGATGTTTAATATATATTTAAATATATATATGTATTTAATTATATATTAACTTTTTAAATCGCTTTATAGAATTATTTGTATAAACTGTATTCTTATTTATTTAAATAAGTGTTATACTACAATTCAAAATTCTTTCAAACAAACAATATTCAATTTTGGTTTTTTTATATAATAATAATTAATATTGTTGGTTTAAACTAGTTGGCAATGTATCAAAAGCGAAGTAAAACTATCTAATTGACAGTTCACACTTTATTTATTTAAGTATAAGCTTAATTAAAAAAATGAATACATATATATATATTTTTTTTGCAGGACCACGTCCACCGGCGAATTTTGCAGTGCCGCCTAATATCTACCAAAATCCGCAAGGCGCGCCGTTTATTGAGGGCCTGAATTATGGAATGGCACCGCCGCCACCCAGCTTGGTAATTCCGCAAGTTTCGCAGACGCAGTTCAGCCAACCTCCAATGTCATCGAATGCAAACTTTTTCAACAGTGCACAGTTTGTGCCTGCGTCCGGCCAAGTTCAACAAAATATTGTGCAAGCGTCTCAACAAATAGCGCCATCGGTGCCAGCTCCTCTAACGCAACAAAAGCCTATTTCAGCGATAACATCAATTTCACAATCTGCAGCTGCAGTGATTCCTTCAATATCGACATCTGTGGTAGCACCCCCAACTTCTGCGAATCTGTCTGCTGCACCTGCGGGTCCCATTACAACGACTGCCACGTCGGTTACTTCCGCCACTGTGATATCCGCAGCTCCAGTGTCAGTTCCATCGGCTGTTTTTAATCGCGCCCTCAATAATCAACCCGTGGAAAAAGAGCCACCAGCTAATGTTGTTATCACTAGCTCTGATCCACTTCCCAAAACAGCAGTCGCTACTGCCCAGCCTACACTTAGCGTCACCATACCGCCACAGCACATTAAGCCCAGTTTAGTACAGACCACAGAACCGCCTGCTGTTGCCGGCACTGATTTTACTTTTAATCTTGGCAATAACAACGTTTCTGGCAACATATTCAGCGGGCTTTCTCCATCTACGTTTTCATTTAAGACACAGGTTGCACAGGCGGCGGCCGAGAAACAGAGAGAATTGGCTGCGGATGCAGCCAACGACAGCGTCGGTAATGATCCAAACAGTAGTATTGGAGCTGGTGATGCATCAGCTGAGCTGGATTATGATCCGCGACCAGATTTTCAAGGCATCATACCGTTACCAGACGAAATAGAAGTGCGCACTGGTGAAGAGAATGAAATTGTTGAATTCAGTCATCGAGCTAAACTGTTTCGACATATTGACAAAGAGTGGAAGGAACGCGGTATTGGTATCATCAAAATTTTAAAGAATCAAACGAATGGCTGCACACGTATTTTAATGCGTCGTGATCAGACCCATAAGATTTGCGCAAATCACAAGATTACTTCGGGTATGACTCTTACCACACCAGAGCAGGACAAGGAGGAAAAGTCCTTCCTTTGGGCAGCCAACGATTTTGCAGACGAAAAGTTAAAGCTGGAAAAGTTTCTTGTGCGCTTTAAGCTGGCTGAGACAGCCAAAGAATTTAAGTTGGCATTTGAAAAGGCGGAAAAAGACGCAGTAAAATTGGAAAAAATAACTGCCGCAACGAGTCTCGCCAAGAGTAGCGTCGCTAACAGCTTTGTGACTAGCACACCGGCAACAAATGCGTTGGCCAAGCAAACAGATTCAGCTAAGTTGGGTGGTACTCAACCCAAAACTGATGCTGTAGTCCCCAAGACATTGTTTGGTAATTTACCCAGTACAACAAACACTACAACTACAACCTCGCCATTTGCCAATTTCAACTTTGGCAATTTGGGTACTAAGCCACCAGCTGTTAATTTGTCCTTTGGCAGTGTGTCAGCTGTAGGTGACACTAGTACTACAAGTACTAATAATAACACGGCTTTTACCACGGCCTTTAACTTTGGTGGCAACCTCTTCAGCAAACTGGATAACACACAGAAAAATCAGCAACAAACAACAACAACAACAACACAATCGCAGCAAATTAATTTAAATCGGTCGAACGCATCGGACGCGGATGGTGAAGAGGAATATGTGCCGACAGCACAATTTGCGCCTGTGATTCCATTACCGGAGCTTGTCGATGTTGTTACTGGCGAGGAGGATGAATTGGTACTATTCGAGCACCGCGCTAAATTATTGCGCTTTGAGAAGGAAACCAACGAGTGGAAGGAGCGAGGATTGGGTAATATTAAGATATTACAATTGAAAACTGATCCAACTATTGTGCGCTTGCTCATGCGCCGCGAACAAGTGTTCAAATTGTGCTGTAATCAGCGTCTTCTACCAGACACTAAATTCCAATATGCAAAGAATTCGCAGAATGCGCTGACTTGGGCAGCACAGGATTATGCCGACCAAGAGCCAACTACAGAGTTGTTATGTGTGAGATTTAAGACCGCCGACGTGTGCAAAGAGTTTTATGACACAATACTTAAGGCACAGGCAGCTATGTCACAAAAAGACTCCAATCAATTCAAACAGATTGAGAAAAATGTAAATAAGGATACGGAAATCAAAGTTCAAGGCTTTGGGGATGCTTTTAAGCCGAAAGCCGGAAGCTGGAACTGCCAAGGCTGTTATACCGTTAACGATGCGACGCAGCTTTATTGTTTAGCCTGCGAAGGTCCCAAAGATGACACTGTTCCAGCTAAGTCATCAGCATTGGGACAGAGTGGGGCTCTAAATTTAAGTAGCAGTGCCGGCAAATTCACTTTTGGTTTTGGCCAGAGCACTGTAACACCAAGCTTTAATTTTGGTACAAAAGCGACGGTGGAGAAAGTGCAACCTCCAGCTGAACCTGTTACTACTACCGCAAATGCAAAATTCGCTACTAATTCTAGTGATGGTATAACGAGTACTAAGCCAGATGCACCCAATGTTTGTGGCTTCGGCGATGCATTCAAGCCAAAGACGGGTAGCTGGAATTGTAATGATTGTTATACTCTAAACGATGTAGCACAATTGTACTGTGTGGCTTGTGAGGCACCGAAGGATGACAGCGTGCCAAAGAAAGGCAACAAACTTGAAGGAGGAGGCTTCGAAAGTTTTCTAGCTCCTTCAACCGCCAAGTTTACTTTTGGTTTTGGAGCGCAACCTCCAGTGCCAACCACTAAATCATCAATCATAGAGTCAAGTGCATTGCCCAGTAAAAATACTGAGGGTAGCATCTTTCAATCATCCAGTTTTAGTTTTAAGCCAACGACAGTTACAAACAGCAGTTCTTTGGCTTCTAACACATTTAGTTTCTCAATGCCAAAGACACAACAGCAGCCTAAGAGTCCCACAGGAAATATGGGAGGAGCCGATGTAAGCAATGATGATGAAAACAATTTAGAAGACGAGGAGAATAATGCATATTTTGCACCCGTAATTCCGTTACCGGATAAGGTAAGTAACATACAATTATATATTATATAAATAAATAAATATAAATAAAATATTTTTATAAAATTAATCTAACCTTAGATTGATGTAAAGACCGGCGAGGAGGATGAATTTCTGCTCTATGTTCAGCGTGCCAAGCTCTATCGCCTGTCTCAGTATGGTGAATGGAAAGAACGTGGGCTGGGAAACGTAAAAATCCTTCGTCATAAGGAGACCAATAATCTGCGTGTTGTTATGCGCAGAGAACAAGTCCACAAGATTTGTCTGAACCATGTGCTCAACTCATCCGTGATCTATAAGCCCAAAGATGAAAAATCCTGGTTGTTTGCTGTGCACGACTTTAGTGAAGGCGAATCTGTATTGGAACGATTTGCTTTGCGCTTCAAGAATGCGGACATCGCGCAGGTATTTCATAATACAGTAAAAAGCGCGCTCAACGGTACCGCCCCGCCTATTACCGAGGATAATAACCAGCAACTAGAGCAATTGAGTGCCACTGATAGTAAACCCAATGATGATCATCCTGTTGTTTCGGATGAAATTAAGATGCTCGCAGAAAAACTGATGCTCAGCTGCGAGTTTCTAACTGCAGAGTCAACTTGCAGCGGTTGTCGTGGTTGCGAGCCAGAAAAGTTTGATTATGGACATCCGCCAAAGTTTGAAGGAGCGCCTAATTCGCTTCCACTGACATTACCCGCCTTAAAGTTACCTACACCCAAAATACAGGAAGAAGCTCAGGTGCAAGATGGATCGTTATCCAATCGAGGCTTACTTAAGGCAAGCTCTCTATTAACCAACAACACTTCAGATAAATCGGGTAGTTTTGGTGGTTTTAGCAATGCTGTCTCCGCAAACTCTACAGCAGCCACAGATGCATCTTCTAAGGTAACTACGAAGAAGCCGGACGATGTCGGAAGTGGTTTCGTTTTCGGAAACCCTGGTAAGAATTGATTGATCGGTTAGGATTTATTAATTGATGCATCTTAATATACAGTTTCCATTTTATCTCGATAAATTTTGTTTTTAGAAAAAGTATTTGGACACAGTACATCGCTGTTTGGCGGCAACACAGACAAGACGCATCAGTCTATTTTTGGAGGCTTTAGTGGTTTGGATAGCAAGATTAATAATCAGACAACTTCGATATTTAGCAATACAGGAATACCTCAGGCTGCCAATCAAAACGAAATGTCCAAATTAATTTTTAGTCCATTCGGAGACAACAACTTAACAAAGCCGAACAGTAACATCTCATCCGGGGCTACTTTTGGCGGCATCGCTGGATCGAGTGTGGCCCCCTTATTTGGCAATCAAACGAAAGATAAAACCATCTCATTTGCGGACATGGTAAATAACAAGGATCAAATCAAGGATAACAAAGAGAATATTGCGGAAACTATTGGAACGAAGACGGGCATCGGCTCTATTACATCTGATCAAAGCAATATCGATTGTTTCTCTGGCTTGGCTGGGGGTGATGATTTTGCAAGTCTGGCAGCCAAGGGATCCAGTAATCCGATTGGGTTTCAAAAGTCGGAGTCTGGCGGTTTTTTTGGATTAACACACCAAGATGCGTTTAAGAACTTCAAAGCGTCGTGCAAAACATCTACACCAACAGCAACACACGACAACAGTGTCGAAAACGTTAATGACGATGACAACTACGATCCGCATTATGAACCCATCATTGCCTTGCCCAATGAAATTGTGGTGAGCACGGGGGAGGAAAACGAGGTGAAGTTGTTCGGTGAGCGCTCAACGATATTTCGCTACAATTCGGAATCCAAAGAATGGAAGGAGCGCGGTAAATTCAGCAAAAAAAATGTTCTAATAATGTGATTAATGAATGCATTTTTGTTTTTAATAGGAGTCGGCGAGTTGAAGATTTTAAAGCATAAGGACTTGAATACTTATCGCATAATATTGCGTCGTGAGCAAATTTATAAACTGGTAGTCAACATGAAGATAGGTGAAACATTCACCATGGAGTACATGAACGATCAAAAGAAAAGCTTCATTTGGGCGAACTTTAACTATGCCGAATCTTCCGAAGGGGTAGTGGAACGTCTTGCCTGTCGTTTTAAGAAGCAAGAATGGGCCGATAAATTCTTTGAGACTATAAAAATGTGTGTAGCCGACGCGAAAGCGTCTCATGCGAGAGAAGGGTCTCAGCAAAAGGATGAAATTGTCGAACCTTGAATTAATACTTATGTGTCCTAAGCTTAAAACTAATTCATTGTTATGTAAGATTGAAAAGTAATTAATAAAAATGAAATGAATTCATATTTTGAGCTCGACTTTTATTTTATCAATGCCTGTAAGCGGTCTGTTATGTTTCGTTATTCGCAACCCTGGTTGCTATTGTGTTTTTCAGCACTGTTGTAACTTTTACAACACTTAAACGTTTGACAGATAATGCTGCGAGAGAGTGCACTATATTTGACATAATGACGTGGTGAACTGTGTGAAAAAGAACAATAAATTAGTGATGCCGACACAATTAGTAATCTAATTAATACATTATTTTGTAAACAATAAACTTGCTATAGTTATATATATATGTATTTATATATATATATATATATATATATCATCAGCAGCAGGCATTGATACTTTAAATACACGTTGACAGCTGAGTCGGCACGAAAACAAGCATTTTGTATTAGAAAGAGGAAGGAAGTCGATCAGGTGGAGACGTCGCAGCAAGGCAATGAAATAATTTATACTTAAAGAAGTGATTGTAGTCGTTTTCTTTTTTTTTTGCTTTTTTTTGACGTCGCAATTGCGTCGCCAGCTGCATCAACACATTAACACCAGACTAATAGGGAACATAAAAAATTCAACGTCTACCATTGAGATAGGAAAAGAGCGGGTAGCTGTTTGCGGAGGGGTAGCAGGCGCTACACCAAACTGCGGGCGTAATGATGAACGAAGACAGTACAAGTCCATCGACGTCGACCAGTGGCGGGGGAGGCGTTAAAAAGTTCTTTCTGCGATTATCACAGGTGAGTGAATGGGCGCTAATTTGAAAAAGTTTATAGCATTTATTTTGGTTATCATCTTTGATTGCAGACCTACCAATCGTCACTTGATCGCTCCACGCCGCACACATATATGCGATGGATGTTTGCTGCATTCGTGTTGCTGTTATTTTTGTTGCGAATATTTATTTATGAGGGCTGGTATATTGTGTGTTATGCCCTTGGCATCTATCACTTGAATCTGTTTATTGCCTTTTTGACGCCAAAAATTGACCCAGAATTTGATCCATATGCGCAAGATGATGAAGACGATGGACCGAATTTACCAACGCATAGCAATGAGGAGTTTCGACCATTTATACGGCGACTACCTGAGTTTAAGTTCTGGTTGTCGGTGACGAAAAGCACATTAATTGGTCTGTTTTGCACATTCTTTGACTTTTTCAATGTGCCTGTCTTCTGGCCAATATTAGTGATGTATTTTATTACGCTCTTCTGCATAACAATGAAGCGGCAAATTAAGCATATGATCAAGTACAAGTACTTACCATTCACTCGGAATAAACCACGATATCAGCGTGTCAACGAGGCTGCGGGTGGTGGTCCCAACGTTGGAGTCAACTCAAAGTGACAATTAGCCGCACAGACGCCGGACACACAAGCGACAACATCGGTAACAGCAGGTGCAACAGCAACAGCATCAGCAGTAACAACATCAAATACTGACAACTTAGCCTCAACGGTAGCAGCAAGTTCATCGGCTGCGGGGACGTCAGCGGTTACTGCTAAACCACCGCAAATCATAGCAATTGAGGAATATTAGAAAGTTATATCGAAAACTAAGTAAAAACTCAAACAAATTCATGTAAAACAGACATTTGCAATAATTTCGGGTTCCATCATTGTATTTCAACATAGCATGCTATTTTGTTTATGAGGGCTTCATTTAGTTTTTGATTTATTGATTTTTTACGTTGTCGTGCGGCGTTTTGTGCAAAACATTGTTTATTGTTTATATGATTTCTTTATTATTTTAATATTAATTTATATGCAATTTTTTGTTCCGAAAACAACAGTTCAATATTCTAGCTAACGATAACAATTTAAATTTATGTATTGTACTACCTTTAAATTTTTCAAATCCAAAAAGTAGATTTACGGAATCATAACCCTTTTTTGATTATATACCTTGGCTAGATATGTATTTTTGTTTTACATATATTGTTAGCGTTAACTATACAAAATGTTAGAATATATAACGAACTAAAGAGGGTTTGAACTGGGTGCATCATATGAATAAAATAAAAACGAAACTAAAATAACATGAAAGTCCACATTTAATTTTAGCGCGAAAGTGCATAAATTGGTGCTGCCACTTTATCGTATCGAACATTGACAGCCCTGGTATAACAATTTTAACAAAGGCCGGTCACACTTTTATCCAGCCCTAAAACAGACACCGTTGTTGCGAAACTGCACCACGCAGTGTGTTGTGATAGTTTAAGAAAAATAGTTTCCGACCATTTTTAATTGTTTTTGTTGTACGGCGTCCAAGTAATGCAGCAATGTGCCTTAGCTTTGATGGGCGCTCTTGCTGCTATTGTAACCAAAGTAAACATTTTAACGCCGTTGACGAACCTGTCGCCGACGTCGTCAAAAAATCCAATTAACAGCTAACTCTACATTCAGCTGTTCTAGTAAAAAAAATATACGGCATCCACGTATAATGGCCATAAAAAATGTTCTTAAAGGGCTCACAATACGTCGCCGTCGCCTCATCCTGTATACCATGATCACTTCCATTGTAACAGCCGCTTTAGTAATACCTTCAGTTGACTCGTCAGCATCAGCATTGCCCGAAGAGGCAAGCGAATCGGATCTACAGGCGGCAAAGCCAACTCCTCCTGCAATACCCCACTGTGTGGAGCAACAGGAGCGAAGCATTGGGCGAAGGTAAGAAGAAGCACATACACAGGCATTTTGTTTGTAAGAAGCATTCCTACATACATACATACATATAAATATATGTGTATTTGTTCTCGAAAGTTCGCTAATAAATAGTGCAAGTGAAAAGAAAACGCAGTTAAGAATAATGCACTGCAAACACTATAACTACTTCAGCGAAGGTAGAGCGACTAAGCAATAGTTAAAATTAAACAGTGTAGATATCTAATGTGAATTAATAATATCCTGGCACAAATACAAATCATGTCATATAAATTTGATTGTTGTTCCAGCTTATCAAACCGACGGTGAGTCATGTGCCAAACGCTTAACACTAACTAATTGCCTGTTAACTTGCACACATTAAAATTAATAACAAAACAAATTTTAAAAGAAAATCGCAAATTTTCGCCAGGTTATTAGAACAAATGTTAGCTATGAAACGTGCAAATATAACTTGCCTCATTGACAAAAAGTTCACAACGCTTTAATAAAGCAATTTCGAATTTCACCATTCTTCGGCTTTTGTTGTGCTGTCTGGCAAGACGCTAAGTCTACGTATGTGCCATCTTTAAAGTGAGTGTGTGTGCGTGTGTACGCTTGTTTGCTGCGCGGGCCGAACACTTGTTGACGATTGCCTTTGCTTTGCGCATAATTTTGTTTACGTTTAGGTAGTCCATTGAAAGCGCTCCCGTCTCAGATCATCACCATAGCTGTAACAGTGATGTGAATTTTAATCATTGGCTAGTTCGAGATATAAAGACAACTTTAAAATAATTGGTAGATATAGACTAATTACTAATCAACTAAAGTGTAAAGACTTGTATATTTGACTCTAATTTCTAATTTTCTCTATAGATTATTGTATATCACAACGCTCGATGGTCGCCTCAACGCTTTGGATATTGCAAACTCTGGAAAAAAGAGATGGAGCATAGAAACGGGACCGGGTCCACTTATCTCATCGAGCATTCATCGGCTAGAGCTAACTAATAATGGACAGTTCGTACGCATGATACCATCCCTGAGTGGAGGTATTTATAAATTCGATGGCGATTCCATAGATCCCATACCCATTACTGCAGATCACTTACTTAGCTCTAGCGCTAAGTTTAGTGATGATCTTGTTATCTCCGGCGGTAAGGAGACACGTAACTATGGCGTTTCTGTAAGAACTGGGCAGCTTCTTTACGAGTGCTCCATCAATGGCTGTGTGAATGCTACAAATGAGGAACGTGTCATTAACGATACAGTTAGTGAACAAGATAAAACCGAAAATGGAGAGCACTCAGATGAACAATTACGGGATGAGGATGGTTACATTGTTCCACACAATTCACTTCTGGACGACGTTATCGTGGTGCGTCGCCAGACTCAAACAGTACGCGCTGTCGAATCCCGTACAGGCATAGAACGCTGGAATTTCAGTGTTGGACAGCATGAGCTCAATCTGATTCGAGCCGATGATTGTCACGAGGAGCCGCGCAGTGATATGGAACTGGCTGTATTAGATGTGGATATTAGAGTTGTAGTGCCAGAGGGCATTGTGTGTGCATTCAGCAAGAGTGATCCGCAGGTGATGCTGTGGAAGCACCAGGTGAGTGTACAGAAAACGGAGATACCTTACTTCTTAATGGGTAAATACATAATAGTTGTACAACGTATACATATATAATGTACAATGTATATATACTACATATAATAAATAAGTCGAATTACTTTATTCCACAGTTCAACAATCCCATTGTTAGTGCGTGGCATACAAATGAAGCCGATGAATTGCAGTCCATTGATCTATTTAGTTCTGCACATTGGCAGACTGAACAGCAAGCGGATGGCAAACAGCCTAGCCGTGCACCCTCCATCTATCTGGGCATGTACGAGAAGCAGTTGTACATACAAGAATCCATTCGTTTGCGAGAAGAAATTATGTTTCAGTCGCAGAATTATCCACAGCTGTCGGGTGACACTAGTTTTCTGCCGAGAATACCCTGGCGGCCAATTGCTGCCAGTAAAAACTCGCTAGTGCTATTCCAGGACGAGCGTGATCAAGTAGTCCTGCCAGAGGATTATGGGAATAACGAATTAATTCCATATGACGGTCAAAAGTTGGCAGTGGCAGCGCAGTCAGTCCTGAATGCCTCGGAGTATGTAAATGGCAATGGTTTCTACTTCTACACTGACTCACAGTTGAGGAAGCCAAGTGGTGCGCTGGAATGTGGCGCTAATGATACGCCCAGTAGCTTGCCTGCCATAGAAACACCACCGAGCAGTAACGAACCAGATGGCAAATCCAATGCAGGTGGCGGAAATCAGAGCGTCAATGATGATCTGGGTTTTAGTTTAGATGATATTGACGCCCCTGTTAAAGTTATCATACTCTCGCTGTGGTTTTGGTGGAAGGAGATAGTGGTCATTGCATTTACCTCGGCGGTGTTGCTTAACATGTTTATGGGCCATCGCAATCAGCGTGTAGAACGTGAGTACTTTGTCATTGAAAGGCATGTACCTGTTCAAACTGCCATTGAAGCAACGGAAGCATCTACACAGGCGCTCTTGGGGCCAGTAGTGCCTGTGACTGGAAATAACCACCAACAGCGTGGAAATCGTATCAACGCTTCAAATGTTAGTCGCACACAGCGGTCCATTTCAGAGTCAACAACAAATTCCGGTGAACATTTTACATCCCGCTTTCAATCTGATTTCGATCTATTGCAATGTCTGGGCCGAGGAGGATTCGGTGTGGTTTTTGAGGCAAAGAACAAGTTGGATGAAAATCATTATGCGATTAAACGTATAACGTTGCCCAATAAGGAGTCATCGCGGCAACGTGTGCTGCGTGAGGCGCGGACATTAGCCAGCTGTGAACACCAAAATATAGTGCGATACTTTCATGTATGTCTATATATAGCTTATGTATTTTTAAATTGTATGTATATATATGTATGTATTTTGTTGCAGTCCTGGGTAGAAACACCGCCTGTAGGCTGGCAAGAAGAGGAGGATCGTAAGTTGTTGGCACATGAGCTGTCAACTTCTATACAAATCGAGACTCCTGATGGTAGCACTCTGCCATCTTTTCCAAATCATAAAGATAATAAGCATCATGACCTGATTTCTTGGGTCTCAGATACAGTAAACAGCACTGCCTGTAGCAATGAGTATGGGCGTGGCGATAAATCGCTTAGCCGCAATATAAAATACAACGAAGAAGACGATGATGATGATGATTCGCTTATAGAATTTCGTAGCGAATCACAGTCAGCGGCTCTCCATGCAGATGAAGTAGACATAAGTGAGGTGCAGCCGATACAGTCAAATAACGAAATCCAGCAGAATATAAAACCGAGCTCTGTATCTATTGATGTACACTCTGCGTCTTTTGATTTGAGGAACATAAATTACACGCAGCATCAGCTATCTCATTCATTTCAAATCGAATCGATTCGTTCGAAGGGCAATACCAGCGGCACAGACGAAGACACTGAAGTCTCCCCCAGGCGCAAGCCATTGACTTTGGCGCTACCTAACAATCACAATCAACAAATTCAGCCACAGTCACATAACAACCAGATAGTATTGCCAAATGCTACTATGCAGAACGGAACCACAGTTAAGCCCAATAAGGTTTATCTTTATATACAAATGCAGTTATGTCGCAAGGAGAGTTTGCGCGACTGGCTCCGAGACAATCGCACTGAAGCGCGTGCCTCGCATATCGCTCACATCTTTCACCAGATTGTAGATGCGGTAGACTATGTCCATCTAAAGGGCCTAATACATCGCGATCTTAAGCCTAGCAACATATTTTTCTCCAAAGATGGACAAATCAAGATTGGTGACTTTGGGCTCGTTACTGACATGGCGGATATTCCAAATATCTTAAATGATTGCGGTGATCAATCCGGTTTGCCTTCTTGTGCTCGTCACACGCAATTGGTGGGCACACATCTTTACATGTCGCCAGAGCAGTTACGTGGTCAACACTATGACTATAAAGTGGATATATATTCGCTGGGCTTAATATTTTTTGAGCTTCATGTTTATTTTTCCACTGAAATGGAGCGAATTAAAACGCTTCGTGCCTTAAGGGATGGCCAATATCCTGAGGACTTTGTCATACAACATCCGGAGCAGTATGAGTTGCTTCAAAGAATGCTCTCTTCACAACCAGCTCAGCGTCCGCAAACAAAACAGTTGAAACAGCAACTGCACGACATTCTTCAACTACCTGAACGTCTGGTAGATGGGCACAGCGAACAGGCAGCCATGGAAGAAGCCACGCGTCGGTTGAGTCGTAGCCGCACTTTCAGCACTAACAGCGAACAGCATCAGTGATAAAGACAAAAGCCGGAGGACGTTGGTGTATCAACACATAGTTTTAAGTTAAATTAAGTCATCAACCTTTGATTGTAAGTTATTATTCAGTTTGTTTTAAATCAGAACAATTTTTACACAACGCACGTTGGCTATTCCTTTATCGATTCTACTCTTGAAATGTTTGTCCAGCATTTAACTTGTTTTAAGTTATTCATTTTAGTCATGCTTATTGTAAATTATAGTTATCATTGCTAATTATTGAGCTACGTAATTTGTCTTGTTTTAAACACTAAAGGTACGAAATACGTTGTGTTTAAACAAAATTAACTTCGCAAACAACTAGAACTAAATATAACTAAATAGAACCTAGTTAAACTCCTAATCATTGTAAACTTATTCCGAAGCTGATTTAGTTTGTTATATCAAAGGATTTTAGATTTATCAAAATCAATTGTTTTTTTTTTTAACCGACAAACTGTGTATTCCACAAACTTTTTGTTTTTACGCTAAGTTAAATAAATAAAAATATTTTCAAAAATATTTATTTTCTTGTCGCATCAAAAGAAATTTATTTTCCAATATAATTCGAAATATATAAGCGTGTAACGATAATAGTAGATAATAGATAATAGTTAACTCATATAAAAATAAGTACTTAAATCATACTTAGGCTTTTTATTACTATGTTTCGGATTTTGATTGCGAATAATTGATGAGGGTTGTAAAATGTATTATGCGAAAAGTCTTGTCCAAGTTATAGAAAGGAAGTGCCACATTAATTGAATATTTTCTGAACTGGAAAGAAGTACTATTATATAAGTATCCCATTCACAATTTATTAAATGCCCACAAAATTTGAAAATTGTTTTTTTATTCTATTATTTCATTCTTTTTATTTGGGTTTGCAGTTTTCCAAAAACGTTTTCTACATTGCTAACGGATTAGTCGTTATATATAGGTGCGTCTTAACGCACACAGATTGCAAAAACAATACATACACATGGCATAATATAAGCACATATATAAGTACTAGTACTATAATGATTATTATGTTGAGGCTTCATTTTTCATTGCTTAAAGTTAGTTAGTTGCGGTGTGTGTTTCTCTTTCTCTTTGTCTTTGTCTTTGTATTTGTTTTTGTTTTTGTGTGGGTGTATAGATCTTGTATTAAAAAGGAGTCCAGTTTTGCTCTTTGTTTTTGTTTTTGTAAATACAGGTGTACTCGTATATAAATAACTGTCTTAATTTTAATTGCTAGCACTTAATTATAATTTTATTTTTGAACGCACTAAACAAACAATAAGCGGTTGAAGCATATTGCATTTGATTCGTAAATGTTTTGAATTTAAATGTTCATTTTAAATATAATGTGTTTTAACTACAGGCAACGCGTTGCTTAAATATATGTATAACTCAACCGCAAATGTCCTTGCTGTTGTGTATATTAGTTATAATAGTTATATTAAGTTAGTTGTTTTTGTTTTATTATTTAGTGTGACTCGGTTTTAGCGTATTATATATTCAAAAAAATTAACAGCCATTTTGACGAATTCGTAATCGTTCGAAATCATGAGAGAAAACTCGAACCAAATACATGTATTATACATAGTTTATTATATAAGTACAATACGTATATTTCATACAAATGCTTTGATGTTCGCGTATTCAGGCTTTCTATGAGACAATTTATATAAGAGCTTCGGCGTTGTAGATGTTAAATTTGTGTCTGAATTTTGAGATCTAATGAACACATTTCAACAAGTCAACGTATTTGGCTGCACATTTCTATTAATTATTATAATTGTTAATGCATTTATATTGTTTTTGTGTGTTGTATTGTTTTTTACTTTTCGATTAATGGTACTCATACACTTTAGTTTTTAACTATATTTTAATTATTTGCGTCTTTTTTCTATATTTTTTAAACATATTATTGCCTATGAATTTTACCCTTTACTAAATTCATTTCGAATCGAAATGCAAATTCACATTATCTATATTGATTTGCCTGAACGGTCGATTGAGCACTCAACTTGAGTGGATTCCATATACCAGATTGGCAGTGTGCTCAATTGCCATCAGCATCCATGTATATATTTATATAATAATGTATAGACTGACTAGATTTTGTTTTTTTTTTAAATGTACATACATGTTATGTTATATTGCTGTAAACATTGATCAAATGTAAGTACGTGTAGTGTAGTGTAGTGTATGTTTGCTTTATATAATAACTATATTGCAGTTTACGAAAAATCTTGAAATCTCTATGTACAAAGTCAGACTTGATTGCTTATCTTTCGAGTTTTGTTGAGGTAAAGAAAGAGTTTGGTATAGAGACATAGATTTGTTTTGTGAAAATAGTAAATGTCAGCAATTTTATTGTGGAAACTTAAGAGTTACCTACCTAGTTAGCTAGTCAATATTCTCCGACTACAACAAATTATACATATATTTATTATATATGTTATATATATTCTTTTTTATTTAAATAATAGTTTTTAAATATCTGAATTTGATCTTAACATTCATAATATAAAACAATTGTTTCTTGTGCGTTTTATAAAATTGCAACCTTAATTATATGTTAGTATTAATCGGTTATTAAGAAATAACTTTCGGGTCGCGTTGGTTTTAAGGCTTGATGCTTAAATTATTTTATTTTATTTTATTTTATTTACTCTTCTTCTCAACGAGATCTCGGCTCTGTTCTGCGTCAGTTTGGGTTCGGTATTAATAACAAAGAAATTGTTTTAAGGCAACAATTATTGTTATTATATTTTCTTTTCTTATAATGTTATCTAAAAATACAAAATGACTTTTTTAAAATTTTTAAAAGAAATTAATAAATAAATAGCAAACCTACGAACCTTTCGGACTTTTTCACAATTTATTATGACGTTTACATTAATAATTGCTGCATTAAAACAATTTCTATTACATGAGCGCTTCTTAAAATCATTTAAATATTTTTCATATATTTAATTAGTTACAATTAGAGATGGTTTTTACTTGACTTTAACATATCTATCGTCGTCGTGTGCCTAATAACTAATTCTTGAAATGATCACAACGTTAATGAATTCATATATATGTATATATATATGTGTATATATATATATACACACACATATATATAGTACTATTTTGCTTATAGATAGCTACCGTATAAGTATACCATTTATACTGTTGGATTTTAGGTTTATCGCTGTTGTTTGTGTTAACAATATTATTATTATTTATATACTCATAAAATGTATTGTAAATTATGGTGGGATTATTTACCTATTACGTACAAAAAAGAATATATAACTCAAGCTATGCATTGGCAGCTTTTATTTAATTTCTTTTTCTTTTTATAACAACTGTAACGCTTTTAATTCTCTATTCTTGTAAATGTTGCGGTTATTCAATAAAAATAGTTGCGATTAGCAACTTTGCAATTGTGTGTGCACCAAGAGTTGCGAACGCTGCAGCGAGGAGCTGCAATAAGCAGCGATGCAATGAATGTTGCTTGGCTCACGCTTAGCTTAAATAAAGTAGCGGGCATAATGTTCAAATTATGGCAAACAAAAGCTAACAAAGACAATAGCCAACAATGATAATGGCGAGGACGATGGCGAGGCCGATTGAAAGGGGCAAAGTGTGTCGCGAACTAAATGTGTATATATCTGTATATATATTTATAAATATATACATATATATACATATATATATATATATATATATGTGTGTGTATGATAAAATATGCATCAGCAAGCATCTGAAAGGGACATTCCCAGTTACTGCCTAAGAGAATTCAAAATGACCCCTGCGGCCCAGCTCAACTGAAGACAAGTAAGAGTGCTTTAGTCGCGAGTGACCGACTAGCAGATACCCTGAGCATTCCACTGAGCTACTCTTACATAACACGCCTGAGCATGGGCACAGCTAACTGCACTCTGAATGCGGCAGCCCCTACTATGGGCAATTACTTTTAGAATATGCTCTGTTCAACAACTATGATATTAATGAATTTAGGGAATAGTGAAAATAGTTTAGTGCTCTCGAATGTGTGTTCATGATTCCAATTTTTAAGAAAAGTCTTGGTAATCTTGCGGGTTACAATATATGTATATGTAAATATGTGTATATATATTTGTTGTTCTAGTGGTAAAAGATTTCGAAAAAAATATTTGTACTGTATGCAAAGAATATATATTTCAAGCTGCTTCAGTTACTGCATTCGCTGCATTCAGATGGACACACATACAGCCCAGATGAACTCAGCTCCTCGTCCTGATCAAGATTATACTTTCTGCCTGTTGCTTACGTTCGCACATTAACATTATATCCTTTTCAGCCATTTTCAAAAGGTTGAGGGTACAAAAAACAAACTCACTTGGGTATTATGCGTTCGAATAAAGTGTTTGCTTAAAAAACGAATGCAGCATTTGCTACAGTATTGTACAGCGTCCTTTATTCCTAGTTGATTGTGAGAATTCAGTGCCAACAAGAACGCCGACAGCTGCGCCATTGACGCCTCCGCTGCTACAGCCCATTAGCTCTCGAAAAACGTCGCCGATTTTGTAGTTGTATCTGGGAAGCAGAAAATATAATTTACATATTTTCTAATGGTCAATATTTGCATTTGCAGAAGGTGTGCTAAAAATACAGCTACTCACTGTGCCGAGCACTCTACGTATCCACAACGCCAATGCTTACGCACCAGCGTAGAAATGTCTTTAAGCTCCTGAAACAATTTTAGAAATATATTTATTTATTTAGTGTATTTCATATATTTTGAGTACAAGCAAAACTATATTCAAAAATTATTTAATTCTTTAACAAAAAAATTAACTAAACTATTACTTAAAAACTTTGGATTCAAAACATGAAATTTTTCATGGATTGTTTGGTAAGAATAAATGTTTTTTAAAGGTGCTAAATAAAAAAATAATATAAAAATTATATAAAATTATATACTCATTATATATTCAAGACTTGTAGCTACCTGCGAGTTAGCCTGCGCCTCAGAGACATTATCATATTTATTGCCCACCACAATTATGCTAAAATCACGATGACTGAAACTATCCAAGATTTGATCTCTTATGGAGCGGCAGTACTGCAAAAAGGATGTTGTTAAATATTTGTTTGCAGTTCAATTTGATATTTTTGTTTCTGTACCTGAAACGTTTCCAGATTACCCATGTCATAGACTAACACATAGGCGTGCACTGTTCGCAGCCCCAGCGGATGTCCATTATTCCATTCAGCAAAGTTGTCAGCTGGAAATCGCTTCTGGCAAGGTTCCCATGCCAATTTGTTAAGTGTTTGTTTTTCATCAGTGTCGTCGCAATATGTAGGACATGAAACATGTTTGCAGCCACATACATATATACGTGTTGAGTATGTGTTCGTGAGCCATAAACAAAGAGCAAATAGCGATTTAATATGTAGAGCATTATATAATATTAAAGAATAAATAATGACACGTATAGTACATGCAGAAATATAATGTATATAGGCTTTTACAGATTTGCATATAGATAAGCTTTACTATACTTTGTGAAATTGTTACATACGTTATTTCAGATCTCTACCTTAGACTATGCTTCAAGGCAAGAATGAATTTATTTATTTCTGCTCTGGAACTGTGGCGTGAGTAAATCTCTGCGACGTTTCGTAATATTATTTATTATTATATAAACAAGATTAAAAATCAATTTACTGTGCAGCATTTTAGAATGGAAGCAAAGCCAAATAAAAATATTGGCCAACAGCTTAAGCTAAGACCATGCGCCTTGGCGCCATTCCGTTTCTCCATCCATTCAGAGTGCGAACCCTGCCAGCCATCCATTTACCCCCATTTGTCTACTTGTGTCTGCTTGTGTCTACTGGCAGACAGCCAGTCGACGTTGCCTTCGTGGGTGGAAAGTTTGTTAGATTTACGTTTTTGATTAAATTTCCTTTCATTTGCGCATTTCCCACTGAACTTTTTCAATTGTTTTCCTCGATTTTTGCTAATTAAGGATCGTATTGGCATGAAACGAGACAGCTTTCCAGCTGTCGAATCCTTATTGCAGGCCAACATGCCTGTAGTTGCCGTATTGTCCTTAAACCTGTCTAAACAGCTCTGTGATTAGCTTTCGCTCTTACTTTTTTATTGTTTTTTTTTGTGATTATTTTGGAAATTGTTTTGAAAATGCCTGAACTTCGAAACTCAGACCCATAATTTTTAACAGTTTTTTTTTTATTGTTTTGCAGGATATTATTTTATATTGTAGCGTTCGGTAAACAGCCAGTAGCTGTGTGTGTGTGATGGTGGGATGATGTAAGTATGTATAAATAAAAAATGTGCGCTTGAGAACAAAATGCTGTTAACACAATTGGATGGCATTAGAGTGGACTTTGAGTAATAACTGGCCATCATTGACGATGACAAATGTTGCACAACAAACGGTACTCGGCTCTTGAAGGCTGTTCACGTGACTTCCAAGCCTCTATCTAGGACACCTCACAGCAAACTATTTCGTCAACACAATGAGCATAAAAAGTTGAAAACAGAAAGTGTCCAAAAACAAATACTCAACAAAAGAATAACAATCTGGTTTGCGTGGGGACGTTGGAATGCCCTTACATGAGTACCAGAGGAGTATATTAGTTGGAGTTGGGGCATTTTTTCAAATGGAATGAATGCTATGGAAACTATAAGCAGTACTTTTTCAAGTGTCAATATATCCTTAAAAATATGCACTATGCCATGCCCAGTTGAAGAGTATGGAAATGGGTTCACGCCAAATTTGACATGAATATATTGAAAGCCATTGAAACCTGGCAACCTCAACAAAAGCTGGTTAGTGGACGGGTGGCTGGAGTGGGATTCTTTCATATGTTATAAGTTGTAATCATGACAAAAGTGAATGGACAATTGAAAAGCAACTGCCAACTGCCAAATTGACCTTTTTGTGATTTGTGCGCCATGTTTTATTTTTCTATAAAATAACTTTCATATAATCAGCATCATAATCATAGTTATATCGTCATTACTACCATTCTCAATAATTTTAACATTTTCATTATATATTTTACGATCACAATTATTTTATTATTTTCATCATTATTATCATTATCATTATCAATATTATTATTAAGTAATTTTTTTTTCATTATCAATGTTTAAATATTTTTTTAGTTACGAAAAGTTCTCGAGAGGCCCACTGTGCTGCATAGCAACCAGCAGCAGACTCGTCCTTTCATAGGTTACACAATTTCACTTGAAACACTGGAAAGTTCGTGAGGTCTTTCAGTGCTTTGATACTCATTGACATAGTGACAAGGACATATAGGTTGTGTGTATTGAGTAATAGGAATACATTGAGGGCGGCCAGGCAGACAGCCGTAGGTGAATTGCCTTAGCTGCTGCACACTGTCTGTTACACATATTTGCACACAGTTATTATGCCTTTTTGTTTCACTCACCTGGGGAGGAACGTCCAGTACCATCAGCTCCCGTATGCAGGTGTCGCAGACCAAACAGTTTTTATAAATTTTGCGATGAGTTGTCGTTTGATGAGTCTTGGGGAAGTCATGGTAAAAAAATTGCTATAAAGTAAACATGAAAGGTAATTGTCAGTAAACCCACGTTTTTATCTTTTTAGCTAGAACTATAATGCAAAATTTTCCGTGGTTAAACAATACTGAAAATTAAAAAAATAAGTTAATAGTAAAATGCGCAAAGCTTCAATCTTGAATGGCAAATGGCACGCGCTGTGGAATGGCATCCATATTAAATCGCGCAAAGCAGCCCCATGGTCATAAACGTAAAACTTGATTCAATTACCGGGTCAATAAAAACGAAGCTCAAGGATATGCGGTGGAACATAAAAGCGACGAGACGAGCTCTGCTGCACTTGACGTACCTAGCTACTCTCCTTTATATGTGCATGTATTTATGTTAGTGTGCTAATAGAGTATAAAATGCGCATAATATACATTTAAATTGCTGTCCGACTTGGTATGGGAAAAGGAATCAAGGCATGTCCGGGCGTGCTGGCATTTGATTTCCTTTTTAATTTCAATCAGTTGACACAGCTGAAACAGCTGACTTAAAGATTTCTCGTGTATTTAATAAAACTTCCTTTCACTCTGAACAGATTAGAATCATGTATCTCAGCGTGAAGAGCGACAGTGGCCGCAGGTTATGGCAGATAGCTCAGGAGCAGCTGGCTGTTATTATCAAGCAGGTTTGAGATAATACTACCACGAGGAGAAGCACTCGTATATTTATCGTCAAAGATATTAAAAGCTAAAAGCTACATTAATATTTAAATACAGTTATTTTACCCTGCTTAAGTATTTTAAATGGAAGGACGGTGTGAAGTATGCGGCAACAAGCAAAAGTGAACAATTTAAAGTGCTCTAGTGCTGCAGCACTGAATCCTCTGGTACTTCAATAATTCATACTCCATACACACAGACATTAAAGACCACATGCACATGCAGGACAATAGCTAAGGAAGGTTTTACGGGCAAGTAAATGCAGCTACTTCCTGGAGTTGCGTGACTCTGCCAAAACTAACTTTGCCGCGAGCAAGCGCTGCTTACTTAAAACATGGAGCAAAGACCTATTATAGAATTACATGTATGGATCAGATAGTCACATTAGTCAATACGAATCAATAAGCGCTCATATCGATGACAGACCTGAAGGCGCTGAAATTGTAGCCTTAATAGAGAAGTAGCTCAGAGATGCAGAGGATATATATAATGGGAGTATTTAAGAGAGCATTTAAGTACCTTCGAGTCAATTGCTATTCGACTCTTGGATGACGCTGCACTGCTTATGGGCATTTAGTCATCGCGGATGAACAGCGCAATAGAGCTAATACCCACAGTGTCTTGCTGCACACAGTAAGCAAAGAAAGTGGAATTACTTATATAAAATAATGCTGGACATACGCTAATCACAGAACTGAGCTATGGATAAGTCGCAAGTAAGGCGATATAAACTTTAATATGGCACAGACACTCCCTCTCCACGTTTGATAAGAGGAGCAGAGTTTGGTGGAGAACGCAAAACATGTCATGGTGGAGTAAGGACGATTTGTGGAGGAGAGATTTCAGCAAGAACTCAGAATCTGATGTCCTTAATCATTGTAGAGTTCCGTAGAATAAAATGGGGCAGGATTACTTATTCAATCGCGATCAGTCGTTCGACCTGTAAAGACGTGAATTCGAACAGCCTTCGCTTAAGCTCTACTGCTGCAGAGTTCTAAAAATAGAACTTTGCGGTGCATTCTTCAACGCAACAGCAACAAAAACCGCACACGCAGCGTTTTCTTATCGCTTGCTTCCGCGTAACTCAATTGCTTTAATTGTAATTTACGAAATTTCGTCGCTTGGCGCGAGTGCGCCTGCACTCAAAAGCACAATCCGCGATGACATCTAATGTCAATGACCGCGCTACAGCTGTAAAGGTAAATGCAGAAATGCAAGCCCAGCTTAACGTTGTGATGGCAAATAGGCAAGCCTCCATCATGCCAATAAACTCAAAAATAGATATCGCCTCCGTGCAAGGCATCACTAACAACAAAAACACGAAACGTAAACAGCCAAATTCACCAAAAACCATCAAGAAAAGGCTCATCTTCGACGAACCAAGCACCAGCAATGCAGCATTAATATCAGAAAATCGATTTTCACTGCTCGTAGAAGAAGATGAAGACTACAGCGAATCACCTGTAGCTCCAGAAGCCCCAGTATTGACCGACCAGCAAACTACACCGAAACCTCGTCCGCCCCCCATATGGTGTCCAAACATCAAGTCTGTGGCCCTACTTCAACAGATAATAGATAAAGTAATTGATGCTAAATCATACGTAATTAAGCCAAAGAAGAATAACATAGGTGTATTAACCCAATGCAGTGAGGACTATCGCAGAGTTATAGACCACTTTACTAAGCTGGAATTGGAGTTCCACTGCTACCAGCTTAAGGAGGACAAACCATATAGAGTCGTGTTCAAAGGGCTTCACTCCAGCACTGATACAACACTAATTAAAAAGGAATTGGAAACCAAAGGCCACACAATTACAAATGTGCACAACCCACTGAGCCGTATGGACAAAACACCGCTAAATATATTTTTTGTTGACGTGGCTCAGGCCCCCAACAACAAAGAAATTTTGGACATTCGAGTTGTCTGCAGGCAACGCTGCACAGTGGAACTGCCAAGAAGATACAACGACCTGACACAATGCCATCGCTGTCAAGAATTTGGACACACACAACGCTACTGCCACAAAGCTCCCAGGTGTGTGCGTTGCGCCGGGAAACACGCATCCAAAGACTGCACCCGCGAAAAGGACCAGGCACCAACTTGTGTGCACTGTGAGTTACAGCACCCAGCCAACTATAAGGGCTGCCAAGTATACAAGCGGTTGCGCAAATTGCAATCCCCAGCACAAAAAAGGAGTCCCACACAAACACCGTCTACGGGTCCGAGTACTGCTTCCGAAATTACAAGGCCCCGGAGCATTACCCAAGCCACGAGCTTTGCAACGCCTATTAGTGGTGTTTCTTACGCACAGGCCGCTAGAGGTGGACCGTCAAATAAGAATACCACAAGTGACACTTTGTTCACTGAAATGCTTCAGCAACAACAACGTCAGTTTGACGCAATTAATGCCGAGCTCAAAGCGATGCGAGAAGTACAATCCCAACAAGCAACCATGCTAAACAGTTTAATGGCCATCATAACCAAGCTTGCCTACAAATAATGGCTTTACGTGTGGGTATCTGGAACGCCAATGGCCTGAGAAACAAGACTCAGGAACTGGCTGCGTTTCTCTCACAAGAAAACATAGATATAATGTTAATAACAGAAACTCATGAGTGCCCCACTACACAAATTTTCGGATACGAACACTATCAGGCTCATGGTGAAGGAGCAAACTGCTTTGGTGGATCCTCAATCCTCATACGAGCAACAATACCGCATACACCTTTACTGTCAATTTGCAACGCAACAATGCAGGTCTCAGCCATCACCCTGCCTACGTCTATTGGAGCGATCGAAGTTGCGTCAATTTATCTTCCGCCAAACACTGGTCTGTGTGATCATCACATGGAACAGGTTCTAGGCCAAAGGTTGAATAAGACCCTCATCGGCGGCGACTGGAATGGATGGCACCCATTTTGGGGAAGCAATAGTGCGAATCGTCGCGGAGAAGTCATATTTGAGGCGATTCAAAACTTACAATTCAGCATATTGGCGACTGGAGCCCCCACCCGTTACCCAATTAATGGACACAGGCCCTCGGCAATCGACTTCGCTGTCTACAAAGGCATCTGTGACCGGCAATTGACCATTGAAGAATCCTTGGACCTATCCTCTGACCACCTGCCACTAATAGTCACAATCCACGCGCAGCCACAGCCCTTGCCCATTAGGAAACAACTACTGCCAGCAGGATCAGATTTAGGAGTCTTTAGGCGCGAGCTCCATTACTCTTTGCACATAGAAATGGAACTTAACACTCCTGAAGACGTGGACTACGCAGCAAACAAACTGCAGGAAGAAATAGTCAAAGCTGCGCACCAAGCCGCCCCACCATCTTGCCAAACAAGACAACAGTCTCCGTACAACATCCCCCTCACCTTGGAGGCCCAACACCTACTAATACACAAAAGATGGGCCAGGAGACGCTGGTTAAGATTACGCACGCCTGATGCCAAATCCACGTACAACGAAGCCACGAGGCATCTTAAAGCTGCTCTCGCCCTGCTTCAAAAGAGGTGTATCAGCGATGCGCTGGTACGAGCTGAATCGCCCACTGACGCAGAGTTTCAATTATGGAAATTTACAAGAAAGCTCAAACGGCAGCCAATTCGGAGCATTTCTGGTTCCTGGCACATTGGTGACGAAGCTCAAGCTGAGGCTTTTGCAAACCACCTTCAAGACCAATTCACGCCGGTGATTACCGCAGAGGCCTCAGAAATCGAAGCAACAGAAGACATCGTTCTCTCGCCCCTCCCAGCTGAAGACCAGATAACTGGATGTACAAAAGAAGAGGTTCTTGAACACATCAGAAGAGTGAAGGCAAAAAAATCCCCTGGATATGATCTAATAAACGGCAGAGTCCTTAGAGCACTGCCTGACTCCACCATAGACTACATAACTATGGTGTACAACGCCATGCTCCGCATCCGGCACTTTCCAGCCTGCTGGAAGCGCGCCGTGATTGTGATGATTCCTAAGCCTGGCAAACCCGTGGGAGAAATTGAGTCGTACAGACCAATTAGCCTGTTGCCAGTACTCTCCAAAATATTCGAAAGAATATTTCTGGAACGAGTACTGACACATCTGGGACGCCAGGAGGCCATTCCAAACCATCAGTTTGGCTTCAGGAGACAGCATGGAACACCGGAACAGGTTCACAGAGTTGTGCACCATATCCTTGGAGCCTTTGAAGAAAAGATGTACTGCTCTGCCGTCTTTTTAGACATCAAACAGGCGTTTGATCGAGTTTGGCACCTGGGACTGCTGCAGAAAGTGAGGACCACCCTTCCAGCCCCATTTTTCGCGTTGCTATCCTCATACCTTATTGGAAGAACCTTCCAAGTGTCAAGGGGGCAAGCAGTATCCTTGACTAGACCAATTATGGCTGGAGTACCACAGGGTAGTGTTCTAGGCCCAACACTTTATACTTTATTCACAGGAGATATGCCAACTCCCGAGCCAAATATAGGAAGTACAGATGCAGTACTCATAGCGACCTATGCAGATGACACCGCCATCTTATCACGTCACGTATCTGCGCAAGAAGCTTCAGACTCACTACAAAAATATCTGGACTCTTTCGGACGCTGGGCAAAACGGTGGTGTATCACCATTAATGCACAAAAGTCTGTACATACTACCTTCGCCACTAGAAGAGGAGATTGCCCAAGCGTTGCATTGGGGCCCACTATTCCCAAAGCCTCAAAAGTAAAGTACCTTGGTATCACTCTTGACAGAAGGCTGACTTTTAAAGCGCACATAAGTCAAGTAACCTCAAAATGCAAAAGCAAGCTAAAAACCCTCGACTGGATGCTGAGAGCTTCAAGCAAGTTGTCTTACAGCAGCAAGGCCGCCATCTACAAGGCAATAGTTGTCCCAACCTTCGTATATGGTATCTCTCTATGGGGCTCCTCGGCGAAGACTACAAGGAACAAAATTCAGACCCTGCAGAATAAAGCACTACGCAGATGGACTGGAGCCAGCTGGTTTGTAAGAAACTCAGTCTTACATAGGGATTTAGCAATTCCCACAGTTGCTGAACTCATTGGGCGACACAGTTCAAGATACGCGGACAGACTTGCAGCGCATCCTAACCATCTCGCAAGCAACCTGGCTATAAACAACAATAGGCGAAGACTGAAGAGATTGCATCCTCTAGACAATATAAGAACTAATTAAGATAGTAGCTACAAGTGCAGAATAATTGGCATATCTGCCCTCCCATTAGTTAAGGTTTAGAGCTAAATGCGCTATAGAGTCTAAGACAATAAGCTGCAACAAAATAAAGAAAAAAAAAAAAAAAAAAAAAAAAAAAAAAAAAAAAAAAAAAAAAAAAAAAAAAAAAAAAAAAAAAAAAAAAAAAAAAAAAAAGGATTACTTATTAGGGCATATTTATGTAATCCAAATATGTGTATTTGCTGAAGCTCAAGAATTCAACTAGTTTTAAATGGGCGCAATGGACTGACGACCCCAGGTGGAAATAATCGTATTTATTACGTTTACGTGACTCTAACTTATCTAATATTTAACAAGACATCGATTTAAATAGATATTAAGGTAACGAGGTGGGGTTTTTTACTGAGTACCTTATACAAACGTTTCTAAATTTTCTGTTCTTAATTTGTTACACACATAAAAAATATTCACAAATCTTTGCCTAACTCATTGAGTATTATAAAAGATCTACAAATTTAATATATGAAATATATAATCTTTTTTTATGTTTTATATTTAATTTTGTTTCCCTTTGGCATATTTGTGGCTATGTCGATACGGGAGCACGCAACGTCATTTGAATCTAAGCCACAGAGTTCCAAATTACTTGAGCCTTATTGATGGTGGCTGTAAACGTCAATCAACTTGGGTTAAATTCAAATCGTGTTTCGTTAGCTGATCACTGGAGCGAGGACGAGAGCACAAATATACATTTGCAAGGCTAAAATCGTTGGTTCCACTGCATTGATCAAGTCTTTCTTAGCTTAACTGAGTAATATTCCACAAAATTCACATCTATTTTGTTGTTCAAAACTGTCGATGAATAGTTGACTTCTATGTTATATCGCCAGTTTGACTGCTGGAATTATTTAAATTATCTATTTGATAAAAGTCTTAGCTCGTTCACTGAGACAATCCTGAGCTCTAGGAACAGTTTGAAGCGTAGCAAATAGTTTTTCGCTTCTGATTTTATATTGAATTGACTTTTCATGAATTTTATATATCTATTTGGTTAAACAAAAATTCAATTTTTGGATTTAGATAACAATTAGTTACATTCCTGTCGGGCGCATAGCACAAATGCAGTAACATTTTCAAAACATAATATTTTCGCTTTATTTATAAGTCTATAGATGCAGGACCTCATATGTTAGCTATGTATAAAATCAAGAATATAATGCAAACGAATTCGAATTTAATATTTCAAATCTCCAGCTTATTTACTAAAATAATATTGCTCAGTGTTAAAAGATATGACAGTCTTACTGCGCATCTAGAGGGCGTATCCATTATATTAATTGAGGTTATTAAGAACTATATGTATGTTCCAAGTGTCCAGTCCCAAGCTTTAATAGCGGCAAAATGCTTTGTGTGAATGCAGACAGATGGACGGTGCACAGAGCCGCCAATTTTTTTCTTTTCGTGAACGAGTATAACACAAGTAAACGTGCTCTAGTCGGGACTGCTCGACTAGAAGATACCCTTCAATCATTTTACTTTGTATTCAACTTTACTATCTGAAATAAAGTGTTGCATAACTTTTAGTGGCATCAAGATGTGCCTTCTGCTGCCATTATACCCTGAATTTATATTTTCAAAGGAGTCAGGGCATTTGATGTGGACAGTCTCGGTGTCCTATATATTTTATATGGAAAATTGATTTTTGCTATAACATTTTAACAAACAGGTGAGCAGGCAAACAGGTCCTTTTGCGCAGGGCAAACAGTGAAACCCGAGTCCTGCCTACACCCAACAATGGTTCTCCCTTATCTAATTATAACTTTTAAGCCACACAAACCTGAAATGCAGCGATGTGACGCATCGGCGAAGCGGAAATCGAATTAGCGGTTCTTCCACATTCAAATGCATTTAAATTTCATTACATTAGCGAAACAGAGGGAGCGAGAGAGAGGGATAGGGAGAGCGAGAGAGTTGGTGGTTCAGGCTGCGCGGTAGATGTGGACGTTAATTAAATGTTTAACCCCCTCATAAACAACGTAGTTTTAATGAGACCGAATTAAGTCTGAAAAAGCTTGTTACATAAAATGCCAAAAATACTTGATATTGGAATGTTTTCCAATTAAGCTTGGGAATGTATGCTCATTTAGTTTGCGTGCACTTGTTTCTGTATCTTTGTATTACGCATTAATAGGTTACCTGTAGTATGCTTGTTTTGCCGACGCCAGAAGCCCCCAAAAATGCTGCTTTAAGGGGGCCCTGCAGCCATGGGGGCTCCGCACCACCCTCCAGAGTGATACGCTATGCCGAAATGCACTTGTTTTGTATATGTATCTCCATTTCAATTGAGATTTTTGTTGTTTTTGCTGGTGTTGTTGTTGTTGTTGCTGTTGCTGCTGCTGCCTTTTGTTGCGATTTCGCTGTTGCTCCTTTAATAGCTGCTCCTGCTGTTTTATTATTGAATAGTCCTGCTGCTGCTGTTGCTGTTGCTGTTGCTGTTGTTGTTTTCGCACTATCACCGACATAATCAACGCTTCTTGTACTACCGATCAATAGCTTCTTAGAATTTGTTGGCGATATTGTACTACTCCACATTATATTGCTATTGTAATTGCAAATATTGTCGTTATTCCGCTTGAACGACGCCAGTTTGCTTTCTTTATTTATAATATCTTAGACAATTAAATATATTTAATTAATTATCGTTTTAGTCCAACTTTTGGCTGTTGGACAAAAAGGCATAGCTTCAATATGTATTGCCTCTTTGGGAGTCCAAATACATTCTGAAAGATGGATGAATAAATTTTAGTAATTAAAATATGATTGTTAAAGTCTTAGCAGGTATAAATAAAAATTAATTTGCATTTGACAAGCTACTGCTAAATTCCTTGCAACACATCTTAGACAGTTGACAATTAGTCCGCCAAGGTATTAGAACTAAAGTCGAGCTGAACCTATGCCCTTCTGAAATTTTATTAATATACAAGCAAGCGGCTTGATATCATCCTTAACATCCCTACACTCTAGTCAGATTATTTTATTTTCCTTCACTTGCTCCATCTGTTCTGTCTTATATTAAGCACACTAAGAATAAGTAAGAAAGTGGAAGAAATACCTTAACAATATTTATTCTAGAAATTGGTTCAATATTTCAGTTGTACTGATATATAAGTAAATATGTATATAAAAAACCGCTCAAGCTGACTTCTAGTCGGAAAGTCTTGACTAGTCCACACGGAATGTTTGAGTTTTGTATTTACATCATTTCAACTAAACTCAGCTGCCAAAGCATTCTGCAATGCATTTTATAGCTAATTTAGCATTTTTGTAAAGTTCTGTGGGTTGGTGGGCGCAAGCAGAAGAACTTTTTGCAGTTCCTGCAAATAATGTGTTCTCACTCAACAGCAATAATACTAAAGTCAATAAAAATGTGGACTAAACTTTTAAGCGGGTTTTAAGTTAGCGCAATGATTATTCAGATAATCATTATAACTGTCGTTTGGTTTGAAGTCTTCCGTTGCTTTTTAAGGAACTTCTGTTTTAGTGTTAGAAAGTGTTCAATAAATATTGAAGTTGTACAAATAAAAAGCAAAAATCTCATGAGAAGCTCTTGAAAAATATTATCCAGCAGCTATGTTGTGCGAGGGACTCGTATATTCATGGAGTGAAATTGTTTTCGTGGAAGGACTTTAGCCCAGGCTCATATCACAAACTCAACGATGCTTGAGCTAATGTCAACAAATAAGAAGTCCCAACTGGTTTTATTTTACCAGCCGAAAAACGACCCCCACCTCCAGCATGAGCTCTGGGCAAGAAAGCGGTATGAAATTAGTTTATGCAAAATTCAATCATTTAAATTCAAGCCAGATGACTCGGTTCTCAGCCTGTGTCGTGCACGAGCTGATATGTGCACCCGTTCAATTCACACTGCCTCTAGTGTATACTGAATTTGGGGCTTATATATTTATAATACACGTAAGAGTAGGGTGTGCCTGACTCTAATATACCCTGAACACTGGCAGAAAACTTTACAAAATGGATCAAAATCAGCAGGGACGCACGTTTTAGGTCTTCAGTATTCATGAGCTGACGGATAGAGAGACAGTTGGACAGGAATAAATCGATTCTAAATCGACTCAGCTATCGGTCTGAATCAACAATTTAGATCATCCAATGCTCTCTCTGACTCTTCCATATCCTTTAACAAAGTATTTCAATTTCTAACAATTTCATTGCCGATTGGCCCACTAAATTGAGATGCTTAAAGAAGCTCGAATGGCTTAAACAACCACAAAACATTTACATTTAGGACATTTATAAATACTGTGGGATTAGCATTTCTAAATATTCGTAGAGGGAAATGCTGGAATCGTATTGAGCATGCCAAATGCTTTTCGCCCTACGCTTAGCGATATTAAATTTTAGTTGCTGTTTTAGAATTTTAATATGTCTAAGCTGTTGCCGGCAGCCACAACAAGTGTGCACTTGGAGGGGACTCCAAGTTGGAGGAGCTGTGAAGGCATACCTACGGAAAGTGTCTAAATTGCCGAAACGCGTCGAAATTATGCTGATGTGGTACGTGACCGGATAGCGTTCCACAAATTGAATGTGTATTAAAAAATGGCTGGTTTAAAAATTAGGTAGACAAAATGTGTAGTTCAGCTTTGGGCACGTCTTTAAAAATATGTATTGAGAGCTGTTCATAGTAGATACGAGAGTGAGTGGCAGAGAGAGAGAGAGAGAGACAGAGAGAGAGAGAGAGAGAGAGAGAGAGCTTGTTAGTTTATCCCTGTATGCGATGTGGGATGTGTATAGTCGCAGCTGCTGTGAATGTAGTGGGAGCTTTTCAATTTGTGATCCATAAATCAGCGCGCAGATTACATCCGGACTCGCAGCATGGCTAGGCCTGCCATCCTAATTGCTTTCACGAATCAGAATCGTAAATTGCGTATTAAAATTGTCAAAGTAGTAGTTTATTTTTAATTTATTATATGAGAGAAGGCTTATGTGGCGTGATTATCTGCCCAGAATTTTGTTGGGCCCTGAATGGGACTTAGTAGAATAACAGAGCAATGCACTGTGACATTTGTGTTATTTTTTCTATGGTATTATAAAAGTCTGTAGTAGAAACACAGTATACCCTTGACTTTATGGTTTTTTGCAGTATATATTATTTTTTTGTAATATTGACATAATATATTTCCACACAAGTCATGCAAGCGACACTTTAAATACATTCCCTTAACATCTAGCGAAGACCCAGCCGAGCACGAGAGGATGGCACAAGTAAGATATCCAAATGAAAATCAATGTTGGCTACTTGGATATCAAAATCCACACTACACTTTACATGTCAGCTGTTACAGCCGCAAGTAAAATCTGCCAAGTCCTCGAAGCGTGGTGGTCTACGGGACATTATTGTTGGTGGCAAGTATCGGCTTTTGAGTCCAATTGGGAGCGGATCCTTTGGGGAGCTATATCGTGCCTCTGGCCTACACTGCGGCGAAGAAGTGGCTGTTAAGCTGGAGAGCAGTTCAGTCAAGTATCCACAGCTGCCGCGTGAAGCCAAGATATACAATATACTTAGAGGCGGCGTTGGCTTCCCGCACATTCGTTACTTCGGCACCGAGGGCATCTATAATGTGCTGGTGTTGGACTTATTGGGTCCTACCTTGGAAGATCTGCTTAACTTTTGCGCGCGAAACTTTAGTCTAAAGACGACCCTAATGCTGGCGGATCAAATTCTGGCCCGCGTGGAATATTTGCATATGAATTGTCTGTTGCATCGCGACATCAAGCCCGAGAACTTTCTAATGGGCTTGGGCAGTCAGCGAACTCGTGTTTTCATGATTGATTTTGGCCTAGCCAAAAGATATTATCGCCCGAGCACCCGTACACATATCAACTACTATGAACGCCACGAGCTCATAGGCACTGCTCGATACGCCTCTGTGCATGCCCATTACGCGGAACAGGGGAGACGAGATGATCTGGAGTCCGTTGGTTATCTGTTGCTCTACTTTTTGCGTGGTCGCCTGCCTTGGCAGGGTATCAATGCTGCCACGCGAATTCAGAAGTATGAGAAAATCGCCGAGAGCAAGTCAACGCTGCCATTAAATATACTTTGTTCCGGTGTGCCCACCGAATTTTACATGTACATGAAATATTGTCGCAGCTTGCACTTTACTGAGCAACCCGATTACGTATATTTGCGACAGCTCTTTAAGGTTTTATTTCGAAATCACTTTTTGCTCTATGACTATCTCTATGATTGGGTCGATATTAACTTGGAGATGGCTCATAGTAAACGCATATTGGCGCAGCAACATGGAAAAGATCGAAATCAAAAAAAGGTGAATAATGTGCACGTGGAGGAGGAGGAGGAGGAGGAGGACGACGAGGACGCGGACGACGACGGCGATGATGACAATGACAATGACGACGACGACGAGGAGGAGGAGGAGGAGGAGGATGAAGATGAGGACGATGACGAGGATGAGATGGAACAACGTAGGCAGATCCCAAAACGTTACCATCAAAAAAAAAAACCAAAAAAATAATTAGACCACTGCGAGGAGCAATGCGTTATCCGTTAAATCTTTACTATATATTGGCATGCATTCATCATTTATTATTTTTATGTGTTTGTAAACATGTGTGAGTAGGTATACGTGTGCGAGGTATACCCTCTATATCTACCAATTGCATTGGCATCATTGACAAATATTAGAATAGTCGATGTGTTTAAACTAACTTTAAGTGTGAAGCGCTTCTTTGCTTTCGTGGAAGCAATATCTGGATTGTGTTCTTTTTGTGTGCACAGAGGTTTGCGCGTTGCGGTTTTAATATAAGTTCAGTTGTAATATCGTATATATATATATATATATTTCTTTAAATTATTAAAGAGGTTAATCGGACTACTTTTACTTGACAGGGTCAATTTGAATCGAAAAATGGGATAGGCCAACGTGTTGCCATGCCTTGAAAATGGGAAACAAGTGTAATTGGCAAAACATGTTGATAAAAGGGTTAATTAGAAGAGGAACGAACCATCTGTGAACGCCGGCAGAAATGTATGGAGAAAGGAGGTCAGCCAAGACAAGACAAGACAAGGCAAGGCAAAGTATGCTTATTCGCGTTGTAATAATGCGGACTGGAGCACACTTTCTCCATACAGAGCCACATATGTACGTATACACCACACACACATCCATCCACACACACGCACACACACACACTTAGACTTACACACAAATGGCAACTTAACTATTTTCTGCCCCAAAGCGATGCTGCTAAGCTCTTCTCGCGTGGGTGGGTGAATGAGAGTAAATCTAAAAATAACTTCCTGGCAACACGTACTGCCGCCCACGCGCGTTGCTACTCTGTCTTTGTGTTTGCGCCTGGCTGAGCAGGGAGCTTGCGACTTACCCGAAACCAAATCCCTCAAATGCCACATATCAAATCCGTAAAATTACCGCGTGCTGATGCTTGCCTAATGGCACCCGCTGCACATACACCCAGCCGCCTACCCACGCACTATAGTGCGATGAAGCATAATAATATTCGGTTTCCATTTAATTTTGGCTATCGATAAAGCTTTTGCCACGAAGACTACAAATTTTGATTCTATTTATAAGCCAAACAAGCAAGACACATATCAGCCAATAAGCCGACTCTAAATGACCCTTATATTGCAGCCTTAATAAATAATGATGATTTGCAAGTCTGTAAGAACGAGCTGGGATAACGCACATACATGACATCATTTTCCATTATTTAAATTATTATATACAGTTGAAACAAAGGTTTATTAATTTATTGTATTATTAAGCAGATTTCGAGTTATTAGGCCAATTGAGGCTTAATTTAAATTTAATTCTGGTTCAATTCAGCTTGACTAACGCTTATGGCACTTATATGACTTACTGAGCAGTTTTTCAGTTTTCATTGCCTACTTTTCTGGGCGACTTCTTAACGAGCATCAATAAGCATCACATGTGGCGTATGATTAATGTGTGGGGAGCGAGCATAAAGCATCTGCTTTAGGCCATTTGCTAATGCAGTTTGACGCCGGAGAGTGTGAACGTATGGATTCTAGCTTTGAATTCATGTTGAATATGGCTAAGGTGTGTATACCACTACTGCCAGCTGCCTAACACAGCTGAGCAAGCCTATTGAATGGAGAGATAGGGGTCGAAAGAAATTTTAAAGAAATATATAAATATATATTACTGTTTATTAATTTTTCACTTAAAGAGTATTTCGATTGCCTCAGCTATAAAGTCGACTCGTTTCTTGTATAACAAGTGATCTCAATGGAACAGATTATGAAAGATTTCGACAAAGAGGTAATAAAAGCGATGAGACGATTTGTTATCGATTGAATAAGTTGAGTATTGGAAGAGGCCAACAGGCGGATATACTAACTCCAATGACGAGCAGCTCTTTCTATATTAAAAATTATTTTTTTTTTTTTTTACTTGTACAGAAAATTTTTATTTAGTAGCCTCGAAATACCACAAGTGCAGAGAAGTTATCGATTACTGGATACAAAATCGATCATATGTAAGAGCTGCTGGACAGACGGAGGGACTCGACTATTGCTGCTAATCATGGATGTATTTATATGCATTAGTTAGTTACATACAATTTAATAAACCCATTAAATTCTGATTTTCAATGGGTTTAGAATAGAAACAGAATCTGGAAAAGGCTAAATGGGCAGCACTAGGGCAGACATTGAGCAAACAAACCGTGCAGCAGGGATTGAGCTGCAGGCGCTATGCCATTTATTTGATTAGTTTGTCCCTGGTGGGTGCGCTGGTGTTTATGTGCCACTGCCAGCGTCGCTAATGCATTTTAATTTCACCTGAAAATGGCTTCTGATGGCTACAGTGCTCCTCTAGAACATATATTGCGTAATTGACTTTTCAGCTTAGTGGCAAGCGCTTGGTCTCTTTGGTAACTAAAGCTCTAGGTGGGCAAAGCACTGCTCAAAGAGCGTTGCGTGGAGCCGTTTAATTAAATTATAATTGAGCTTTGCTTTGCTTACATTTTTAATTAATAAGTTTTGTTTTCCACAAATTTGTGCTCTCTGAGTAAACGTTTGCAAAATTAAATCATCTCACCTTTTGACTTTCGTGCTAATTATTTAACATTTTGCTAATTAGGCTTGCTTTTGTTGTGTGTTTTTGGTTGTATGCTTAACTCGTTTGCAATTAGTCAAGTATTTGCCAACAATCGATCTCGTCGTAAGATTTATAAACGCTTTTCGCTATTCAAACTATTTCTGGCCCCAACACACCAGAGGCAAGACGGTTTTGATTAATTAAATGATTGAATGTTTTATCAAAGGAAAAATAAATATATCGAAGCTGTTAGAAGAGCATAAAAGGATGCCTAGATTTCTTCCAATATTTACACTTGTTCTATTAATATATACCTTTATAGAAATAAAATAAATAAATATATTTCATTGATTTTATTCTTTAAATATATCGAAGCTTTGTGTGCATCCTCGTGGAAAAAGAGCATCTTAAACGGTTCTATATTTATTTAATACTAAAATATATTTTATGGTCTTTGAACTGCGACTATACAGTTTTGCAGCTGAACTCGGTTGACCCTCAACTCTCGATATCATTACAAAGTGGACCGACCAATCTACGAATATTTTGCAGTTGTTTTCATCATCATCATCAAAGCTTATAAAATGTGCTTTTTATGCTCGATGAGCGTTAAAATGACAGAGGAGCTACGCCCTCTTTGAGATGTCAACCCTTTGAAATAGGTCTCGCAGTTGCTCTTAAAATTAGCCAGCCAATCAAATGAGCATTTTTGATGGAATGCGAATGGCAGTGTAAATGATGTGATTGTTATGTTCATTGTTTTGAAAGATCCTTTGCCTCTTGCTGTGTCGACATGCCAATACAAATAACTTATGAACGATTTTGTAAAGCTAACCCCAAGGTCAATGTAAACTTTTCTTGTCAGTTGTTGTAAGTTTGTATACTGCATTAATAATGTATTTGGAGCTGGCAGGAATGTGATGGTCAGCTAAATTCTCGTAAGTTTTTTCAACGACTTTCTCTTTGTCTTTGCTCCTTTCAGCGCGGCGTAGCTATTGACGTGTTCCAAATTATACATATGTGTGTCTTAGTTGGTCATTAAATTGCCTTGGTGATTAGTCGCAGGGTGTAACTATGAAGCGATACCTTCACATTTCAAAGGAATAAAATAATGCGATGTCGAAGTACGCTAGCCACAAATCAATAATTTCCAAGTGAAAATGCTTAATAATTAAATAATTTATGGGTTTCTATATATATCTATATATATCACAAATAATATACAATGTTAGTTTTTTTAAATGACAATTAAACTAATGGTGCGTTATCTTCAAATTAGGCTTCTTTTCGAGATTATAAGTATGATAATAATCTCAGTTTTTCATCATCTTGTAGAGCTTCAATTATATATAAAATAATAATAAAATTGGCTTGCAAGTTGAAGCTGATCTAAAGAATTATATAGGCAACAATTTGATTTTACTTAGAGAAGATTTGAATGCGCTTTGAGTTCTGAAACATAAGTTAACCTTATCGTCTAGCTACAGTGAGATATTCTGAACTGACCATATTTGAGGACTCTAAAGATGAGCGCATCTCCATCAAATTTTTATCAATGGGTAGACCCTGTGGCTGTTCCTTAAGAATTAAATTTTAGCTATGCAGGAGGAAAAGAAAGACTTGTGCAGGGCATGGAGGGGCGGCGCCTGCTCATCTTGATAATGCCGGAAGCAATATAATATATAATAGATGTAGCTGTATGCAATAAGAAATAGAGAGTAGAAGAAATGTATAATAACCTTTCTTTTTTTAGTGCAGCTTGCACTCGCACGTTGAGTTCCGCGAACCCGAGATTGTTGTTACTGCTGATATTGTTGTAGTTGATGTTGCTGTTGTTGCTGTTGTTGCTGTTGTTGTGACTCTTGTTTTCGCTTTGCACACAGATTGCAACAAAACAGACAATCCATCATCATTATGCATTTGATTGTTATTGTGTTTTTGTTGTCTTTTATTTAACGCTACGTTTTGTTGTCGGCGTTGCTTGGTGGTGGCAGCTTCAGTTGGCACTCGTCTAATGCTGGCAGCAACACAATATTCTTTCTTCTTATTGCTTTTTTCAATATTGTTTAAATAACAGAAGAACGTGGGAACAAAACTGCTGCCATCGGATGGCTAAAGGGCCAAAGCTTAAGGGACTTGTTTAGTTATTGTTACTGTCACGTGGCTGTCTCTTCAGGGCGACCTTTTTGTCTGTCTCTATAGCATGATTCGATTCGTCGCAATTAACAAAAAAACTACAACCTGCACGTGCGTCCTCTATGTAGCCATTTTGCTGTAGCATGAAAAAAAAAAACATAAAAATGTTGATTTAGACGAATTCAAGCTAAATTCAACTTTAATTTCTCTTGGATTTGCTCTGAGTGGTTCGCTGTTGCCTTTTTATGTTTAATCACTGACAAAATATTTTATACCACAAATAACTATAAATAAGACGCATCTCGATTATCGAGAAACTTGACTCTGCTCGGCTAAATTATGAATTTTCATGATGACCTCAGCCAATATAGTTAATCATTAATATCATATGTAATATAGTCTGCAAGTGTGTTTCTTAGAAATCGAAAGCTTGAGGGCATCTCTTTACTTGGAATATTAAGTTATTGAGTCAAGAGGTTTGTTTTTGGTATATCATCTCATTGCCAATGGCCGTGGGTCGTTGGTCGTTGGTCGTTGCCCGTTGGCCGTTGTAACATGCTCAGTCTGGGGCCACACCATCGCGACATATGCGCGCCAATAAGCGGTATCGATGCTGAAGATGTTGTCTCTGTTGCTGCTGATAATGATGATACCTTATGTAACTAACGCTGCATAAATCCGTGCACAAACACACCTATATCGACTCCCCACACCCAGACCCGCACACATACACACACTGAAACTCACACACACACATTCACACGGATACAAAGACTTATACTAACTTTTCTTGCTTAACTTTTTTAACGCTAGTTTTCATGACTTTGATTCTCCTGCTTTGCTCTGATACTGTACGAATATCTGTATTTATTTATCATTTTAAACATTCCTATGTATCAATATTTTCTGCTTTGCTTGCATAACTTTATTGAAATGCTTTAACTATTTATTTTCCTCGCGCTCTTTCAACTTTAGGCAGAGGGAAGAACATATTGGGGCACTTTGCCACTTCACATTTGGTCTGATTTTGTTGGCAACGCATACACAGATACGTGCACGGACATGGATACAACTCACGCACACACACACGTACACGTTTTGCGAGTTTGGTTTCCGAGGCTAACAAGGCTGCGGCTGCGGAAGCTGCTGACGGTTCATGTCGCGTCGGTGGACCATTTTTGACTGGCTTCGAATCGAAGTTATTTCAAATACTGAGATCTTATAACAGTTGTTATTGTTGTTGTTGCTGTTGCTCTGCTGCTGCTGCTGCTCTGTTCTTGTTTTGGCATCTGTGCATGGGAGAGAGCGCCAGCCAAAGAGAGCTCGCAGTCGAGAGCAAAGCGTGACCCTTGTTGCATATGCTGTGCGTTTTTTATAGCTTTTGCAATACGCACGTGGGGAATATTGCCGACAACGGAAGTTGCCAGATAGGTGATAGTTGCTGGGACAAGATTATTATTGCTATGAGATGTCAACTAAAAATGCCAAAGAATTTTAAAATAATATTATTCTATTGGCTTTCATTAAGGTCAGCTGGAATTCACTTCAATTTATGGCTAAAACCGAGTAGATGTTGAGCTAGAGTAAAAGAGTTAAACTTGAGAAAGAAATAATCTCTAGCTAGTTCAATTATTTATAATAATTTCAGTATAGTTTACTTATAAAACTTGAACTTATTGTGGTACTGCGATTGCGCTAGACTTATATAACCTACAACCATCTGGCACCGTGGAAATCTTGTATGTCTCCCTCGATACGTTACTCTTATACCGTATCTCCTCTTCTACATGTTTTTCTCTTTCTCTATCTTTCTCTTTGGCAGACATGCGCACTGGGCGACTGAACAACTTCTTTGAATCTAAAACTGGTAACAACAAAAGCAACAACAATAACAACTATTTTCTACAATGGCCATAATCTACTTATTTAGACAACCGCAGGAGCAAAGCGCGTTTAGTTTGCGCGTTGTCAACCTTGTGGTAGGCAGCAACCCACACAGCCGCACATATGCAGACTACACAGACACAAATACAGTACATAGTAGCGTGTTGTATAAGGAATAGTAGAGTAGTGAGAGCTTCTTTTTTTGAGAAGATGGTCAAAGGTTTGGTAAAAGCATTGACCTGATTACACAGCCATACCCAGACACACGCCCACACACAAACGCAAAGCCAAGATTTATGCTGAGCAGCGAATACGATACCGAGACACCAACAACAACACCAATAACAAATGACATATAAATCTAATGTTAAACTTTTGCCGCTGTCTCGGCATGGAGCCATGAAGGTACTTCCCTCCACTTCCGGCCTGACTGTCAGCGAGAACAAAGCAAACAGACAGGCACAAGCATGCATAGCCACATACTCGGCAGTCCTACCAGAATTTATGATCTCTCATTCTCTGGATATTTTATTTTTAGATATCTTTCGCACTTTTACGAAATAAATAATAATAAATTTTACGCTTTTTATGCCAGTTCTGTAATTTCTCTTCTTTCCTATATTTCGGATAACAATGTCAACATTTCCTTGGCGTCACTGACAGCATCACTGAGTTTGCCAGCAGCAAAAGAAGACTATGAAAGAAATGTGGATGAACTGAACAAAAGGACTTACAATAAAAAACTGAGCATTTTTTATTAGTTCTCTTAGTTTTCTGTCAACCACTAAAGGGGTCGCAGCTCATCCTTGTTTACATATCAGACAACTTTTTTTCTTGGGATACACAAAACAAGCTAAATTTGATAAAAACATGATGTTTTTTTCAATATAAAATATAGGTCAGTCTGAGGTGGATGAGGTCTAAAGTATCCTTAATGATGAGGTCCAAACTTCCTTAATGGCAATGCTACACAAGTCTATATTTGGAATACAAAATCTCTAACTTTAATATCGGCGTAATGCTTTGCGTTCCAAGAAATTGTTGGGCAGAAAGAAGGAAATTGAAAATTGAACATAACCAAATTTGCCAGCTATAAATATAGAATGTGATGAGCACAGCTTGATACATGTTAATGAACTAAATGGATTTTCTGCGCTTTGACTTTAAAAGATGTAATAAAAACGATGTCGCAATATTTAACTCTTAGCATATTCACCATTTTTTCATTAAATCAAATAGATAAGGAGTCGTTTTTTGAAAGGAAGACATATGCATTGTTAGCCAGTGTAAAAAGGGAAAGATCTGGCAGGAAAAAGGCTACATCGGCCACACTGAGCGCTACACACATACGCACATAGACATATTTGTAGAGATATTTTACTACATGTAAAAAAGCGCACAGATCTGGCAGGAAAAAGGCTACATTGGTCACACTTAGCTCTGCATATATATGCACACACACACAGACACACACATACCTAGACATATTTGTAGAGATATTTTGTTACATGTAAAAAAGCGCACAGATCTGGCAGGAAAAGGCTACATTGGTCACACTTATCGCTGCATATATACGCACACACACACTGACGCACACACACACATAGACATATTTGTAGAGATATTTTGTTACATGTACTTTCAATCAGTTTATTATTGTTGTTGTTGTTGTTGATGTTCGCTTTTGTTAAACATTTATTCAGGCCCCATTTCTCGAAGGCCACGTAGCTTGAAAGTAATTTGCGAATAAATTTTGATTTTGAGTAGAATGGGGCACACACAAAGAAATACATACAAGCACACGAAACTGCTTTGATTCCATATTTGATATTGATTCCTAATTTTTCATGTGGACTGTCCAACCGTCATGCACACACAAAATTTAACCATATGCTTGGATGTACGAATATTTATATTTCAAATTCGTATACACCTAATTTATAATTATATCGTCTACCGTCCACATTAATGACAATTGCAGGGCAATAGGGATGTCGATGCCTGCCTACTACGTCTTATGTACTCATATATGTGAAATACATAATATACTAAACCATCAGCCAACCAGCCTTAGCGGCCACAGAAAATAATCGATGTACTTAAAATATGGATATAACAGATGCTTTAAGAAGCAACTAAAGAAGCCAATGGCACACTTTGCAATTGCACATTACGCATTTATCAGGAGAGACAGGGGCGAAACTGTGTAGCTTGTAATTTAATTGTGGGAATCTTACAGTCTGGCCACTATAGCCAACTGTAAATTGTATAGGCCATAGCTTTTCATTAACATGCACAGACGGTCATAGTGTCAGGGACAGAGCAGAGCAGAAGGGACCAATAAAGTCCGCTTGCTTTACTAGTGTGGAACGGACGTGTCCTTGCCTTATGTACTTGGCCCCTGAAAATCCAGATTTTATGTGCGTTCACGATTTCAAATGAGTATATTGGTTTTGCACACTGCCTGACGTGCTATCTGCCTGGCCGTCTCTAAAGACTTCATAGACTTTGAAGCACATTCGTTCAGCTCTGCAGGGCGTATCAGAGTTAGTGGCATCTGCAGATAGTTGGATTTTTGAATAAGTTTTAATATTTTGAATGCACGAACGAGTATTAAGCAGTTGGGCGCAACCAACTGCGGCGTTGGGTGTAGGCGTTGCGTGTGAATTTTATTTTGAAAAGTCCACGTCCGTCGAGGTCTTGAATTACATGTACTCAGTATGTATTTAACCAATGAATGAGTGAAGGGAAATTTGATTTCCTAGCAAACTTTCAGTGCCGCGAGATTTGTGTTTTCATTACCATCGAAGACTCGAAGCAGGCAAGTTAACCAGCAGCGATATCCACAGGAATTTACATTCACTTATTGACATCAAGATAATTACTGAGCCAGTGCAGTAGTTTGATAAGTGTTTCAAAGCTAAAGTTCCTTAATTATTGACAATTATTTAAGCAAGATCAAGGAACTTTACATTTGAGTGAATTAAATAATGATGGAAATATTATTACTTAATTTTTTTAAGGACTGGGACGCCATATTAAGCACTTTTCATTTTACATACAGATCAAAGGATAAAAAGAAAACATCTAACTTTGTTACGGATCTTGTGACAAGATGGCTACATCAATGCAGCCCAGCAAGTACACGGGCTTGGTTGCCGATCTGATGCCCAACATTCGGGCGATGAGATACTCGGGACTGTTTATGCACAGCTTCACTGGAGGGACCATCTTTTTCAAGAGGATTTACTCATCGGTTCATTTGGTAGTGATCGTAATGCACATATCATTTATCTTGGTTAATCTAGCGCTGAATGCCGAAGAGGTTAACGAGCTGTCCGGAAATACGATAACAACTTTATTCTTTACGCATTGTATTGTAAAGTTCGTCTATCTGGCCGTGAATCAAAAGAACTTTTACAGGTGAACGAAGATAGTACTCAGGAGATTGCGAACTGTAATTAAAAGCTTGTTTCTGTTAGAACTTTAAACATCTGGAACCAACCCAACACGCATCCCCTGTTTGCGGAATCGGATGCTCGCTATCATTCCATAGCTTTGGCTAAAATGCGAAAGCTCTTCTTTTTGGTAATGCTGACAACGTTCGCATCCGCAACGGCCTGGACAACGATTACTTTCTTTGGGGACAGTGTGAAATTCGCAGTTGATAAGGAGACGAACTCAAGTATAACCGTTGAGATACCCAGGCTGCCTATTAAAGCCTTCTATCCGTGGGATGCCAGTCATGGCATGTTCTACATGATCAGCTTCGTACTCCAGGTCTATTACGTACTCTTCTCCATGGTGCATTCGAATTTGTGCGACGTTATGTTCTGCTCCTGGCTAATTTTCGCCTGTGAGCAATTGCAGCATCTGAAGGGCATAATGAAGCCACTAATGGAGCTGTCCGCTTCCCTCGACACCTACAGACCCAATTCGGCCGCCCTGTTTAGATCGCTCTCGGCCAACTCTAAGTCCGAGCTAATACATAATGAGGGTGCGTGGTATTTGACGTAAGTCGAGCATTGCTTGCTTAAGCTTTAGCTTGTATTTAATTACAGAGAAGGAGCCCGTCACCGACATGGACATGACAGGTATCTACAGCACTAAAGCAGATTGGGGAGCCCAGTTTCGGGCGCCATCCACGCTGCAGTCCTTCAATACTGGTGGAAATGGCAATGGCAACGGCATGGGCAATAATCCCAATGGACTCACCAAAAAACAGGAAATGATGGTCCGCAGTGCTATCAAGTATTGGGTGGAGCGTCACAAGCACGTCGTCCGGTGAGTTCAGTGCCGCATCTCAGATACGATTTGCGTGCGATTTGTGAAAAGCCACAATACAATTTGCTTCCGCATCAGCGCTGCAAATGTAGCCTTTTTCCCGATATATCTATCTTTTAATGCCTGATTTAGTCTTGTAACTATACAATAAGCCCTCTTTCAGATAACGGTAATTCGGGTTACGATGGTTTTGTGAAAATTTATGTTCACAAAGAATATATATTCTTGAACAGAATAATAAGCTGAGTCGATCTAGCCATGTACGTTTCTCTTTCTGAATGTCCGACCGTCTGTCCGTTGTATATATAAATATATTATAAGTAATACGAGTCCATATGCTTATCGATAAAAATCGATCATTTTTGTGAAGTGAAGTGGCGCACTCTTAGTCTAATGTTTTCCTTTAATATCTTTAGTTTGGTGGCTGCCATCGGAGATACCTACGGAGCTGCCCTACTGTTGCACATGCTTGTTTCGACCATTATGCTCACCTTGCTGGCTTATCAGGCAACCAAGATCAATGGCGTTAATGTGTATGCGCTTACGGTAATTGGCTATTTGGGCTACGCACTGGCTCAGGTGTTTCACTTCTGCATTTTTGGCAACCGTCTGATTGAAGAGGTGAGTAAGCATGCATGGTGCTCGCAGAGTAACTAATATAATTTGCTCGCACATAGAGCTCGTCTGTGATGGAGGCTGCCTACTCTTGTCATTGGTATGACGGCTCTGAAGAGGCCAAGACTTTTGTCCAGATCGTTTGCCAACAGTGTCAAAAGGCTATGAGCATATCGGGTGCGAAGTTCTTTACTGTCTCGCTGGATTTGTTTGCCTCGGTATGCATTGCTCTGTCCTAGTGATCAACATGTATAATATTTTGTAAATTGCAGGTGCTCGGTGCTGTTGTCACCTACTTCATGGTGTTGGTGCAACTCAAATGAGCTGTGCTTCACACCCATTTCAAATCTGAGGAAATTGTATCGCTTGTTGTCCGTGTCAACAAATTTTGTCAAAGCTAATATCTAACGATGCCTACGAAGCTACGCAGCTGCAATTACGCATTGCTTTATCAAGGTACATCCTTGACACCCCGAATAATACCAGCCCAACAGATAATTACTTGCAATCGAATATCAGCCGCGAGTTTTAGTTTTATACTACTAGCTAAGCACATTTTTTATCCATTTTTTCACTACTCTTAATTATTGTAATGCAAGCAATAGACGCAATCAAATAAATTTGTAGTACAAATTCATATTTATATACATACTCAAAATGAAAATAAATTATATTCGAAACAAGCAAGAGTGTTCTAGTCCGAAGTGCAGAAGAGTCGCTGTGAACCACTCAACTTTTCTGATATCACACACACAGACAAACAGAAACATACACACATACCACTACTCGGCATTAGATATACACTCTGTATGAAATCGGTGTATAAAAATAAACATATAATTGCTATTTGAAGTGGCCAAAAAGCCATTTTGAAATGAATTTCCCTTTCGCTTTTGGGGTAGAATTGGGGTATGCAAAACCTGAAATATTCGATTCTGAGTAGTTTTGGTTTTCGAGCTATGATTCAAAGTCCCAGTTGAAATATTTATTTGTATCAATATTTAATGAAGTAGATCAGCCCTCTAGCTGTTTGTTACACGAGGTTGCTTCATGTATATATATACTATATCCCTTGCCCATTTCCGATTTCTTTAGGGTTGAGGGTCGACAATTTCTTCATATTCTGAGCAATAAATTCCAAAGCAAATTTATTCAAACAAGACAAAAATGCTTAAGAACATTCTGCTTGCATTTCTATTATCATAATCTTGGTTTGTTTAAGTGTCACGCCCATTGCCAGCCACCCCTCGTGTACAAAAAGATATATGAAGCTCTGGGGCCTGGCGCGCTTCGCTGCGTGCCAACAATTTTTGACGGACAGATGAGCGAAACTCGCTTAATTCAATGTAAATTATTAATGCCGATTTCGAGTCTGCCATTTCCCATTTTGTTCATTTGAAATTTTTGGCAGCCCCACTAAAAGCCAACAAAATCAACTGTTAGCTAAGTCCGTTACTGCAACAATTGAAGTTGGCAATTAAAGTGTGTTGAGTGTTTTTTGAACGAAATGTGGCAAAAATGTAATTTAAAAAGCACACACACGCACAACCATACGCACACACTCACACACACAGAGACACACAGTTAGTCACACATTTTGAAAGCGCGCTTTATGTTTATGATTTCTCGAATTGCCCAACCCCAGCTCCAACTGCAACTGAACTGAACCGAGCTGAACTCAAGCGAACGCTACACAACTCGCACTCTGCTTGAATTGCGGCCACGGCAGTACGGCTATACGGTTGTACGGCTGTAGACCCGATGGTCTGGAGTTGGGGGCTGGTGTTTGGAGATGGAATTTTATATCTTCTAACAGCTTTCATGTGCCTGACACTAAAACAGTGTGCGCTAAGGAAACACGAAATATGTACTTTTATTCGTATCTGTGGGCTTGTAACAACAAGTTACCTTCCTCTTCTAAAGACTTTGGCAAGACTTGCTCGTCTTCAGCTCTTTCTCGCGCTGCGTCTCTTCTGCGCTTCTGCTCTTCTGGCTCTTCCTCTTCCTCTTCTGCTCACATGTGAGGTAAAGACTAGCTCGTCTTCCTCTTCCTCTTCCTCTTCTGCTAACATGGAGTGGTTGCTGTTAATTTCTTTATGGCACAGACTTTCGTCTGGCAATGAAAGTTTCTTGACTTGCGCACACTGCAACAACAAAAGTGGGTAGCAGCTGCTTAATTTATTAGTCTACTGTTTAATTAGTTTTCTACTCTTTATCATTGTAGTTGCCCCTAAGTAGTTGTTGTTTGGCTTCAACTGTAGACAGGTGAGGAAGAAAGTAGAAAGGGGGCACACTTCCATGACTTTAATTTCTTATTTAAGAGATACGTATATATATATATATATATATATATATATATATATATATATATATATATAAACACCATTTGACATTGTTTCATGAATTTGTTATAGCCTCTGCACAAATTCCTCTGAGTAGATTAATAAACTGCCAACATTACATGTGCAGCATTAAAGTATTTGTCTTACTTACCTTTAGTTTTGCATACTGCATAAATTACATAATTATGTGGCGAAAGTTTATGCTAAACCAAAAGTAAACCATTGGACTTAATCGAGAAGTCACATATATTTAGAAATAGCTCAACTTTTTGGTATACTCCTTAAATTATTAGTAACAAGATTTAGTAAATCCTAGCTGTGTAAAATGAACAATTTAAGATTTCCTAAGGGCATGGACACACATGGACAACAGATGTCTGCATAATCTTTAGTGGCGATCAACAGCATGCGATTGCCAAATTGCCTTGGCCTTGACGTAGCGTTTAGCTTTTATTTGCCGATGACTTCACGTACTTTTAGGTCTCCAGTTAAAAAGCTTTTAGCAGTTCCCGATTGACTACGCCCCCAGCAGATTTAAGCAAAATATCTTGACATTTTATTGAGCGATATTTCAAAGTTCAAGTTTGTATCTACAGATTTCATATGAATATGAATCCGAATATAGTATGAAACCAATGCAATGCATTGACTAGGTAAACAGAATTCTTCTGTTTTAAATATATACATATATTCAACATATAATATATCATAGATTTACATCAGATGCCAAATATTCTAGTCAGTCTTGGGAACAATCCCGTTTGATTTCAAGTTCAAGAATGATAAAGAGACATTTAGCATATGCGTAACCTATAACACTGAAGTGTTGAGTGTTGTTCACAAAGACCCATTACCGAGTGTTAATAACTGTGGGCAATCAGAAGCAAAACGAAGCTTTAACGCAATCCATTGCCAAGTTATGGTCGCGATGCATTATGGAAAACGTTTTTCATTTAAATGAAAATCAGGAAATGCTATTGCCACTGACACAAGTTCAACGACACTTATTTTGTTAGTAAAAAAATTTCATATTACGGACTGCTTTGCTAAATTGCTTAATTAAAAAATGTCGAAAAAAATACTGAAATAATTATGGCAAAACTGATTTGAGTTGAAATCCAATGTGCACGCAAAGGCGTTTAAATTATATTCGCCAATTGGCAGCGATTTTACTCCACATTTTGTGTGCTGCATAGATTTCGCCATGAAATGGCGGGGCTAAGCTAAATTGATTATTATAGCTTTGGTAATGGAAAGATGAAATATTATATTTTTATATAAAAATACATACATATATCATTATTAATAAGCTGACAAAATAGCAAAGTGCGGGCCAGCCCATTCAACACCCCCGAGACAATCAATGAGAAGAACTAAGAGTGCTTTATCCGACCGACCAGAAGATACCCTGAACACCATGCCGAGCTGCCGTTACAAAGACTGTAATCTTTGTATATATATAATTTGAATTACAATCTAAGAACTTGTCTATATTTACTGTAGCTTTCATAAAGCTTTTAAGGCATCCGACATATGCTCAAATATCTTAATTATTATTAAATAAATTATTATTATTAAATAAATTATTATTATTAAATAAATATGAAAATGGAAATTAAATTAACTAGCGCGTTCTATGTTAAAATCTTGATATACAAGATTGAAATCTCATAGAATCCAAGATCGCCGCGATCATACAGACAGACACAAGCTATATACATTTATATATATATATATATTTATTTTTATACATATATATTTATATGTGTATATAAATGTAAATTTTTATATATACTTTATGTGGCTATGTGTAAACAGAATACCCTAATTCGTATATATGATGGGTTCAGGGTAATAAAAATCGAATGACTTAAGGCACAAACGTGGCTAGCGACAACCGCAACGCGGTTTGAAACTTGGCTAAGCAGCTGACAGAATTTGGGTCTGACCGTTGTATTGCTGCAGTCTGAATGGCTTGAATGACCGGCAGTGGTGCGTGGCGGGTCTGTGGCCGGCGTGCGCTCATTGAACTTATCTTGCGCAAATGGCAACGTAGCTCTCCTGTCCACGAACCTCACTCATTCCCTCGATCCCTCGATCCCCTCAAGCCGGTGCCGTGAAAACTTACGCAGACTGTCGACTGCTGCTGGTTCGTGCAGATTTTTCTCTTTGGCCGATTTTCGTGGCATGATCTGTTTAACGGCTTTCGGTTTTCTTCAGCTCGTATTGTTGTTATTGCAATCGTCGTCATCGCCGTCGTCGTTCGTCAGCTGGCTGTTTCGCTCGTTCGCTTTGTTGGCTGCTCGTGAGTATTTATATGTGCTGTAACTTGTTTCGAGACGTTCAGATTTAGTTATCGTCTTCAGTGCTTCGGTCAAGTTGTGTGGCTCCACTATCCATTCCGCTCCTGCGCTACCTATTGGATATTTCAACCAAAAAACCCTCCATATAAGGATTACCACTAACTGACTAACCAACATACTCAAGGTGAGCCGTAATCCTCAAGCAACATTACATACAGCCGGTTGTTCAGCAAGAAAATTAAAAAACCCTAAAGAATTGGTCTCTTAGCCGATCTTTTATAAATTCCGCATACCATTATAAATTTTTGCATTTTATGTTATTGTCATGTCGAAAGGCAGCATGGAATTTTAATGAGTGCGCTAACGAAAATAAAATTTGTGCAAACCATGTGCAGTTAAGTTGTGCTTAAAGAGGAACAATTGTAATCATAAGTGGTCTTCTTCCATGAAGCTGACCACACAATAAATGACCACAGGTTGGCATGGAATCCACATAAATAAACGTCAATTGTGATACTGAACAATAATTCTACAAAGCTCTGAAAATTGTTGCTGCAAGAATTTCAATTGAAATACCAAAAATATCCGACTTTATCGTCTTAACAAAAGCGAAAACAAAACAGAAATATGTCATTTCAATATAAAGTAGAATAAAAATTAAATATTTAACTGCAAACATTGCATTCAAGTGCAGTAGCAGCAATGACTGGGTCCACACTTTGCTCAATTTCACTCTTCAACTTAATCAAGAACAACAACACTTATAAGTTAGTTCATATACGGAATCCGTTCCCTCATCAACTTTAGGGGGAAAACTCGAGCCATTAATGTGCCTAAGAGCCCACAGTTACTAAGCAGTTGCAAAAGCACCATCAACAACATTAAAATAATAACAAGTAAGAGTGGTCTCTTGGAGGTTGCCCGACTAGGAGATACCCTGAGCAGCGTGTCGAGGAGCCGCTTCAATCATTCGAGACATAGACGACTCACCAATAGGATAGGCCCCGCCGCCTCCATTTGCCTTGTCATTTACTGCGACTCAAACATAATACCCTAAATTCCCATTTTCAGTGTGTAGAAGTTATAACAATAATAATAGCATATAATGTATGAATATATGTCCAAGCATAAGGCGTTGACGGAGGCACAAGAGAACCGAGAGAAGTAGGGAAAGAGAGTGAGAGAGAGGGAGAGATACGGAGAGAAGCAGAGACAGAGTGTCAGCTAGAGCTAAAGACCAAAAGCCAAGCAATAAACCCGTTTCTATTTTAACCGCCTTACATTTGGTTTCGCGAAGATTTTCGCAATATTTGAAGTTGTTGCAGGCAACATTCGCAATAAACGTAATGGCCATTAGCAGCAGCAGCAGCAGCAGCAACAGCAAAAATAAAGCCACATGAGTACACATAGAGAACTGTGAGTTTAGTTGCCTCATAATGGGCGCGCAGCACATGCAGACCCAAAAATTACATCCACCATACTCAAATTTGCAACCGGCAGTAATTGTTTAGGCTCATTGCAGTTGCTGTTGCTCCTGCTGGGAGAATTCAACACGCGGTTAATAATCTTGCAATGTTCGTTTTGTGTTTTTCAACATTTTTGAAGCGAACCGCAAAATGTTTCGATACAATCGCTTTCTCGGTGCTTGCCGCAATAATTGCCGATTGCACAGAGCAGCAAATGTGTTGTAAATATATTATTTATCTTGAAATCTTGAAGCTGATCGCACTAACCAATATTTTGTGTGCAGACATGATTTAGCATGGAGTGGAGTATAAGAAATTAGTTTTGCCCAACAATTTCATGTATAACACAACCCAGTTTTAAAATAAAACTTTAAATATTGCAAAATTCGTTGAGAATAGATAAAGAGTTAAAGCATTCATGGATATATGAAAAGGAAATTCAAACATGTTTCCTCTCAATTTTAAAAATTCCTCTTTATATGTAGCTGATTTACGAAAACATTATGATACCAATACATAATATAATATACACAATGTAATGTGGCTTTACACCTGCTGAACCGCAGAGAGAATCAAAACTCAGTTTTAACAGAAGCAACAACTTTGTTGCAACCGATTGAGATGTCAAAGCGAGGCCCAGCCAAGCCCACAGCAAAATTATAAAAGAAACATTTAAATACGAGTAAAATTAAGACATCCCGGCTTTTAGTGGTGAATTTAGTTCCAGCTGTTTCTACGTTTTGAATTTGCATAAGAGCTACATTATTCAAGCGAAATGTGTTGTTTACGTATTTACAAACATACGTATATATAGTTTGTTTCGCATTTTGCACTCACTTTTATGGACTCATATATAGTTGTTGTTGCAATCGCCGATAGCACATCAAAAGTCAACTGAAATTGCCGAATAAACGTGAACCATGAACAGTTGTGTTTTTAAGGTCGCTTTGCAGTTGATTTGGGCCCAGCTAAATACCTTACGCAAGTGGGCGTGACAGTGCTATGACTCGGGCTCTATACCTGGCTCTAACTACAGCAAGAAACATTTTGACAATATGAATGTATAGTATAGAGAGTCGAATAAGGGGTCTGGCCATGTTAATGAATCGAGGCAGTCGCGTGTGACTTCAAGTTGAGATTTCTAAGTATTCCAATTAAAATATGAAAATGAATTTTAGATAAAAAGATAATACGTCAAAAATAATGATTGGCCAAGCAACAAATGGGCTTGACGGGCATCATAGAGAGTAAAGCGAGGGTTGCCATTTAGGCACTTAACCGGTCCTAAAACCCATTTAGTTTATTCTTTACAATATACGAATTGAAGGTAATTTAGTTTTAGCTTGAACAGCTCTAAATATTTTCTTAGCTCTACGACTAAATCAAAATTGTATTTCCCACTCTTTCTCACTCGCTACTTAATCAGATGATGATGCTACATCCAACTCCTGCACAGCGCGTTAGCATTCGCGAGGAGCTGCGCGAGCCTGAAGATCCCGCAGATATTGAGCGCGACATTAAGCTGATCCGCGAGTGGCTAGAGACTCAGCCACATCTGCCGAAAGATATGGATGATATGCGTCTGACGACATTCTTGCGAGGCTGCAAATTCAGCCTGGAGAAGGTGAAGAAGAAGCTCGATATGTACTACACGATGCGTAATGCGGTGCCCGAGTTCTTCTCTAACCGTGACATAAATCGCGAGGAACTCAACATTGTGCTGGACTATGTGTAATTATAATCAGCAGGAACCATTTGAGAGTTTATTCCAATATATTATATATTTTTACAGTCACTGCCCCACATTGCCAGGCATTACGCCCAATGGACGTCGCATTACGTTCATTCGAGGCATTGACTGCGATTTCCAGCCACACCATATTCTGGATGCCATGAAGGTGGCTCTAATGATTGGCGATGTCCGCTTGGCGGAGGAGTCCGTGGGCATTGCTGGCGACGTCTTCATTTTGGATGCAGCTGTTGCAAGCGCCTCACATTTTGCCAAATTCTCACCGACGGTGGTGAAGAAGTTCTTGATTGCCGTGCAGGAGGCGTACCCAGTGAAGGTGAAGGAGGTGCATGTGATCAACATTTCGCCATTGGTGGATACCATTTTCAACTTTGTGAAGCCTTTCGTCAAGGAGAAGATTCGCAGCCGTATCACCTTCCACAATGATGTTGAGAGCCTTTATAAGGTGGTGCCCCGTGAGCTGCTGCCCAATGAATATGGCGGCAAGGCTGGACCCATTGTTGAGCTCAACCAGTGGTGGAAGCAGAAGTTGGCTGACAACACCGAATGGTTCAAGGAGCAAGAGGACAAGAAGGCAAATGAATCATTGCGCCCAGGTGCACCAAAGACTACCGATGATCTATTTGGCATGGAGGGCACGTTCCGTCAACTAAACATAGATTGAGATTACAATTATATTCAATATGTTTCACATGTATCTTATATATTTTCTTAACCAATTAACCATTCAACCATTTATTTTGTCCATTCACATTTATATTGTTCGCTTTATGCTTCATTCCCCATCTATGTATTTCATGTTGTTTCACATCGCCCTAAATTGCAGTAATTACAATAAAGAAACCACAGCATATTAAGGAATGAATACAAAGTTCACAACTCGTTTGAATTGCTTTACCAGATAAGATTGTGCCCGTATCAATGCATAATATATATATATAAATATGTCCTGAAAATAAATTACCATGTAGAACTTTTTCTGTTTAGAGTGTCGAATATAAAATTAAGCTTCGAAAGTTTACAAAACTTAGGACAAAGTTTAAATGCAAATTAATATAATTAAGAATTTAAAGAAAATACTTTTAGTATTCATACTCGTTCACTAGATGGAAAGAGTATATTGGTTTTATGCTCTGTTACAGCTACATCTGCCCTCCTCTCCAGATCGAAATATGTTTTTTTTATATGGACTTTGAGTGAGATATAACGAAAATAAAAGTTTTTTTAATATATTTACATGTCTTTTGGGATCGGGAATGAGTATTATGCAGATCATAGATTAGTCAGTGCATAGATCTTAGATTAGTAATTTGCCAAAAAATTTTAACATTTAAATATTTGTTTTTCGATATATTCTAAACACTTGATTCCACAGCTGTTCCTTTGTTTATCTCGGAACGATTATATCTACGCTATTCTTAGCAAGATTTTCGTATGATGCACTATTCACTCGCATGATCCATTTTCGGAGCAAGAATTGACCGTTGAGACATTATTGCCCAAATGGAGTGTTGTCCTTAATTCAAAAGCAAAATTCAGCCGAATTTGAATCCCGAACGAATATTACACAGTCGGTTAACTGCATCAGACGTATTTCATTTTTGGCTTCCCTCTATACTCCCACAGGCATATTTCAGCTGAAGTAGGGCAAATAGATCTAATAACTTATTAACAATATATTTAAATTCATGAAAAACTTTATAAGCCTAATGGTTGGCTTGTAACCAATAATTTAGAGGAAAATAAATACAAATAACTCAATAGAGAGTCTATTTAAGAGCGTCAAATCTGAGTTAAATAACAAACAATCAGAATATCATGAAGTGCACAGGTAATTCCAACGAGGAATCGAGCGAACGCCGCGATCTGTTCAGCTTTATCGTATCGACAATGCGCGTGGCTGCAATGCATACTTTGAGAACAGGATATCGGAACAGTTGCCTAAGTTTATTAATTACAGTGTTTAATTGGACTTATGAGATATTTACCTATTTCGTATGTGGGCACATTGCGCTGTTATTCATGTGCTCCATCTACATTTACTACGGGCAAGGTGATCTAGAGTTCCTTGTCAACTGCCTTATACAGACGATAATTTATCTGTGGACCATTACAATGAAGCTCTACTTCCGACGCTTCAGGCACAACCTTTTAAACGAGATGATCAGCATAGTTAATGATAAATATCAGACACGTTCGGCTCACGGCTTTACATATGTGACAGCTAGAGGATCTCTGCGACAGTCTAATCTGTGGATCAAAAGTTATGTCTACTGCTGTTTTATAGGAACTATTTTCTGGCTAGTGCTACCTATAGTATACCGAGACAGATCTCTGCCCTTGGGCTGTTGGTATCCGTTTGATTATACCGTAAGTCTGGATTCTTAACTACATACTGCGGGCGGGCTCTCTAGCTTATCTCTGTTTTCTTCAGCAACCGATTGTCTACGAGTTGGTGTTTTTTCTTCAGGCTGTTGGCCAGATTCAAGTGGCGGCTGCCTTTGCGGCTTCAAGTGGCTTTCACATGGTTTTGGCTATTCTAATATCTGGACAATATGATGTGTTGATCTGCAGCTTAAAAAATATACTAGCTACTAGCTATTTGAAGATGGGTGCCACCATAGAGGAGTTAAGGTTATTATCATTGCAAATGCATATTCATGCAGTCCACATCTAAACTTTTCCTATTCGCAGTAAACTTGAGGACGCACAATCCGTGGCAGATGCTGAATTGAATCAATATAGCTATTCCTTAGAGCTTCATACACCAATGACAGAACTGAGACAGCAACGAAGGCCAAGCCACGGATTGGATTTTCCCACTGCCTTCAGGCACTCTCTAACGCAGTGCCTGGAGCAACATCACTATATCATTTCTATCCTACAAAAAATGGAACGCTTCTATAATCCCATTTGGTTATTTAAAATCGCCGAAGTCACATTTCTCATGTGCCTGGTGGCTTTTGTTTCGACAAAGAGTACAACGGCGAATTCCATCATGCGTATGGTATCATTGGGTCAGTACCTGCTGTTAGTCCTGTATGAGCTCTTTATTATTTGCTACTTCGCTGATGTGGTGTATCAGAATAGTCAGCGATGCGGAGATGCTCTCTGGCGAAGTCCTTGGCAGCTCCATATGCGCCAACTGAAAAGCGATTATATAATTTTCCTCATCAATTCCCGTCGATCATTTCGACTGACGGCTGGTAAAATATGCAATCTGAATGTGGACCGCTTTAGGAGTGTAAGTGACACTTATCGATATATACAAAAATATGAATTCTTGCCACTTTATGTTTATTGTCATGTCACGCATTTGTCTTGCCTTACAGACAATCACAACGGCCTTTTCTTTCTTGACTCTTCTGCGAAAGATGGATGCGCGTGGATAAAGAACGCATGATTCGCATTTATATTTTATTCTGTATATTACAATGGTTAAAATTAAAAAAAATTCATAAAAAGTAATACACTAAAGCTTTGAATGGCAGAGACATCGAACGCATGTCAATACCTCAAACACAAAACGAATTGATTTTGTTTAATGTTTAATTATTTAATTGTTTTTTTTTTATGAATAATTCACGCTGGCTCACGATTACATTCGCCGCTCAAACATATATGTTAAATAATAAAAACGAACGTTCAAATATTGCATTTTTTGCATTCGATTCTTATCTCAATATTGAAATAAATAATTTAAGAGAAAAACATACAAAATTAAAGTTTTTGTTTAATAAATAACCGCTTCATTGTATTTTTGTTATGGCATTAAAACTATAAGCAAAAATCATATACATTTATAAGGTACTTGGGTTTACTCTATCCAATATTTACGTTTCCTTGTTGAACCATTTCCTACTATTTTCTGTTAACTACAATGAGCAAGAAATATATTTAACAATTTAATTTGTTTTCGTTTGTTGCATTCAGTTTGTGCCTGGCTTTCACTCTTACAATTATGCTTCATGTATAGTATAAAAAGTTGATGTAGTATTTCAACAGTTAAAGCAAATTAATTGCTTCGTTGGTCTATTATAGCCAAATACTACAATTGCTTGATTTTTTGTTGTTTTTGATTTTTACAATACTTAGAAATGTTTGCGTTATTCGCTTATAATTAGTTAATAAACAGTTTCTAATTATTTATCATTTTTCTCTGGATTTGCAGTTCTACATATTTTTTGATTTCATAAAAAATTTACATTTGTTTATTTGAATTTCAATTGTGAATTTCATTATTGAAAATTGCTACTCAACACATCTGGTTATACAGCTTATGTTTCATAGCGACTGCTTAATTTTGTTAACATATATAATTATTATCAAAAAAATATATATTTATATATGATTCATTTTTATATTTTTAAGCTTTTTTCATAAATTTTTGTTTTTGCTCAGAATTGTATGTATTGCAATAGCAATTCAGCAACAACAACAACAAGGCGAACAGCCATAAAGAAAAAAAACAAAACAAGGCTATCAGCATTGTGCAGGTGCTTTTGATAAATGCAATACGTTTGCTGTCGATGTTTTTGTTGTTGCTCTTTGTGCATTATATGAAAGCTCATTGTGCTGCTGCCTGAGTATTTGGCGTTGTTGCTATTGTTGTTGCTGTTAGCCGGTTGTTGATGCTGTTCACAAAGCTTGTTGCCGCTGTTGATACCTATGATGACTAGTTGGGAGTTGGTGCATTGCTAGCTCGCAAGCGACATGTGAACAATACTCGTGCTGTTGTCGTGATTGTAGTGCTCCGTATTAACAATGACCTGCACCACATAGCCTTGGTGTATGCTGCACTCATCAATGGGCACCTTATCGCCAAGCAGCTTACCACTGTAGAACCAACGTTGGCAGCACGCATCAACTCCCTCAACAGACTGCATAGCATAAATTAAAAGATTAGCAAACTTTGTCATCAAAATTAGTTGCAATTGTAACCCACCTGCAGCTTTTTCTTGCATTGTCCCACCGTGTCCTTAGAGTATACCGGCAGTTTAACATCAGTCATTGAGGATGATATGCGCAGCTTAAGAAAGATTTCGGTTCCTCCATCTACGGGTTCTGAGTATTCAGCTGGCGAATCTCGTCCATTCTCCTCTTTTACAATGTTAATTGGATATGACAGACAGTAAATAGGCACCTTGTATTGTGTACCCAACTCATCGTAACATTCTGTGAGGTAGCTGCAAAAAAAGTCTCTAATATTTAACTAACCAGCCTTGGTAAATGCATAAACCGAATCACACCCAATTCAATAAGTTTAAAGATTAAAAAGTAAATAGTTTACGTTCAGCAATAAACCAACTTTAAAATAAAAACATCAATCCATAACAAAAGTGTTAAAATATGGCAGACAAAACTCAGCTTTTAAAAGTAAATGAGAACGCTTTAGACAATTTATTGCCTATACCAAACTCAGGTTGTACCTATGCCTTCATACATATATTATAAACTCATATTTAAAAAACTAGTTTTGTTTTACAATTAGTTTCATTACCCTCAGATCTCTACAGCGCATTTCTAGAAACGATTGCCTGATCAACCAAACTCAAAAATTCCAACATAAATGACTTTTAAATCTCTGATTACATCTACAGAAACAAATCAGTTTTTAGAAATCTAGACTATTCAATCAGTGCAGTTACTGTTGGGGCAAACATCTGTTTCTAGTAATTTTAGATGCCTTAACACATTTGTTTTGTCAAGCGCTCCTCTTGTCCACATGTTCTGAGTATTCTAAAATGCTAACAGTTATTGTGATTTAGACAATATGTTTATAAAATTATATTCAACTAAATTTACTTTATTGTATTTATTGATTTTTTGTAGGACGCGTCAAAAGTCATTAGTGTTTAGTGCAGTCTACGCGTCATTAAAGTTATTGGCTGGGGATGTGGCTTATTTGAAATGACCACTAGGTTAAACTTACCCATTGGGTACTGATACATTAGCGCCATCTAGTATTGCCTGGGCCATTTGAAAATCCAGACATTCGGCTGCATTTGTGGCCGCTCGAAGTGCATCCCAAATCTCTTTTCGCCCGTCGAACGCAGGAGCCGTGTCCCAAAACTCATCACGTTTGGAGCGCAGTTGTCCTTCGGTTAAAGGTACGTCCGAACGCCATTTTATGGTCTCATGGCACAGTGGGCGATTTTTACGCGCAGCGCCCCCCAAAGCAATCCCTATGACACGCACAATAACAAAGAATTACATATCGATAATGGATGCAAATTGATGTGGCTGCGAAAAGGCTACTCACCTGCGCTGACCGGACGCGAAGCACTTGCGGAGGAAACACTCATTGTCTCATTGTCGGGATTCATGCGACATACACAGGCTCCCATTGTTGCTGCCTTGTTTTAATACTCACATTAAATTATGTGGTTTCGATTTGTGCGTTTCTATAATTTTGATAATTTTTACACGAGCAACAGCCGAACAACGCGACATACAATTTCGACGCAATGTGACCAGAGTTATGTCGACAAGTTCCTATAGTTCGATAAGAGGAACATCACTGAACAAAATGAACGAACTAGCTCATTTTAATTTATTTTTAACGTTCCCAGTCACCTTTAATTTGTTATTTTCGATCATTTTATCAACAAATTTACAACTATAATACATTTATTATTGTTGATCGTATTTCTTAACTAAATTAAATTTGATGGTAACAAGGGTTCGAATTGTGTAGGCTGGTTTCGTTGAAATTAAAAACAAAAAATACTTAACAGTGTGTGTTAGTGAATGAATATGTATGTAAAGCTTTCTAACTGTTAAGAATAGAGTAAAAAAGTCAATGTGACCGCACTTAAATAGTTACATTAAGCCAAACAAAATATTTTAAGTGAATGATGATGAAATCACGTTATTTAAATTAGGTTTTGTTTATGAAATATCATTTTACACAATACTTGTAACAACATAAGTATGTGAATAAATTATTACGAAAATAATAATCAACTATGCTTAATGAATTATGATTTCGTAAAATTGCTCAATAGACTGTTTAAGTTCGCATATGAGAATTTATATTTAATTGAGTTCCCGCGTAACAATTCGTAGCCTTGCTCAGCACGGAATATCAAAGGTTAACGAGCGAGTTAGTAGTTCGATAGACGCTTTGATTAATAAAAATTAATATTTAATTATCTCAATAATAAGATTAAATAATGTATATAGGTAAATATTTAATAAAAATAATTTTCAATTTATTTAACAAACCAAAAACGATCAATTATTCATTTCAATTGTGACATTAAACTAGCTGAGGTCATAACATTATGTGAGACATGTTGCTTTCGCGGAGTTAGACGTTTACTTAAGTGATCGCCGGTTCCTTCATGTGGTTTTAGACCAGCTAAAATCTCCAGAATTTTGTATATGGTCAGACACACTACTATATAGGTAATACACGTCAAGACGAGCTGAAATACAATGGCCAATGATATCTGAAACAATTACTGATTATTGATTGATTATACCTAATCGATTAATATGAACTCACAATGAGTAGCACCGTTATAATGAAAGTTAACCATTTTTTAGTGCTATGCCAAGTTAATTTTGTTATTGTTCCTGAGCTGACCTTGTCACCCTTGTAATTGTTATTGTCTTCGTCTTTGTTACTGCTATCACTTCCTGATGTTCTGTTCCCTTTAAAGTTGTTCGTATCATCCTCCAAATTGTTTTCTTTATTGAGCGGCATGTAAAAATCGTAGTAGAAGCTTCTCAATATTGAATTGGGTGCTGCTGATTTTTTTTTTAGTTTTTTTGATACTGTTGATTTAATTGTTTTTGTCTCCATTACTATTGGATCTTTTAGATGTTGGAAACAATTGTTAAAATCAATTAAAGATAGTTCAGAAGCAAAATTGCACTTCTTTAAGGCTTGTTTGCGATGGGGGTCGTTATGTTTTATTTTCTGTTCACTTGAATGCCACTCCGTATTCTGTAACAAATTTAAAGTCACTTGATATTAAAATATTTGGAAATGAAAACTCTGTCTTCTGTAAATTTAAAGCAATTAATATTTAAAATAAATATATAAAATAAAATCACAAGTTGCTACCAACTGTAGGCCCCGGCGAGATTCGAACTCACGATCTCCTGTTTACTAGACAGGCGCTTTAACCAACTAAGCCACGGCGCCATTAACATTATCATGAGAATTTTTAGTATTTAGATAAAGCGTTAAACAGTGACGGCAACACACACAATAAGCTTAAAGTAAAGTTGGCTGCTGCAATTGCTTATCTGAATCAACGGTAGATGGCGCTGCCTACGCTTCGTATATTTCTACATAGATGGCGCTATACAAATATTTCTTACTCACATAAGGCTGCAAGTCCAAAAAGTTATTATCAAACTTTCCCTGCTTCAGCTGCTCTATTTCCTCATCCGTTATATAGCTGTCCATATCAATGCACTCGTTGGCATAGAAATCATATACCACATCCTCGCCAAAGCACGGCGGAACTGGCTCACACTGCTCTGTCGTGCGATTGTAGAAGCTGCGCTTTCCGAAATAACGCTCCTCACAGTTGAGGGGAGTGCAGTTGCGCAAATAGTCTTGATCCCAGTTCTTGCAGTCGACATAATCTTTGCGCCGTCGCAGCGAGTGATTGCCCGGATCCAAGGTCTCAAACCGCGTATCAAAGTATACAATTTGATTCGTTTTGTATACCTCGTTCTGATGATTGGCGCTGCTGATAACAATGGGGCAGCTGCCGACGCGATTGTAAAGCGACTATAATAGCAGTTGATGTAATAAAACGAATACTAAGGCACAATATAACTGACCACAGTGGGCCACACCAAGGACACGGTGACGCTGTTACCCGGTTCAATGGAGCCAAAGTCACCCCCGAAAATTGTGCCCGCTTGCAGCTGCTGCCCATTGGTCAAGTTTAAGGTGCAATCGCCATTAGAGCTCACCGTCAGCTCCAGCAATTCAGATTTATCCTTTTTCCGATTGCTTAACGTCAGATCTGTTGGGCTCATGCATTTTGTGACTCTATTCAATAGTGTTCTCTTCTACTAGCTTACCGAAGACGAGGCCTATATCGTGCTCTCGAGGCACGCGCATGATTACGCGCGTCACGGTGCAACTTGCGTAGATGCCAGATATATTTAGTGATATGAGACACAGCAGTAGCTGTTGTAACATTTTCAACCAGGCCTACGATATAGTAGTATAAAAAGCCTTGGTTGAGTGTATTTGCCTGAACTAAACAACTGGCAGGTATCCTGTAGGGCGTGGCAAAGGGGCGCGTGAAGGACTCCAAAAAGTATATTAAATGTTGATTATCTAGCCAGGTTCATATGTCTGCACTAATTTACTATTAGCTACTGTGATGAGTGCACAGATTTTGATACCCATATTATATAACATATTTAAAATAGTTTAGATTTCTTCTTATTACTTTTTGATATCAGAATTGCATCTATATGAAAATCTATTGAATACTATATCTCCAATACTAAAGCTCTTAATGCAGCCCAATAATTGGCATTCTCTAATCTGTTCCTTGGAAAATTCTTAATATATTTTATATATTTTATTTCCAACTTTTGGAGAATACTTGTTAAATTGTTTATTTATCTTAACAGTTTTGAATGATATTAAAAAATATAGAAAGGAAATATAAAATAAGATGTTTGAAGCACTCTTTACTCTAAGAAGATTCTAATGTGTCGACTTACCTGAAATAATGATAATAATAATAGTAATATAAGTTAGCTGCCATTGCATACACTGGCTCAATTGCAATATACACCTTTGAGCTGAATTATTAATGGGTAGAGCTAATTTTACAGCGCATGTTAAATATTTGCCAAGGAGTTAAGGGGATAACTAACATGCCATGTCTCTCAGCTTAAAGTAAAAAAAATAAAAAACGCTAATGTCCTGATGTTTAATTAAGTGTAATTTTAGTGCGCGAGCAGCAACCCTCGAACTACCCTATGGACGCAGCACACGCACACACACACACGCATGGTGTATGTGATATCACTCGCAAAAGGGTTCGCATCCAATGCAATTTATGTTTTAATCATCAAATGCGACCCAATTGATCAGACTAGTTGCTATTCATTTATGCGGCGGAACATTGTTTTGAAGTGGCTGAGGAACTCGGAGACGAGTTGAGGAGCCTCAAAATTGTCTGAGCTGTGGAAACTGCGACAGGTGACACTTTCTGCGTTGCATATTCATTGACTCAAGCCGTAATTTATGCCAGAAATTGCAAAAGAAAACAAAAACTAATTTAACAGGAAATAATTAATTTGGCTGCTTTCTTATAGGTGCGATGAAAGAAGTGCTGCTAGCTGCTGCTGTTGCTGCTGCTGTTGCTGCCAGCGACCCAATTAAAATTATTTCGTTTTCATTACCCAATGAACCAGGCGTAATAATAATAATAAGAAAACCAACTAAGATTTTTTGAGTTGAGTGCAACCGACTGCATAATACTCGCGCACGAGTTAAAAGAAATTTCAATTAAAATAAAAATTAGTATTTTTGTGGACGATAAAGCGTCTGCAGAGTTGACCTACTCAGAAGGAATATTGTGATCTAACTGCAACATTTATTGATCCTAGATCTCCAACTGGAAAGGCTATGCAAAGTTAATGCAGTAATAAAAACTTTTTAATACATAAAATTAATCCAAGTCAGCTGGCATTAGCATATACTACCAAGAGATAATGAATATAAACTACTCGAGCTATGGGCATTATAGCTGCTTAAAATAAGCAAATGTACTAAAGGCCGATTGGAAATTCAGATGAAGGCACTTAGGAATATACGTGTCAACCAATATGCTCATTTTACTCTGTTAACGAGTATAGTTCGAAGCCCAACAGTCAATACAAAAAGCCAAACAACAAGAGTCGAAGCCCCAAGTTGAGACGACGAAAAAAAGCTGCCAAAGCAACAAACAACAAAAATAACAGAAACAAAAAAAGAAGTTTAAATAATGAAATCACTTCGCACCATCTCGAAATTGCTCATTAACATTTTGTGTTTGCGATATCAACTTGTGAAAATCGCAGACCAGGCCAGTCTGCAACCAACTTGCCAACTTGCTGCTGTAAGCCACGTTTATGCGTTGCTCATGGCGAGATTCAGGCTTTGTTTGTGCTAAGCTAAGCTAATGGGCAAATCAACAGGAAGATTCGTTTAAGCCTTAGACAATTTCAATTCATGTTAAACTTTTAAAATTATTGTAATTAAATTAATAAAATTTAAAATTAGAAATTCAGCTTATATTGCATGAAGGTTTTCAAAATTAGCAAAAGGATGGCGGCACCAATTTATAAATAAATAATATAATATAAATAGTGGAAGCGTTTTATTCTCTACATGGGTCCGTCTGTGCACCTGTGTTTTCATCGAGCACAGTTTAATAAAAGGCAATGCATGTTTAGGGTATCTACAAGTCGGGACCTACTCACTAAAAATTGACATTGTTTCGTTCTATATGAAAACTAGCCTGTGTTAGCCTGTCTGCTTTCTGGTAGCTCCACTTGCCATATTTCTCGCTGATCAACTTCCCACTTTGTATGTTATGCTGTGCGCATCTGTGCCATAAACCTATAGGAGTTGAATTTTGTTGCTTTGAAATGGGAAGTGTGACAATAAAGTGGATTTATGGGCTTATTGCGTTAAGCTCACGTGTAAACGCGACTCAGAAAACTTCGACGTGGCCAGTTACAAAGGCTGACTCTAAGGCAGCTACTTGGCTTTTATTTATTATGCCAAGTTGTGTTGTTGTTGTTGTTGTTGTTGTTGTCGTGGTCTCTTCACTGTTATGCTGCAGTTGGAGCCTGGCTTATTAGTTGGGTCAGCTTTTGGCTTTTGGCTTTTGAGGTGTGAAACTGACGACAGCCTGCCGAACGCCTCCGCCTGCGCCTCTGCCTCCGCCCCCGCCCCCGCCTCCGCTCTTTGGGCTGCCTGCCTGCATGGCCAGTTGGAGTCTGTCTGTCAGTTGCCCTCTGCCTTGTTTTACGGGTCGTGATTTGTCTCTGGCTGCAACTTCGTCTCTGGCAATTCTTGTAAAGGTCGTTTCGATTCGCTTTACTCAATGAAAATTGCCAGCGGACAGCAGAAGCATTCTGAGCTGGACGGGACGAGTCTGCAGCCCGGACACTGTCCTCGGCTGTAGATAAGCCTCGCCTGGACGTGTATTTCAGTAGCCATTCGATTTATGTTAAATAAGCTCGACGCAAGCGCTGTTTGTTGTAAAATACCAATTGCTGTGTCTTACCTTTGCCTTGTGATTCACGTTCCACGTTCCTGTTTTCCCTTCTTAACTCGAGGAAGCCCCAAAGCTGTCGATTCTAAACGACTGCGCAATGCTCTGCTCTGCTTAATTTGTAACTTAATGAAAGTACCTCGTTGCGAAGAGTCATGCGTCTATTAAATTAACTTCATTCCTAGTTTAATCAGGTTGCACTGAAGCTGATACAAAAATGTGTTTCTACAATTCAGTTCATACGTGAGCGAGTCTCTAATATACCCCGATTTCCCCTGTGTAGCAAGTATGAGAGGCGAAACGTTAGCATAAGAAAGAAAAACAAAATAAAAAATCATTGGCACTGAATCAGATTTCTTAATTTAATTGGCTTTATGCAAGGAATTCTTTGCCCAGGCTTTGCTTTTATAGACAAGCTGTCTGGCCAGGTGCCTGACAACAGCTACACAGATACAGATGTGTGTGTATGTGTGTGTGTACAGATCCCTCACTGCAGCAACAAACCAAGCAGCAGCAGCAGCGACCTCAGATAACATCTGCTTGGACCTCGCAACGTGGGAAATGCTGCGTTGGCCGCTGCTTAGCCCAATTCTTACAAAGAAAAGAAAAAGTAGAAAAGTTTTTTATTAAAATAATCAATAAAAGATATTTTCATAAAACAAGAAATAATAATCACTGGCAAAAGCAACTCGCACTTGAAAGCCTTGGGCCACAATGGCGTGAAGTCAGAATTGGTAAAGGCTCTAACAACTCGGATGGCATCGATTAGAAGATGCCCTTTAAAGCAGTGGTCTTACTGACAGTAGAGGCCTCTTGAATTGATTGCTTAGAGCATAGCCTGTAAATAACGCAACTTTAAGCTTACAGTTATTTAGTATAATAACTCTAAATGAATCATCTAAGCAGTAGCAAGATAAATTGTTTTCTCCTCTTTTTGCTTCAAGTTCAGAGAACTTCATAGATCTTAAGAACCTGCTGATCAGTCTACTATGGACTGTTTACCACTGCTCTTGCTGCAGGGTATATGCAAAGAGAAAAATAAATGAAAATCGTTCAAGTTTTCCATCATCGCGTGCCGAGGCTGCATTTTAGGAACAATTGCAGCGCATTTAAGCATAAATGCAGGCGAAAAGTTCAGACCGAGTCGAGAGTGAATGAGTGTGAATGAGTGCTGGCTGTGTGTGAGTGTGCGACAGTTAATCATCAGCGTGAAATGAGGCACAAGAAATGCAGCCAAGGCCCGAAGACTCCAAAGACTCCGAAGACTCCCATATATAAGGAATATATGTATAAATAGTTATAAATATATATGCGCTCATATATATGTATATAATTAAGCCATAAATTCAGTTTTTATGATTTTCCACAAAGTTACGAATTTATGGCAAGTGCTGCAACAAGGTAGGCTCACACACACACACACACACACACGCACACAAACGAAACGGAAGTGCATTTAAATGCGCGCGCATGCGAAATGGCTGCGGATCGAGGGGATGATGGACCGGGAGGGAAGGGAAGGGGACAAAGGGAGTGCGGGGCTTGAACCACTTTTTTTGTGTTTCTGCTGTGAGCTGCACCAATCCGCGGGCGACGCCATGTTGCCCATAAATGTCGAGCATTTTTCCAGCCCACCTGTCGTAAATTTAACGCTTTCGGGTATGTCTCGTGAGTGTGTGTGTGTGTGTGTGTGTGTGGAGGTGTGCTGAGCCACAAGGAGAGTTACTCTATAAAATTTAAATATTTATTATACTCCACATATTGTGCTGTGCAATTCGTTATGCAAATTGACTGCTGCTTGCCAAAAACAAAAACCGAAAAGAGCCTTCAATGTAAAATACACAAATTTGTTGCATTAATTGCACTAAATTGAGATGGTGCCCATGGAGCAGCCAGCCATGGCTGCATTCACTTCCT